GCTTCTCAACGCGTGGAGCTGTCGAGGGATTCGCTTGGCGATGTGGAGGTTCTAGAACTGTAGGGGCAGACAGCCATTGACAAATCTCAATTGGCACCTGCTCCCCAGCTGAATCATTGTAGGGTATCAAGTATCCGGAGGTGCCGACATCCCAGTAAAGATCTTGTTCGAGTGTCGATCAACAGCCATAACGTCGGGGTAATCAGGACCCTTTATTGCGCTTCAGGGCCTTTTGACAACCAGCTAGCCCCCCAAGAGTATGAGACGTTTACGTCACGATACCTGTCACTTACCCTTCTGAGCATGCCGAGCTGGCCTCTGCTAAGGTTTGCTCCATTGAAGGATCGCAGGGGTCTCTCTCTGAAATACCTAATGTGGCTAGATTCATCGTTGGGGGGATATCGGCTGGCAGATGCCGGGGCTTGCCTCAGCTTGGTGTCCGGAAAGGTCAATTCGTCTACAGCTTTGGCTCGAACAAAGTAAAAGCGTTGCATCATAAGATTTTAGTAACGAGAATTATCACCGAAAGTGTAAATACGGATTCCTTGGCTCAGGCAAATCCCCAATTATGCGGGGAAGCGAGATTGGGACTTTGGTTGCTGACATGTCGATGACATGAGGGCCTCAAGCCACAAGCATCCATCCAGGGTCCAGACAGACGTATATAAGTGACGATGGCTTCCGCCTTCTGAAAATGACAAATTCGGCATATCCGAGTTCTCCTCAAGCAGCGCTGAGCATTCCATTCTCCTCCGAGTCCCAATTGAAGCACCATCTGCCAACTTCTCATCACAATTCACCATGCTTCTCTCCTCAATTAGCCTCGCATGCTTGATCCAAGGCATCCTGGCACAGACAACGATCATCACCGGTGAAAACAACAAGAACTGCCCCGGTGTTCTCAGTGATCCCTCGGATAACAAAGCGTATTGCTGCGTCGGCGGCGAGCTTGACCTCAGCACTTGCGAAGGATGGCCTATCTGCACAGGTAGTTCTTGGGAACCCAAGTCGATGAGCTGCTACACCACGGTCCCCGTCTCAGCATCAGACTATGACTCGCGGGTCAAGAGTGCAAGCTCTAGGTACTTGAATGGTGCGGAGGCATCGGCTACAGACGATGCGTCGTCCGCGACTTCAACTGGTGACAGTGCCAAAGACACGGCTTCGAAGACAACTGCCAAGGGAAGTGCGGAACAGACGGCTTCGGAGACCAGCGCTGTGGTGAGTTCTTCTCAGACGGGCAACGATTCGAACATGAAGACGCCTGGTTCGGTCGGTGGGCTGTTGGGAGGCCTCATGGTTATGTGGATGGTCCTGTGAAGCCCTTGAGTTAGCAAGAAGTCTGGTACATCTGAGATATTAAGTTCGAGGGTTATTAAGTAGAGAAACCGCTAAAGAGGGCTTTGAAAAGATCATGAGAGGCTGTGGCAACCGAGCATCGCCGTTTGTTGAGTTCTTTGACCAGACTAGGCAGATACAAGTATCTCGAGTCACTATCAAACTGCCTGCTTGTTTTGAAAATGATCGAAACTTTCATCAATGTAATTCACTTTCCTTCGTGGCGATCTTGAAAAGACTTTTCCTTGTGTTAATGTTGTTTGGTTGTTTATTGCTCAGTGATGCCCCACCTCCTTGTTCTCCTTTCTGTGGTCCGACTTTGGCAAACAACCACGCAGGCACCAACTTAGCCACTAGTCACGATGCCTTCAACCACATACGACCATACCTGCGGTAAAGTACGGGATCCCGTCTGCTCTCCCTTAGTCAAGCCCGCAAGGGGTAGATTAGTAGTTAGGTCGGAGACGACTAGCGAATACCTGCTGTTGTATGTTTTTTGTCTTGTGAACAGAGTGTTAAAGACATACAACTCTATCGTAATTTCATTTTTGACATGGTTCATTTAGCATCTACTCTTGTCTTTGCAGAAACGTACTATTAGGCTGGGTTGTATCTATTCCAGGTTTATAAGAACCAAGGTGCTAGTCACTGGATTATATAAATCCAATTATCTTTGCAAGACGCTATTACAACATCTATTCATCCATTACAAAATAGGTCCCAAACCGCATCCATTTTATTGTTCCTATGAGCCATCTCAATAACGACTCATTCCAGCAAACCCCCTCTCTATCCCCACTCAGAATTGAGCTACTCGGAGCTCGTAAGGGGTCTCGCCTTGCGTTTGTTTGAGGACTCTGTGAACGACGATGGACCACATAAGCTCGATTTCCCCAGTATAGCGAGGATCTCCAGGCTGGTCGCTCTTGACCCTGACCCATCGATGGTGGGGCTGAGCGGGAGGCAGATCCTGGTCTTGGCGAATGATCCAGACACGGGCGACGAAGTCTGAATGAGTGCCTTCAAAGAGCTTACGCTCCGGCTTGTCTGCAACCGGGACATGGGTTGCATCAAGGATCTCAAGGGCAGAAAGAGGTGAGAACCACACTTCTCTTTTCAGCGGGTAGTAGAGAAAGCCGGCCCAGAAGCCTCCCAGGGTGGTCTCGGTCTTGTCGTAACCGTATAGGCCGACCAGGGGCCGAGCGGGAGGCTCAAAGGGCACCATAGCACCACTGTTTGGGCAGCGATACTCATTCGGGCCAGGAGGAGGTGAGGTGGCGCCGTTGTTCCAGACCTCGCCGATGTGCTGGCCAGGAGCAATGCCGTTGGTAGGAGGGTCGCCGGTCTGTCGGAAGCGCTCATCGAAGCAAAAGCCCGGAATCCACTAGTCATTTGGGACTTTTTTCGCAACAATGTAGAGCTCCTCAAGCCGGACTAGCTTGGCGAGATGGAGGTCGGGGATAAAGGGGTCCTGGTTGCACATCACTCGAGTAGGTCTAAGAGTACGAGGTTCGTCAGGGTTGCTTCGGCCCTGCCACGTCTTCCTCCATAGCGTCAAAGGGTCTCCAAGATAGTTTGCCTTGTCAAACCTTGTAGAATGGTGATGAACGGGCTTGTCAAGCCAGACAGAGAGAAGTCTTCCAACGGGAATGTTGTCAGAGAATCGATGGCAGTGAGGCAGCTTCATGTCCCAGACTCGCAGCATATCGCGGTTAGGGTCAATGGAAAAGGCCTTGCGAGAGGATGGGAAGATGATAGCGCCTTGCGAGGGATGCCACTCCCTCCGATGGGGCTGAGGCTGAACGATCAGGAAAGCTTCAACAAATCGCTTCTCTTTGATGGCGTTATAGATCATGAGGCATGAGAGCTTGAGATTGAGAAGGCTCTGCTCACCGGCAGAAGTGATAAGGCAGTACTGTGTCTTTGCATCGCAGGGAACGGTGAGAGGAGAGATGCTGGTAACGAGGAATTCAATGATCATCGACTGCAGTTCGGGAGCGAGATCTACGAAAGATATCTTTCCAGGAACCAGCTAAAAGGAACATGTTAATGATATTGGATCAAGTCCAGGGATGGGAGAGCTTACTCGTGTGCCTCTGACGGGAGGATCCATGGTGAGATCGTAAGATGGACACTGAGAGATGGAGGCGAAGAAGGAAGAGATTGGAGGGGGGTTTTGGAATACGTAGGTAGATATTTGAACGATAGAGACTTACCCACAGAAGTGGGCCGTGCTGCAGCCACCAAATTCAGTGACGTCCACCTGTGCAGCTGCAGAGCATTCAGGAACGTGCACGAGCAAGTTTCTGAAAACCATGATACGAACAGTCGACCCAGGATGTTGTAAGCACATCATGATCTCTACTAAAGCTAACATCTATAGCTTTACATGACTTCGATCCTCTTTGATTATGTAGTATTTTTGCATGAAGGCTGTTTTTGAAGATTGCCGCCAGTGTTAATGAAGCTACGAATAACACTCGAACACTTCGTTTCCAGGGAGCAACATCTCCCTCAGATGCACACACCATGTGACCTCGGAGATCCTCTATCTGCAGAGCGGGGGTTCGGACACGAATTTGAATAAAAAACTATTGCTTGTGCCATTGGAGACTTCCCAACAGCTAATCGTCTGTAGATGAATGGCTGTGGACAATGGCATTAGACCAAACACATAGTTATTAGTGGAACTATCAAGACTATCTCAAGTACTCTGATGAGTTTCTATGTGTTCTTGACTGTGTATACGTGATTTTGTTGACTCTGATTTATCCTTATCTTGATGAGATATTGTCAAGCATCATAGCGATCAAAGTTGCTGCAGCAAAGTTCAGGACCCCATAGTCTCGGTGGTTGAACCTAGACCGTGGTTGAAGTCAACTCATCATCCATTCGGGCGAATGGTTTAGTGGTATAATACTCCCTTAGCATGTTCTCTACGAGCGTTATTTGGGAGTGGTCCAGGGTTCGATTCCCTGTTCGTCCAAAGTTGGTGGTTTGATTCCACTATTATCCACATTTTTTACCAATCGCTACTTGTACTGACCTTTTTTTTTGCGTACATCACCTACCCGGGACGACAACAATCACCAGAAGGTTTAGGTGCCAGATTCTGAGTCATTTGTAGTTTTCTTATTTATAGTCTAGTGTTGAGCGTTTTGCAATATGGCTCCCGTTCCAGAGTCAATTAATTGGCGACCTCTATTGTATCATTCGGTTTCACTTAAAAATTCACACGTTATCAATTGATATTTCAGACGCATTTACGGTTGGCGGGGAGTTCCCTCTCAAGCATCAGCTTCGAACGCCACAGACGCAGAATCACGAACTTGTCATGGATTTCATCAATGCCAAGCGCGTAAGTGTTTCAGCAGCACGAATTGCTCGAGCACTTGTGTTAAATATGCGGTGCAACCCCAAGGAACGAAGATAATACCAATGCGCTTGAGTCTCAGCCCCCGCTGAAATTGATTGCTACGTGACCCACAAAAGGGACAGCTGTTCTCATTCGTCAAATTTCAGGGGGGACCTTGACCTTGCACAAGCCAGGCTGTCACTAATCATCTTTGGTCATCTCTCCCGCTTCTCAGGTCCAGATCAGATCCAATACATACACACATCGACACACCATCATCAGCCTTGTCCCTGTACCCGCCTCACTTTTCCATTCACTCGTTTGTCTCTCTCTCTCATGACTACGTAATAAACCCCTCTCTTTGTCCCCAGGGCCATCGCACCATGGTCCGCGCCCTCAATCTCCGCCTCGCCCTTCAGGCAACAGCTATCAAGGTCTCGGCAAACCTGGTCACCCAGATCATCATCCACTACAGAACACCAGGCGTATCGACTTTTGATACTCAGCAGGTGCTGGAGTTTGCCATTTATGGCTTCATAGGCTCTCAGGTCGGCAACATCATCCAATTCATCCTGGAGGACTGCTTCCCCACTGGCCACGCAATCAGGGCGAACGAGATCCTGCCGCAGGTCCAGGCGGATGTGAAGCAGGTTGAGGAAAAGAAGGACGATGATACGAGAGGAACGACTAAGAGATGGTACAATATCAGCCCGGATCTCATTTGGCGCAACGTTTTTGCGAAGCTGATTCTTGACCAAACAATTGGCCTTGCCATCAGCGGGTCCGTCTTTCTCATCTGCACAAACATCGCACGTGTTTCTCACCCCTTCCTCGTTCTGGAAGTCATCCGTAATCGACTTTGGCCACTCATCAAAGCTGGCTGGCATATCTGGCCATTAGTCGCCATCTGCAATTTCCTATGGGTTCCAGTGCGCTCTCGGGTTTTGGTGGCAGTTTGTGTTGGGTTCGGCTGGAGTATCTTTTTGAGCGTCTTTGCCATGCGGAAAGGGAATTGATGGGGGTTAAGACTGGGTATCTTTGGTCTTGTCTTTGCGTTGTTGAATGGGTATTTAGAGGAATTCCCCTGCGGAGCACTTTTCTTTGTATCTTGGAGTTCGAGTTTCAAAGTTATACGGGATTCAAATTTTGACCCTAAGTTTCTGTATTATGTTGAAATTATGAAGACTTTCCCTGCAAGAAGAAAGACATAGAATCGCCTCGAGTCCTCGCTTTAAGCTACTATTTAGACAAGGCTAGTATTGGATGTCATGGTACTGACTGAGCAAAGACAACGGCGGTTACAGTGCAATATTGTCCAAAGTAAAAGCTCTAATGACAACTTTGAAGGAGCTGCCGACTTGAAACCGCCCGGGCAGTTACATGGGACATTGCTGCAAGTTCCATCTGCTTGCGTGTAATATCGAAAACGCACCAAATATCCAGCTTTTGTAGCTAAGACACAGCCTGCCTCGAGGATAGTGGTAGATGGCTAAGCCTACGGCATCGTAGAATTTGGTGATATAAGTCTGCCAACCTCGATCATCCTCAAGAAGCTCGAATAAACTTGATTTCAGAGGCGTCAGAAGCCATGTGCGCAGACTGGTAAGATTAACCACTGTGCTCAGGTTATGGCCACTTGCAAATAATGAAATGATTTGCTCAGGATCCAAGTCCCGGCTAGGCACTCCGTTGAATGACAACTCAGCAAATTCTTCAGAGGCCGGTCGTCGTGCTTATGCGAGGGGGGCATCGGCATGCTTGCCATGCGTACATATGGATGATGCGTTTACACCACTGCAGTGTACTTCTCCAGGGTTGTGGTCGTGAGAAAGTCGATGAATCAAGGCATATGAAGTCACAATCAAAGCAGGAGTGCGTGCTGAAGCTACGCCATGAATATGGATAAGTACCATATATTTAGTACAGGAGGTCGGAAGTCCAGCTCAGGGAAGGTGGTGGCTTGTCGGGCTCCTCAGTGTTGGGGATGAAGGGACTCGCGTCACCTGCATTGTTGGTACTCCCCCGAAGAAGTTGTCATTGGGGCTTACCACAATCGCTTGACATGCCACACAGCGCAGTAGATAGAGATGTATTGTCTTAGGCGTTTATTGGGTGCTCGTGAACGTTGTCGGATACTTGGGAAGCGGTCTCTGTAAGAGATGTTGGCGTTAGTACGGTAGAAATTGACTGATTTTAGGCCACGACCGATCGGCCAGATCATCATCGACACCTGGATCAGCTTTCCAGTATTGTTCGAGTATTTCCAAGGCTCGCTGCGTATTCAGCAGCCCAAGCGCAGTTGAGACGCCTTGCAACGAAGTCTTTATCCTGGGCCTATCATCACCAAGCGCATCGCAACCCGCAAAGAACAAGGGCGGAGTAAGTAGAGTGACTGGTGTGAGTCCATCTCGTAGCGTCAAACGCTCTGCGCATTCGAGAATCTGATTGACAAGGTTCTGGACGAGAGGAGATGATCTTCTCTCATGGCGTAAGCGTCGGTGGATGAGTAGCAGACCTGTGAGCTGCCATATCTGATTCGATAAGCGGTATTCGTGGACTTCGGCAACAGATAGAACGCGACCACGTATTGACATGACTGGCGGAGGATTCGCTTGATCTCGGTCGATGATGGACTGTAGATAGTTGAGTAACCACCAGACCTCAGCTTCAACTTGCCCGCCTTGTGATGAAGTCCCTGACGTTGTTTCACCATTTTTGATTCGGCTTAGTCTTGCAATCTCTTTGAACACCCCAAGCAGGTCCTTTGTGCGCGAAAGATACATATCAATGTATACAGGCTCGTCATCTGTGTCTGATGCGAGTGTTGTTGGTGAGGGGATAGCCGACTGTTGTGGGGCGAGATCACCCATCGAAAGACAGACCAGCGATTCGGTCATGTCGAACCATCTTAGTAAAAATCGCAATTCATCCGCCGGGTTGTGGGAAAGACCCTTATCGTGGATTCGAGAAATAAGCCCACGCGCCCCGCGGAAGTGAACGCTCCATCGATCCGGACTGGGCTCACTGGCGAAGACTTCGCAAACGAAGAGTGCTCTTGATGCGGCCAGCAATGGAATGAGTTGTTGATCTTCATCACACTCAGAAAGCTTCTGGCAAAGGGATCTGGAACTGAGAGCTTGAAAGCCAGCGACGATGAGCGCCTGTGAGGACTGTTCTTCGCTTGTTTTACATGTCGCAAGTCGGTGAGTAGCCGCCAGCGCAACGATGCCCTGCAGTAAAGGCTCATTGAAGACTGCCATTGGCAAGATGAGTTCGCATAACTCATCAAAGATCTGAGGATGTGGTGCAAGAACTTTGACGGTCCTCTCGGTGAAGTACTGTAGGCCTGATCGATGCAAGGGTGACAGATGACCGAAGAACTCGACGGACGGTGTTAGAGGGGGCATTGACATTTGCCGTTGGCTGACAACAAGTTGAGAAGACTCAGGTTCCTCAACTGGAGAAGTTGTTATCCATTCTGACTCATCGATGTCCTGATCTGGGGGAGGCGATGCAGCCTTTGATGGGCCTGGTCTGGGGGTAGAAGGGGAAACATAGATGAAGTTTTTCTGGTTTAGATCTGAGAGACTGTTAGTGTATATCTTGTGTAATGGCAGGGATAAGTGACATGCCTAGTCTTTGAACGTTGCCATCATTCTGTGACAAACAATCGCCAAACGGTGACCGATTGAACGGCCTCCCTCCCCAGCGGAGCTTGACCCCGTATTCGCACTTGACCCCGGCAGTCTGACATCTCTGACACGAGGGTCTCTCTTCACTGCACTTCTTTTTAAAGCTCTTACACCTCGCACAACCAACCCATGATCGACGCTGCGGTGGCATCACAGGGGCTTTGAGTTTGGGGCACAAAGCAAAACATGCTGCTTTGGGGTTATGTCATTTGCTAGAGAACAAATGAGGGCGGGGGAAAGTTAGTTAAGTTGGTGATGCTCAGAGGCGGCGAATGGAGATAAGGCTAGAGACTGCGCTAGTACGTAATAAGAAGGATCAGGCGACTGATTGCTTATCTGTGTCACCCTGCACGGATTGTCTTGAACCTGACTGGCTGGTCTTATCAGTAATGATAAGAAATGACGGATCATAAACCCGACATCTTCACTTTCTTGACTGTCATGAACTTGAGCGTCTATGATCAAATACATCAATTGAATGTCTGTCGAGACTGGTATGCTGCCTAAATACTGGTCTTCATTGACTGAAGCAAACTCGCTCGTGTCTTCAAGCATCTTCACTATTGAAACAAACATGCTCTGTTGAAGCCTGGATTAACTAGTAGGCAAACCGAAAGTCCAGTCGCTTGTTGCCTTTATCCTTTGTGTTGTCAAGATAATGCTTCTTCTGTTCATCGTCCATGGCATCCCAAATCTTATCCCGGCTCTTGTTTCTCCAGATGTAGTAGGCTCTGGTCAACAGGTACAACGTGATGTTGAGCGCAATGATCGCCAACAGATTCTTGTTTCCTTCCCGGTATCTCGGTGCATCGTCTTTGCGGTAGACATTAGATGCGATAATACCGGCAGACTGAACGGACATGTTGTAAACAGCTGCCGAGACTGTCCTCAGACGAACGGTATTAGAGTTACGTGAATTCCAACTGACTTGAATTGGATGGGCTACGAAGATAATGTCAGTCGGTGATATATGTAAGTCAAGGGGAGAGCAAACTCACCAGTTGGAGAACCAAGCAACAGTGTCAACACGGCGAACGAGACCCATCTATTGACTGTACTCATGTCCACGACGTACAGATAGATCATGAACGGAAGTTTCCAGATCTGAACAGCTAGGCCGAGCAGAGATCTCTCATTCCATTTCTCAGCAAGGTACGAGATCAGTAGCAAGCCGCCAATGGAAAGGATCGTATGCGGAATGGTCAAAAGATTGGTGACAAGAACGTTGAAGCCAAGGCCACGAAGGGTCAAGGTGAAGTATTGGGCGGGCGGCGTGGCTGGTATCAAGAATGTCAAACCGATGGCATAGATCGGCCAGAGGTCGTAGTCCTTGAGGGACGCCCATAGCAACTTCGGAGTGATTGGCTGGCGATTATGCATGTCGCCCTTGCTAGGATCGTCACGGATGACTCGGTTCACCATAATGCGCTCCTCTCTGCACATTGGTCAGTCCCGAAGGCATATCAATCTCTGAAGCAACCTACCGCTCAGTGAACCAACCGTCCTTACCACGGAGAATGCCTGAGGTTTGAGTGGGTCCAGCAGGCATGAGAAACCATGCGGAAATGCCAACCGCGAGCGTCAGCAGGCCCTATTCACACCATTCGTCAGTACAGTCAATGATATCAAGAGCTTGGATGACAAACCTCAAACAGGAACAGCCATCTCCAGCCCTCGTACCCGTGCCATCCTCGTAGTTGAAGGAAGCCTGCTCCGAGAAAGCCACTGATGATATCGGCGACGTTGTACGCTGTCCAGAAGAAGGCCAGACGAACAGTGAGTTCACTCGCAGTGTAGAAATAACTCAGGTATAGGATCGTCTACGAGCATTCCAGTATAAGATTAGTTGAGGCCCCTTGAGCTTGGTCAGGACAGTAGCATCGACTACTCACATCTGGAATAAACCCGCCCTGGAAGATGGCCAGCAAAGCACGGCATGCCAGAAACGAAGCCCTTCCGTCCAACCAGAACTGGCCCTAACCATATGGTCAATATCAACAAGGACTCGAGGCTTCTTATCACATACCGCAGAGACAAGACTCCAGAGGCACAACTGCATCGGAATCCAACGGTCAGGTCCGAGGTACTTGCTGACAAGCTGTGAGGGAAGTTCGGCACACAAGAAAGACAACTTGAAGACGGTGTTTCCAAGGTTGTAATCTAACAACATAAAGTTAAGACGATGAAGTAATCTGGTATGAAAGAGACTAACCATTGGTATCCATCTTCAGGTCTGGCAGAAAGTTATCCGAGACAGCTTGAGACAAATTCGATCGATCCAGCTCAAGAGCCATGAACATGACGCAAGCGAATATCATGATCCGTTTATCGATCTTTCGAACGACCTTGCGCTCCTCATTGAAAGTCCACCTTTCGGAAGGATCAAATCGATGCAGATTCTCCCAGTCAGATCGTGGCTGGTAGCGCCTTGCCATGTCCGGATCGTCAAAGACGGACCGACGGGTTGCAATAGCCTCTCCATCTTGTTTAGGCCGTCGCTGCCACCAACTTCGAGGTTCTTCTGGAGCAGCGACGGGAAGTGTAGAGATGAAAGGGTTTACCTTGGTTGAGGGTATTGACTTGGAAGAATCCGAATCGGCTGAGTCAATGTGGAGGTCCACATCGTTCTTGGGGTCTGACAGACGAACTTCATCAGAATGTGCCATTGTGAATATCAATTTATCATGTGGCTCTCTGCAGCCGTCATGCTACAATCATCTTGGTTGTAACAGCGCCTTTTGTATCCATGGACGTTGGTACAGACGATGGCGAAATCCATGTTAATGATCTCGAAAGACTCAACTGCGTGGGGTTAACAATGTATCTATGGCGTCAGGCATAAACATAATAGCGATATGTAGGGGTTAATTCGGATGGTATTATTTGTCTTCGCTCCTGACCATTGCTTGATAAACTCCCCTGCGGATGCATGTGTGTCTTGATGGTGAGCACCCCAACCTTCCAAGTGAAAAGGCAACACAAACGAAGGGCCAATTAGCCGATAACGCCTTTTCGGGTCTGTTGCACTTCTGCACTTCTGCGGTTCTCGGTCTAAGCTGTACTTCAGTGGTCCTTGGCAAAGATTTGCAGTTCACGACAGAACTGAAAGGTATTGCACCATTACTCGAGCAACCACTCAAGACCTTGATATTTCAATGCCAAGCCAATTGCTCAACATTACGCCATTGTCTACTCCCTGTAGACAGCATTGGTTAACAAATACCGGGACTCAAAACTCACCGAAACTATGATGGTTGGCCTATCTCCGGCGCTTCGTCGCCTCGCATCTCGGGTCGGATCTCGCCCCCCCACGGCCCCCGACGAGCGGAGGCGGTTTGAGGCACTTTAAGTTAAGGTTGAGCTTATCTCATAGTTTCTTTGAGTGATATCTCCGCGGGCAACTCTATTTGCACTTCGACGGCAAGATGGCGTGCTTCCTGTCCAGGTCTGGAGCCTGCCTGTTCAGATACTCGTCATTCTGGTCGGTGTTGTGGACGAGACAGGTTCCTACATGGCTTCATTAAGCTCTTAACAACACACAAAACATAAAGAATAGCCATCAGCAAAGTCTAAGAACGCAACTTCATTATAGAAATCGAATGAGTTTCAAGATTACCTGCAATTGCTAAAACTATCTAGGCTATAGACTACTATTCGATACTACCAGCGGTAAACAGAAATATTAAAGTGTGATTGTGGCATTCTTCAAGTCAGTGATCTTGGAACTTGAACCCGTCCAGAAGATGTATTCTCCTGATTCGACTTGATATTTGGCATTGTTGTAGTAACCAAGATCGTTCTTTGGTATACTGAAATTGACCTCTTTACTCTGGCCTGGCTTCAGTTCAACCTTCTGAAAGCGAATGAGGCGTTTGTTCGGGAGCTCGATCTCGGAATTCGTGGGTCTCTGATAGACCTGGACGACCTCCTTACCCACAAGGGAGCCTGTGTTCGTTACCGTGACCGAAATAGATACAGTGCCATCCTTCTGAGTAATCTTGGGAGCAGAGATGTCGAAGGTGGTGTAGCTGAGACCGTAGCCGAAAGGCATGGGTGCGTCACCCCGCTTCAGACAGGGAAAGTTGTAGTCATAGGTGGCGCAGACACTAGGAGTCTGAATGAAGCTTACGCCGCCTTGTGCGTCAGAAGACAGAAAGTCGTAGTATACAGGCAGCGCACCCTCAGCTTGCGGCATAGTCACGGTCAGCTTGCCGCTGGGGTTGACCTTGCCCTGAATGATCTCGACCGTGCTGTCAGCGGTGAACTCGCCAGCGAGAAACGTATGGAGAATGGCGTCTGCTCGCATGGTTGAGTTGTTGAGCACAAACGATTGACCGCCACTAAGAACAACAATCGTGGGCACGCCGGCGTCGAGAACAGCGTCAAGCAGTTGCTGCTGACTACCAGGGAAGCCCAAGCTGGCATGTGTGAAGAATTCACCATCCGTACGCTCACCAGCATTTGGATCTAGAGTGTATACGGACAGAGAGCCAACCGCCACAATCGCAAGGCCAGCCTCCTTTGCAGCAGCGACAGCAGCTTCGATCCCCTCACTGTCACTATCACGTACGAAAGCAATGTCAACACCCTTGACGTACTTAACGTTCTTGGCTCCGAGCACTGCCTCGAGGCTTCCCTTCAACGTGCGTCCATGTAAGGGCTTCTCGCTCGTACTAGGAGCGTAGCTTCCGGGGTTCAAAATATCGGCCATGGGGCCGAGGAGCGCAGCCCTGGAGATTTTGGGCTTGGGAAGAAACTTGTTCTTGTTCTGGAGTAGGACGATGGATTCGCGTGAAGCCTTTCGATTGACATCGAGATGCTTGGATGAGCGAAGTACCTTTTTGAGATCCTTAATCGTGGGCAGCGGAAGATCAAACATGCCAGTTGCGAATTTGATGATCAAATGCTGCTTCACTGCTTCGTCCACCAGTCTCACAATCTCCTGATCGTCCGGGCTGTTAACAAGAGTTGAAAATGCGGCTGGTTGTTGAGGAGCTAGTTCGAGCTGCAATCCAGCACGGAGGGCTTTTGTAGCTGCATCTTTGAGGGATGAAGCCACGAGGCTTTGAGTATGAAGATGTGGAATAGCCATAGCATCCGACATGAGCAGGCCCTCAAAGCCCATTTCGGATCTGAGCATACCCTGCAGAAGCTGTTTGTTGATTGACATGGGGACCCGGTCGATGCTGGAATACGACACCATGATAGACGCGGGGTTTTCCTTGAGCACGCGAATGTATGGAAGGGCGAGGTCGTTGTATAAATGGTTGATGCCACCGGCCATGCTTGCAGTATTGATACCGCCTGCGCCTTCTCCGTATAAAAAGTGCTTGACCGTTGTGGCGACTTTGATGAATCTGTTCTTATCCTTCTCTTCCATAGTTCGGACATACTGGGCCGCAAACTCGCCGACAAGATAGACATCTTCGCCGTAGCTGGTAAGAAATTGGTTAGTCACACGTTTATGTGCCAAGGACGCCGTCAACGCTACGAGTACAAAGAAGAAGAAGAAACATGCACTGGAAGAGAAATTGCAGTGTATGAGAAGGCACAGTATACACTTACGTCTCACCCACACGGCCGTATCTGGGATCCTTGGCTACGTCTAGCTCGGGACTGAGGACCCAGTGCGTCCCGAGAGCCATATTCTCGTCTCGAATCGCTTCCGTTATTTGGCCATACAGATCCAGGTCCCATGTCGTGGATAGTGACAGAGTTGCCGGAAACAAGGTCCCTCCAGGCACATAGATAGAGTTGACCGAATCTGTGACTGTGATGTACGGAACCTTGCCATTCTGTATCTGCTCCTGTCGTACCTTATTCGCAAATGGTAACACCTTTTCAGCAGGATTCAGCTGTGAGCCGTAGCCTGATGATTTGCTTGTTAGCTTGGGACTTTTTCATCGAGACAAGGCTTTATGCACTTGTGGTTGGCGAAAGACCTACTTAGTATGCCATGTTGTAGAGGGTACAGCGCATCATAGGAAGTCCGGTTGAAGGTTGAGTTAGGATCCAGAAGCTTTCTTATGCCACCTAACTGAGCGATCTTCTCTGTCCATTCAAGGGTGGGTAACAGAGCCTCCGCGCGCTCAGCTGGGGAAAAAGCTGTATTCTTCCAGGCTTCGCTGTTTGGGCCCGGTGTCGCGATCACAGTGTAGGCCAAGGATCCAGCAAGAGCCAGGGGTGTTACGGTGAAACGGAACATCTCGAGAGGCTGTTCGTGGTGACTTGGGTGGAGCTGCCGACGGATAGTGTCCTGCGGGAGATATTGTTAGCGATTGGATGTATACATGGGATGGCATTCTTCTTATAGTTTTCTTCACAAGGTGATACAGCAGAGATGAGAAAGTCTGCATAACGTCTTCGTGGTACATGAGTATAAAGCTGGGGCATATGGCCTTAGCTTGCTTGTCTCATTTCTGCACATATGACGAATCAATCCACCTAGCAAGCTGAACCAGGCCTTTTCCGCCAGGGGTTTTCGATGATCTTGTCTTTGACCATATGCACGATCCTCCTCCCCAATGCCTGAAGAAGAATCCGGGGGTAAAACCTACGTATCTGATTCGATAGACTCACAATCTGGAGATATAGGCCGACAACCGGATGGCATTCATGTGTTGAATTTTGGCTCGGTGATTGCAAGCGTGAAGTGAGCCCCGAGGCCCGTCGCCCGGATAGTACGAATCCATCTTAGTCTCTCTCCGGACCCTTTGGAGCCTAATCAGGGTGATATTGACCGACTACCGAATCCCAGATCAGATGCCCCAGTATATGGATCTCGGCCGGGGTTACTGCAAGAGGCTAGGCTGGTTACAAGGACATCGGTCTTGAAAGACGCAATCACATTCAAATTCGGCGAGCATGGTTGGTTTTCGTCGCCGAGCTTTGCTGCGGAGCTTGAACCCTTCAAGGGAGCCCGATTCCTGTTCTTTATCTTCAAATGAGAGCGAGGAAGATAAGCAGTTGCAAGGTGATCATAATGTAAGATAGAGCCAGAACTGCATCGAACCAGATAATGCCCCATGATTTCACTTGTACTTCACAGGAACACTAATACGTGAGTTGTAGTGTTTCTGACTAGATCCCAAGAAGTATGCCAATTACAAGAGAGAACGGCACGCCTTTCCCGCCGGAGAATGTTCCCTGATAAGTTGGCAGCCGCAAAGGTGTCATCAGAAGATCATAGGGCTTCGCTTTTGTAGCCAAAGCAATGTCTCAACGAAGGGAACGCAGCATTTCTGGAAGTATTCGTTGTCAACATGTAAGGAGATGACCTGCCCTTCCACCGACAACACAGGCGCTAGATGGGTATTCAATGACATGATTCACATCTCAAATGCTTTCACCCAATTCCCTGAGTTGATCCTGCAGGAGCCATGCCCAGTCCCGGGGAGCCCACCACCCAAAGACGTCCGGCATAGCAGGGCTGCGAGTGCTCGTTGGCTCTTGGTTCTGTGATCTGGTCGTATATGGCCGAGACCTACCCATTATAGCATGCTTGTTTGCCGTGAAGTTCGGTTTCGGATAGGAAATCGTTGTTTGTAGACCGGTGGTCGCATCAGTGGTAGCGGTCGATGCGTCAACCACATGAGGTCTCTCCTCTGCAGAAGCACCATGACTGCCCTGACTGGGAGGACTGTAACCCTCCATTATAAACGACGAACGCCGAGGAGTTGTGTCAGAACCAGGAGTTACTTCATCAATATGGGACCTCTGGTCTTCTTCTTCATCGCGTCCAACATTTGACGATTCAGCCCGGCGCAGTAGACTGTGTACAGCTAAGCGCTGCCGAGCACGCACAGCTTCAGAAAACCGACCGCCTGATCTGCTTTGACTCCGTAGCGAGGACAGCTGATGGGCATCACTTTGAAGAGCCTGATCCTCTGTGGGTTCGCTATTCATGGCTCTGCCTGTCTCGTTCGTTGTGATTCCCGAGGAACCTGGTGTTGTTTTGTGAGACAGAGTTCCCGCCGAATGTGTTGCATTTGCTACGGCAGCCTCCCCCTGGTTCGCCGTAGCGTGAATAGATCCGGCAGCCTCTGGCTGACTGCTAGGAAAGTTTTGCTTCTTCTTTTGCTGTTCTGAGAAGATGTTGATGGACTCCTCCAGTTCTCCAATGATGGGACTAACGAGCGCTGAGAATCGGAAAAATCTCTTGAGCGCAGCTAGGCAAAGCTCGGCGCGGCTAACAGCGAATTCCGGTGACGGCCGAGCAGGTCCTTTGCCAAATCGAGATATGAAGAGTATAAGACGGGTGGCATGATAAGCACATATAGCGGTGTCAAATTCGAGGAGGTGGTGTTGTGTGCTATGCTGGTTGAGCGTGGTGAGTATGTAGATGATTCGCATTGCGTGATGCAAGCACTGAGCCTCAGCAATCAGGAGGGCATGGTGATCATGGCCAGCGAGCACAGCAGCAGGAGCAGCTTCCGAGTACCCAGGCAAAAGGATGCGGTTGATGTCGCAGTGTGCTTGGTGCCAGGAGATGTGAGCCAGCAATAGACGGGGCAGCCATCGGGAGATCGACTTGTCTCTGTTGCTACTGCTTCCAAGGGGCTGGAATGCTTCATCCGCGCTTAGGAGAGCTTCTAGGATCGGCGCCGGTTTCTCCATGGATGCTAGAGTTTGCAAGTGGTGGCTGAAGAGGTCTGTGAGATTACCCAAAGGAGTTTCCAGCAGCGCGATCTTCCTTGAGATCTTCATCACATCATTTCGAATTGCTTCCAGCTGTATAACAAGCCCGTAGGTGCCCCCCTCGCCATAGTAGGTCGGGCAATCGCCGTTGGCTTGATCGTTTCTAGTAGCATCAGCTTCGCGACCGTTGATCATCGCCATGAAGTCCTCCTCGCTCCTGGGAAAGTCGATATAGATGACCTCCATGGGCAATGAGTCGAACTCGGCAAGACCAATCGAGAAATAGCGCTCAACCATCTTGAGAGACCAGAGAGTACGACGTCGGACCTCTCGCGCAACGGGCTGAAGGTCATGCCGCTCGTAATTGAGTCGCATTGTCGTGGCGAAACGAGCAGCCGTGGCTGTCAACATGAAAGCCCTCTGAAAAAGCTCCGTCTCTATGTAATAGTGTATCACCAGGAGAAGCGCCTGGAGTTTGGTTATACTCGGCGACTCGAGACTTCGCCAGATACTCTCCTCGGCCATCCTGATCCACGCGCTCGTAGCCTCGGCGGAGGTAACGCTGTAGTTGAGTGCTCTTCGACTCGAGTCTTGCTGATGATCAAGGTCGAGATCAACTTCTCTGCGCAGGTACAGCATTGCAACCGCGCAAATTGAAGCAGGAAGGGCACGATGCACATCATGAGAACGGCATCTTCTCCTGGTGGTATCTGGATGTAGAAATGCATATGATGGCATGGGATAGATGAACTTGAAGAATATGTCGAGGAGGGTGTCTATTTGATCCCGGCTTGGGCCACCATTGCCTGAGCCCCTTGCCACAGACTCTGTTGATGATGGATGCCACGACACTGATGAGTCTGCGGGTGAAGACAGCGGCATTGTTGCTATTTCTTCGAACCTTGTAAGATGTCCCGTAGATTGCCGCTGCCGATGCACGTCTACTCTTTGCCACCGATGTTGTTGATGCTCCAGTCGTTGATCATCCTCATCCTGTTGCTGGCTCTGTTGCTGGTGAGTCCGTTCCCGTCGATGCTCCGGTTCCTGTCCTCGTTCTCGCTCCGGTTCCTCACTGCATTCCTGTACGGGCTGATGCTCGTGCTCACATTCATACTCCCCATCAATCACCAGGTCGTCTTGACGATCGCTATAAAGCTCCTGCTGCTGCTCTAGTTCATTTTGATGTTGGTGCTCTGCTGGTTCAGCAGCGGGAGGACTGCTTGGGAATTGGGAGACAGCCTGTAAGCCTCGTTCTCTTTCCAGAAAGGAATCTTCGTGTTGCTGGGGTGTTTCCTCCTCCAGTGTGGTTTCCTCATGCGAGTAACCTTCTGGGGCGCGTCGGTAACGCTTGAGTGGCGGATAAGTGCATCTGATGTCCCTTTGCTGACAGGCGTCACATGCTGGAAGCGTCGCCGAGCACTTGATCTTCTTGAGACGACAGTAAGAACAGGCACGAGCTCCTCTAAGACGTTTCCTTGACGGTGACGGCCTCGCGTGAAGTTTGTGCTCATCATTGTTGAGAGAGCAAAGTAATCCCAGCCGTCGACAATTGCGACATGTCCCCGGTTGTTTGTCGCAGCGTACCTTGCGCTGCTTGCATTCAAGACATGTTTGGGGGATGTGGGTCTTGGTATGAAGCTTGAAAGAACCGATGTGCTGTTCGTAATCCATTGGATGCCATCCTTCTCACAACCGACACTCATCGGCTCGTGAGATGTAAATGATTCGGATGGCGATGGAGCTGAAGTGACTGCCCGTGTTTGCGGGGAAGTGGGGATTTCCCAAGGGGCCATGGCGTGCGATTCTCCCCAAGTGACGGAAGCAACTGAATTTAATTTAGGGCGGGTCACTGTCTTTTTAGTGCCTTCTGGCCCCGCACCAGCAGAGGCACAGCGCCTTCAGAGGTTAACCATTGGTATAAGTGACCAAGGCCCGTTCTTACAAACCCTTCACAAGGGCGTGAACGAGGAGAAGAGCTTCATCGGCTCGTTTTCGCAAAGCCTGGCAGGCTAAGAGACTCGAACTTGGCGAGCACGGTTGCATGAGTATCCTAATGCTTCTAGTCACTGCTTTATGTACATGTCTCATTCATCGGATGTCTCACAATCCGCGTTGCATCCAATCCTTCACAACTTCCGCTTCAGCACATCCTCCGGTCGCACGCCGTTCTGTTCTGCATACTTGACTGCTGCTGGCACACCTTTACTTGAACCACTCAGCCGGAGATGGATCGGATCATCGCCAATATGCTCCATCTTAGCCTCGAGGAGAGCCATCATGTGCTTGACCACATCGCTATACGCAGTATCATTGTACAAATTGAAGAGCTCAAGGGGGTCCTTCTCGCAATCGAATAGCTCCCATTCCTTCTCCTCTGGCTCATCAATATTGTCTGCCCTTCCAGGCCGCGCGCCTACAACTCCAAGGTCCTCGTTGTACCAGTAAATCAGCTTATACCGCTGATTGCGACAGCCGTAGTGCGCATAAGCCTGGTGAATAACATCGTTGTGCATCCAGTAACGGTGATACGCGACGTTCTCCCATTCCGGGCCTGTCACGGATCCCCCGCGCATCAGAGGCAATGCCGATTTGCCTTGCATATAGTTCGGGGTCGTGATGCCTGCTAGCTCGAGGAAGGTCGGGGCAAAGTCGACGTTGCAGAATATCTCGTTGCTAACAGAGCCGGATGGAATCTGCTTGGGGAACTGCGCCAGGAAGGGCATCTGGAAAGATTCCTCGTACATAAACCGCTTGTCGAACCATCCATGCTCGCCCAAGAAGAAGCCTTGGTCCGATGTGTAAATAACAAGCGTATTCTCGGTAAGTCCCTTTTGGTCAAGGTAATTCAACATGCGCCCTACATTGTCATCTACCGATTGGATCACGCGAAGGTAACGCTGCATGTAGCGCTGGAACTTGAAGGCCGACAGCTCGGCAGCTGTAGTGAAGGTGAAAACAGCGCCGTTGTCTTTGTCGATTAGCTTAATGCTCGGGTCCGTTGGGATCTTGCGTTGGGCCGAGCCAGACTCCTGAGTGACGCGCTCCCCTACCGACCGACCTCCGTCAGGCTGAACAAGTCCCAGATCCTGATACGTCAAGTCCTCGGCTACGCGCATCTTGGCGACTCTGGCAGCTTTGGCTCTGTTCTTGTAGTCATCGTCGTACGTCTCTGGAACCTTGATCGGTTTGTCGGCATATAGTGTCTTGTGCTTTGTATCGCATTCCCATGATCGGTGAGGGGCCTTGTGATGGCACATCACAAAGAAAGGCTTGCTAGAGGTCTCAGTGGCACTTATCCACTCGAGGCACTTGTCGGTAATGATGTCCGTGACATATCCTGTTTCGTGACGCTCGATGCCCGCGCCTTTGCCGTCGGGAGGCATTTCGATAAACTCGGGGTCCCAGTAGTCTCCTTGGCCTGGCAAGACGCTCCAGTAGTCGAACCCGGTCGGCTCGTGTGGCTCGCCTTCACCCAGATGCCACTTGCCTACCATGGCCGTACGGTATCCGCCCGAGCGCATGTGCTTTGCTACGTTGGGCATATGTTTGTTGATATGGTTATCGAGCGTCATGACGCCGTTCACGTGGTTGTGTGTGCCTGTAAGAATAGCCGCTCGAGAAGGTGTACAGATGGAGTTAGTCACATAACAGTGGTTAAAGAGCATGCCATTCTTAGCAATCCGATCGAGGTTTGGCGTATGATTTATACCAGCACCGTAAGCACTGATGGCTTTGGATGCATGGTCATCTGCCATGATGAAGAGAATATTCGGTCGCGAGTCCATTTTGACTCCAATGATCGAGCAATTCGTTTTGGTGAAAGACTGAATGAGGCAGAAGACGGAGGACAGAGAGACACACTTCGAGAACCAATGACTGAAGGCAGAGGATGTCAGTAAGTGCCCAAGAGGATCAGGCTGCGACAAGCTATGAGGAGAATGGTGAAATGCTTACTATGTATGTGACGCAGGTCGGGGACAATAAACTGTCCCACCGGCTAATGTAACTACCCGTCTTCCTTCGCCTTGACGTCGTACGTGAGAATTGCAACAGCCGATGCAACGACCCGGAGGCAATTTTGTTCTACTCCTGGCTCACTCTTCTCTGAGTCAAATGGCAGGCCAGTAGCTCGCAGCCAAAAGAAGAAATGATGACTGTCGGTACTCGGCCAGATGCTACAATCGGGAATAGTGCAATTGACACCTGCTTGGCTGTGGAGACTCGTTCGACTCATCCCCGCGTCCGGATGTCGGTAACAAGCTCTCTTTGAGGTTAGTCTTCTCGGCTGCCAACCTACAGACCCCCATCACGGATTGCGACGCCATGGCCAATCCAAGATGGTGTCCACCAACCCTCACAGTTTACCAATCCTCCGGGATCTCTACCTAGCAGATTCTCGACTTCAGTCCATTTCCGTTCCATCTCACCATTGCCCTTCCACAGCACGCCATGTTTTAACACCAACTTGCCCATCTACGTCTCGCGAGGATGATGTATTTGTGTATAAAGTGTTTCGTCGCGCCCTGAGGCAGTCCGCTCATCACCAGTCACTCTCACTCGGAGACACCCATAGCCTCCTTTATCTTGTTACATGTTTAAAGGTCACATCCGAAAGCAAGTCCTAAAATGACGAAGGCTCTGGGAACTTTCAGAGCATTCTACCTTGTAGCGCTATGCTGTGTTGGCTCTTTTCTTTTTGCCTATGACACCGGCATCGTTGGTGGAATTTTGACCTTCCCGAGCTTCCAGCGGGATTTCCGGTATACCACCAAGGACAAAGCCAATGTCGGTTCACTGTCCACGAGTCTCTTGCAAGCTGGTGGTGAGTACATCCTCCTGTTTTTCTGGTTTGTTGCTGTGCTTTGTTGGCAATGCCCTTTTGCATGCGACAGAGCTCCTATTATGTATTCGAAGAAGAAATGGTCAACTAACTTGGAACTCCCCTCTCCTAGCTTTCTTCTCCTGCTTCTTCATCTGGCCCTTCACCGCTCGATTTGGCCGTCGATGGTCTCTTGTTCTAGCCTCAACTATTTTCAATGTCGGCGCCGTGGTGCAAACTATCAACACTCATCATCTCGCGGGATTCTACATTGCTCGATTTGTCTCAGGTGTTGGCGTTGGTATGGCCACTGTGATAGTACCCATGTACTCTGCTGAGATGGCACCGAAAAACATCCGTGGCATGCTTGGTAGCATGTTCCAGTTCTTCTTTACCTTGGGCGTCATGACCTCGTACTGGGTTGATTACGCAGCGAGCATCCACATCCCGGACGACAGCAGCGCCCAATGGCAACTACCTGTAGGTCTACAGCTTGTTCCTGGCACTATCCTTGGCCTAGGAATGCTCTTTACAAAGGAGAGTACTCGTTGGCTCGCCAAGACAAATCGCCGTGAGGAGGCTTTGCAATCTTTGATCTGGGTTCGTGGAGGAGATTCCCCCGAAGTCCAAGAAGAGTAAGTGATTCCCAATAGTGACATACCCCCGACTGTTGGTCGGACTTGCTTCTAACAGACATGTCCTGGCACAGGTTCAGCGAGATTGTTCGCAGCATCGACGAGGAGAACCGTATCAAGGCTGGCTTGACTTGGAAAGAGCTTATTGAACCCGTCAACCGTTACCGTCTCGGCCTCATCATTGCTCTACAAATCGGTAAGCACTTCTTCTGAATTTCCATTCCTCGTGGGCCTGGATTTAGCTAATGCATTTTCCACGTGTTAAGGCGTTCAACTCACCGGCAACACCTCCTTGGCGTACTGTGAGTAAATTCCTGTACAGTTTAGTACCTTTCCCATCATTTCTAACATGTCTGTTCAGACGCTCCTCAGATCTTCGGTCTAGTTGGTGCTGGCCAGGACAAGCTTCTGCTTACTGGTTTCTTCGGTCTTGTCAAAGTCGTGGCGTGTCTTTTCTTCCTGCTATTCCTTGTTGAACGAATCGGTCGTCGTGGGTCTCTACTCGCAGGTGCAGGTCTCATGGGTACTTACATGCTCATTGTGGCAATCTTGACAGTCAAGTTCCCTCCGAACCCAGATGCTGGACTGACACCTCCTTCTATTGCCTCTCTGACTATGATCTATCTGGAAGCCATGAGCTACAATATCTCTTGGGGTCCCGTACCGTGGGTTTACACTGGTGAGATTTTTAGCAGCCGTACTCGCGAGGCTGGCATTGCCATCAGCACGTCAACGCAATGGCTGTTCAACTTCGTCTTTTCTCAAGCTACTCCCCACGCTGTCACAAAGCTTGGCTGGAGGACATTTCTCATGTTCTCGATTTTCAATTTCGCACTTGTTATCTTTGTCTGGTTCTTTATCATGGAGACCAAAGGCAAGTCTCTAGAAGAAATGGAAGACCGTAAGTCTAATGTCTCACCCAACTTGTTACCTCGAATAATGACTGATATTTGCCCTAGTCTTTGCCCGTCGAGCCGGCGTCACTATTGCGAGACCTATCGAAGACGGTGTGGCAAGCGAGAAGGAGATAGAGAGAGAGGTTGTAATGCAGTCTTCCAAGTCGAACTAGGTTCTTCGAAGCATGAAGAGAAGGTCACTTCTCTAGTTGTGATACAAGGAGAGCTAACACATGATGGACGCTATGGCTGAAGCATTACAACAAACTTTTACCCAGTATAGTGTATAGCGCACCGGCACGAGCTGCTGTCTTTGAGTGACTTATTGCTGTGCTTTTAGCATTAATACATCCTTATTGTTCACTCGAGAGCATTTTTGAATAGTAAAACTTGGATTAATGAACTAAGAAAATAAAGCGAAACATTATCAACCTGTTCTGTGCTGAAGAGAAAGAGAAGTACTGTCTTTGGTACGGGACGCCCCGTCGAGAAGCCTAAGCTTTTTGAACATTGTACTCGGAGGCACCAAAGTTGTGGATCTTCTTGTCCTTGGTTCCTACGGCAATAAACTCAGGACCAGTGTTGAAGATGTAGAAAGGCTGATCATCTCCAGGATAGAGAGGCTGGCGCAGAGTAACCGCATAAATGGCCTGCTTGTATCCTGCCTTTCGGAGGATAGTGAACGCATCATGAATATCGAGAGCGACGGGCCAGGAGATAACCTGGTCTCCCAAGAAGGGAGAGTTGATGGTCTGGACCTTTCCAAACTCGCCCCAGCCAGTGGACTCGATGATAGCAGTCTTGTTGCCGCTGAGACCACAGACAATACGGTTGTTGACAAGACCCCACTCGTTCTGGACAGGCTTGCGAGTCAAGGGAGTTGCGTCGACTTCGAGAAGGTTGGCATTGGGATACTGCTTTTTGATAAGGTTGAGACCAACGTTGATGAACCCATCCCAGGACAGAGGAAGGCCAACTTTCTGGTTGCCATTGCCGTTCTTGTGTCCGTTGGACGCAGCGCCGTGTGTTCCGACACTGCCTTGGTTGCTCACGCTGAAAGAGGCTGTGGTCTGTGCTGGGACAGATTTATCATCGAGGAGAACATGACTCTCCACGGTGTAGGGGATACGGTACAAGAATGGAGGCTGGGTCTGGCCCACATAGACAAAGATTTCGGTAGTTCCAGTCTGTTGAGCAGTGAGAGTCCATACGATCTTGCCATCCTCAATACGAGCATCATTCAAAGTGACAAAGCTCTTGTCGAAGTCAATGCTGACTGAGCCACCTTTTCCCGTGAAAGAGTCACTCTGCTGGATGGTAAAGGGCTCATCGGCAAGAACATTAATCTTCTTGTCCTCGGAGACCTGCTTAATCTCAGGCAGCTCAACCTTCTCAGCCTTGCCATTAGTAGCAGCCTGTCCATTTGTGTTGTTGTACTGAATGGAAACAACCCAATGCTGCTTGTTCTCAGTGTTGACAACAACAGTGTTGGAGGGGAAAACAATGCTGGGAAGCTCGATGTTGAAACTGTCTGTAATCTCGTAGGGTGAGTCCCCGCGAATGATTGGGCCCACCCAGCCGATCAGCTCGAAAAGAAGGCCGCCGGCGAAAGGAAGACGGCGGAATGTGATGTCTCTGGTGAGGTCAACATGGGTGCCAGATGCCTTGAGAATCAGGAGCCCGGCCTCGTTGTCGTAAGAGGCAGTGATGCTGTCTGCAGGGATGAGTTGTTGGTGGACAAGACCTCCGTTCTGTGAAGCGGACATTTTGGATAATGTAATAAGTTATAGATTGAGGGGACTGAAAAAAGTGTTTCAATTAATAGTTGTAGGAAAGCTGAGTGAGTGATGAGTGTCTGGAGATGAAGTGAACAATCTGGGAAGCACTTCCCTTCTTATAGGAGAAGTCTGGTCATGAATTGATGTACTATCTCTTGCCTTTTCTTCGATGGGTATTTCCATGTCTCTCACGTTCGAAGATGGATTTCCTAAATCATCCAAGGTTTTCCTCAACACGTAAAAACTTGGTCAATTTCTTTTCAGCTTGGCTTGTCACATTCCTTCGTTGGCTGGCCAGCACAGGTTTATAATTCCTGCTCGCATAAGTCTCATCACCCAGGCTGATATTTCTCATGTTCATTGGCGAAATGAAGTTTCCGAATTCAAGCCTCTTATCACACAATGGTGTTACGTGCTTACGCATCAGCATATCGAATGTTCGTGGCGTCTCAGCTCTCAGCTGAGTCTCTGAACCCCGCGCGAGGACGGGGCCTAAACTTGAGCCTCATTCCAGTGCCCTCGGAACTTAAACCGTCACATTTGCTCCGAGCTGCATATTGTGGCTGTTGAAGGGCAGATGGTTGGTTGTAATGCTCAGGTAGCTTAAGCGGCATGGACCGAGCCGGTGATGGAACGGGCAGCGTTGTCACATGGCTAGGACCCTTAGGTCCGGTTAACTTCGATCTAGCCTCCCACGTTGCAAACCATTCTTCGTTGAGAATATCAACCATCCACGTACGCCTTGTCAAGCTCGTCTCATGGCGCTAGGGGTTGCATCAAACTGTGAAGCACAAATGAGCAGTGGTTTGTCAAATGCGGGCATTTACCTCTTCTGCTAGGTTTGAAAACCCCAAGATACTGATGGCCTCTTTCTTTCACAACACCGGACTATCCGCCTGCAAGTCTTCCCTCTTTAGATGCAATAGTATCATAGTCACACCTAGTGACCTAGTTATAGAGTGCTCCATTAGTGCTGACGGGCATATTGTCTGTATGATAACATGGTTGCATAACCGCTTTCCTTGTTTCATTCTGTAAAGGATCTCAGAGCACCAATCTGGAATAGAACGATCCTTGACAAAAAAGGCAGTGAACGATTACGTCAATCCGAATGGCCCTGGGCGGTCTGGTTGGGAGGCCGCGACAAGATAACAAGACCGACCCTCGGCTATCTGGGATATGAATAACATCTGGATATCTGATGCGAATACTACTGTGCAAAGCCTTGAAACGATGATCATAATAAAACACAAGGTTACGCTTAGGTATGACTTGCACAAATCTCACCACAATGCTACACTGAGCAAGGGCTATTTTGATCTGCACGGATTCTGGTGATCTTAAATTACAGGGGTTTAGCGTCTAGATAAGACAATCTACACGCATTTGTCTTAGTGTCGACAATACGAAATGAGCGCCTGAAAGTATGACTAAATAAGCGCCACTCCCGCCTCGCGCTGGCATGGCGATCCCCAAATTCAATGCATTTCTTCAAACTCTAAAAACGTCACCAAAACAACACCAAAACAATCATCGGTTCACTCGGACTGTGTGAGAAATGAGGCTGAGACGGTCGAAAACCAAGGAGGAGGGCTCAATGGGGGAGGACGAGGCGTCTTTTCATGCTTTCAACAGCCCCAGGCGACTCCCAGCTTGGCTAGACCACTTCAATGCCAAGGACCTCAAGATTTTGTTCAAGTGCTCTTTGGCTGTTTGGATCCTCACCTTGTTTATCTACATCAGTGATACGCTGAGAGTGCTCGGACAGTCGGCATTCTTCGGATGGTAAGTCCATCATGAAAATTCCATATCGTCAGGTACTAACGCGTCTTTAGTGTTGTCCTATTCATCATGCCGCCTTCGGGCGTTGTCTTCATCCACTTCGCAGCCGGAGTTATGATCTGTGTCGGTATGGCGCTTGCCTGGGCCTGGGGAACAATCACCATGAAGGCTGCTTTGGCGACAAGACCTCAAGCTGATTTACAACAACGCTACGCGGAATTGCAACAATCAATGCCTCAAAACACGACCAATGTTGGCCAAGCGTCAGGTCAAACAACATATGCACAAATAGCCATCTACGAAGGCTTTATGTTGGATACTCGCGTATCGGTCACGTACTTCTGCATGATGGGGTTGTTTATCTACTTCATGGTAAGTTGATTGTGCAGCCAACCGTGTATTCAACAACTCACAAACTCTGACTAGGCGCGCGTGCGAGTTTCTGCTCCCAACTTGATGCTCGTATCCATGTTTTCCATGATTGTTGCCAACATCTATCTGACCACAGCACCGCTCATTCCTACTTTTAGAGGCACCATACCCAAAGTCTTGATTCTTCCGAGTGCCATCGCAGTCGGCGTTGGAGTTGTTTGCAATTTGTTGTTTTTCCCGCAATCAACCTCACAAATCACCCTCGGTAGCATGGCAGACCTTCTCCGCCCGATGAATGGCTACGTCAAGGCTTTGACATGGCACTTCAAGACGAGAAGCAGGTTTGAGCCTGAGCAGCTACAAGCGCTGAAAGCTACCTTGGCCGTGTCCTTCAAAAGTGTCGAGAGTGCCGTCAAGTTTCTGCCTTTGGACTTTTCTTTTCGAAGATGGAGCCCTGAAGATATCAAGTCCTTTCACGAACCACTGCGGCAAGTACTGGTATCTTTTGGCGAGCTATTGCAACTATCAATCTCTCGTGAAGAGCTCTTTGCCAAAGATGAAGCTCTAACAAAAGCGGCCGAGGAACTTGAAAAGTCTGACAACGAGAAGCACCCTCTGGCTTATCATATTGCGAAAGCGGCTAATCTACGTGATATCACAAGACACCCTGATACTGAAGAGATGATTGTCAAAAGCATCGACGCACTTTCATCTTGCGCTACTCCTCTACTGAAGACGCTGGAGCAAACCGTCGATGCCATAATCGAAGCGTTTTCGGGAGCTTGTAAAGACGACACAATCAGTCAACATGAGCAGATCCTTGCATCGCTGCAAGAAGCTCTCGACGACTTCGAAGATACGGCTGCAGAGCAACTTATTGCCCCTCATGCTCATCTTTTCGATGCCAGCGGCAAGGTTCTCTACAACGATCACCGCGCACCTCCTCTCCTTGGCTTGATGTCTGGTCTTCTATACCAGGAGCGACTCATCAACCTGACAAAGAATATTGGAGGGGTTCTTGAACGAGCCATCGAGGTTGAGAGGGTTCGAACATCGAAGCGAGTATGGCTACCCAAAGGCCTCCAGCACATCTTCACCCTCGGTCTGTCCCAAGATGCACCGCCTTCCACGATTCCCAACTCTAACGATCTCACCCGAACGATGTCCGTCATTTCCAAACCCGAGAAGAAAGGAGGTCTCTTCAGCAAGAAGCGAAAGGAAAAGGAAGACCCTGAAGGGGCAAGAACAACAGCCACCATTCTTGAAAGTATGGAGCAGCCCACGAGTCGTAGACGAAGCAAATCGAGTCTGATCTTCTTGGCCCTCATCAACTTCTTTACGGGTGTCGAAGGTCTTCACGCTCTTCGTGCACTCGTCTTGACTATTGCCCTCGCCATTCCTGCAGTTATACCGTCGTCGGCTGGCTTCTACTATCGCGAAAAGGGACTATGGGCTCTGATCATGGCGCAGATGGCCCTCGAACCTTACATGTCTGACTTTACATCTGGAATCCTCATTCGTACCCTCGGTACTGTGGCTGGAGGTATCCTGGGTCTTCTGTGCTGGTACATCGGATCTGGAAATGGCCCCGGAAACCCATACGGCTTAGCTGCCATCATGGCAGTCGCTATCATTGGTATGATGTGGTGGAGATTGTTTTCTCCGCCACAACATATGGCTGCAGGTATCATGCTTACATCTACTATGTACATGGTCATGTCGTATAGTTGGGTCGATACGCATATTCCCAGTTATGGTAACCCTGGAGTCGGATACGAGGTCTTCTGGCGGCGAATACTTCTTGTCCTGATCGGTTTTGGTGCAGCCGTCTTTGTTGCGCTTCTTCCGCGACCCCTTTCTGGAAACAGACATTATCGACAAATTTTATCCAGCCAGTTGTCGAGCATCAGAGACCGCTATGCCCTTCTGATTTCAGTCTGGCGCTCACCTCCCGATGATTTCGTCGAGGTCATTGAGAAGCAGGCTACCACGACTGAAGAACTGCTCAACTCCATCGCCCTTCCAATCCTAAAGACCAAATTTGAGTTCTCAACCTCAAACATCGATACTGAAACTCTCAGCCGCGCCAACCATCTTTGCAACAACCTCAACGTCTTCCTGGCCCAGTTCAGTATGACCGCGACGAAGCTACCCCTCCCAGTCCGCGAGAGATTCTTCTATCGCGTGAGCGCAGGCGACGAAAACCTGATTGCTGACCTGATGTCAACCATGACCCTTCTGCAGCATTCGTTGATGTCTGGAGAGCCACTTCCAGCAATTCTGCCGACTCCTTTGGTGGGCCGGGCGATCCAGTTCAGAAAGTTGCGGGGAGACTTTCAAGATGAGGGCAACTCTAAGGAATACCTAGCAAAGCAAGAAGGAAGGCAATGGTCAGCCGCCGTTTATGCGTTTGTGAGATTTTTGGGCACGCTTGATGAGCTTGTTATAGTCGTGAAGAAGTCTGTTGGTGAAAGATCACATATCAATGCGGAAGCATTAGGAGGGAGTATGTACTAGAAACATGAGCAGCATTGCTTCCGAACTGAGACATAAGCATGATTGTACAGGGCAATGAATAAAAACAAAAAAAGCCTAAGCTGGTGTAATGGTTAACACGTCCGCTTGTCACGGATGAAAGCTTATGCGCGGAAGTCAGCCCTAAAGGGGGGAGGGAGTTCCGGGTTCAAATCCTGGGCTTGGGGATTTTTTTTCCGTCTTCAAGGGAACTTAATCTGATTTTGACTCTATTCCTTCATGCCACATGTACCTTCGTGAGTGGCCGCATATGGGAGATTAAGGAAGCTTTTGTACATTAAAGTCTAACAGAGCTTCTGGTACCTTTTGTGGCTATAAATACAACAACTAATAGGAGTATATAACAGAACACCTTATTCCAATTTTTTCTTGACTTGATCAGATAAAACACAGAGTATCAAGCCTGCAACTCACTGGCTTCCCTCTTCCTCGTGGCTTCGCTTTGCTTCGACGTGTTCATGATGCTTGAAGAGTCCGAGAAATCCCAAGTCGTAGCATACCTTTAGAGATCCAGCCATGATGAAAGAGGCCCAGAAATAGTTCGAGTCTGCTAGTAGTCCTGTGATGAGAGGTCCAAGGCTCTGGGAAGTTGTCTTGGCTACGTTGATAAGACCAATGACAACTGTTCGCTCTTTTGGTTTGATTATAGCAGCGAGGAAGGCTGAGCGGGGTGCAACATCCATTGACTGGGTGCAAGATCGTAGAATGAGGAAGAGAACCGATAGATGGACATCGTTGGGGATTGGGACCAGAGCCAAGAAGACCGCGGATGGAAGGTGAGTAAACACCATAGTCTGTGAGTCATGTCAGTTAGATCATTCAGGCTTTTACATGTATTGGATTCTTACTCGAACATTGCCGAAGCGCTTGGCAAGAGACGATGCTACCAGCATCGATGCAGCGGCGATGATGCTCGTGGTGAAGAAGATGGAACCTAGCTTCCCTTCCTCGATATGGTAGTAGGATTTGAAGTAGTAAGTGATCCACGAGCTATGGTGACTGTTAGCTTTCTCATAGAGATGATAAGCTACTGTGTAAAAGTACTTACAGAGGAGCCAGTCCTGAAGCAAAGCTGTCCAAGGCTAAGAGGGTGCACAGGGTCACGACAGTCGGGATACTGTCCCGAGAAATTCGAGCTCGAAGTTGTTTCTTGGGCTGAGGCTGCTCAACGCTTTGAGCTTGAGCGTTGTCGGGAAGCAGAGGTGCTTGTTCGCCGTTGTCCGCTGGAGAATCCTGCTCGGGCTCATGGTGAACTTCAACTGCAGAGCTCAATATAATAGCCGAGAGCAACTTCAGCACTCCCATCACAGAGTATCCATAGAAGACGTAGCGATACACTTCAATCACGTCCATGCCGAGATTGACGCGCATGTGATGAATAATCCAACCGCAGGTCAAAAGGCCAAAGGCGCCGCCAGCCGTGCCGGAGAGACTATACCAGGCATATACATCGCCCCGCCGAGCTGCATCAGTCAGATGAGCAATGATACTCTCTTCAACACCGCGGAAGGGTCCGATTTCGTTTCCACTATCGATTGTCAACATCAACACCATCAAACCTTTTTTCTTTGTCTTACCCAGGACTAATGACACCCAAAATTGCTGCAGCAAGCAAAACCCAGTAATTGCTAGATGTGGCAAACACGATTCCACTCGCAGTCATCAAGATTGCTCCCAAGGCCAAGACCGCGCGTCGGCCAACACCATCAGCGAATAGTGCAAGCAGGAAGCTGAGGATGATATCACCAACCAACGTCAAGGTCATGAATAAGCCGACACGGGTTGTCGATACGCCAAGTTCTCGTAAATAGGCCACGAGAACAAGAGTAGATCCGCCATAGGCGAAGAGACGGATGAATCTTTGTACGCAAAGAATCTTGATATCTTTGGTGGAGTGGTAGAGTGAGACCAGACCAAGTTCTTCCAAGACTTTGTGAGCGGGATGACGCCTCGAATTGGATTCCGTAGGTTCCGACATAATGACAATTGGGGAAAATACAATACGAACTGGTCATTAAATGCAATTGTACATTAATAAAGAGAATTCCTCTTCGTTGGATCTCAGCACCGCCAAAAGTTTATATATATGTCTACCTCCGAAGTTCCGAGCCGATTTTGACCCAGTGTAAAATCCAGGGTAGCTGAAGCGAGCATAAATCAGCTTGATGTTGCGTCATACTCAGGCCCGGAAGAGAGTTTACCAGAATGGATGTTGTGATTGGTGGGTTGACTTTGTCAGCGTCGGTTTTCCGAGATTCGCGTACCAAAATGGGCAAGATCTCGAGTCGGGTATATAGACTCCAAATTCTCTCCACGTGACATCGAACTCCGCTACAGTGGCTGCTCAACAGTCATCATCTTCCGTAGTATAGTGGTCAGTATGCAAGCTTGTCACGCTTGAGACCCGGGTTCAATTCCCGGCGGGAGAGTTCCAGCCAGCTGTTAAAAGCAGCATTTCTTTTTTTTGGTTTTTTGAATAATCACTGCTCTGATTGATGCGCCGATTGGTGCGCCTCTTTCTCGTTTTTGAATGGTATACTAGTGTCATCCAGTGGTTGACAGACTTGGTTTCTTTAGTAAATTTGATTTCATAATGTCCTGACTTCTATAAGACGCCAACGAATCATCTACACATATGTAATACATAATGTACAAGGAGTCCTGGCAGGGAATTCTCATCCTGTTGGTGACAGCGCTCACTTATACAATGGCTTTGATCGCTTTCTCAAAACAGAACAGTACTTCTCAACAGCTTGCTCGGCCGGTTTCGCTCTCGAATCTTTCTCGCAATTGGCGTAGCAACTTTGACGGGAGACGTGTTAGCAACCTTGAACCATGAATAAGAAGAGGCATCTTACTTGGCAATCTCTTTATGTGTTCCACAAAGACATCGCTCATTATCGCCACAGGCATCAGTCTAGAGATAAATGTTAGCCTTCATTCTTACACAAACAAACAAAAACGTGCGTTTTTTGGACCAGCTTTGAGGCAGGCCTCCACTTCACTGCAGTTTGCCGCTTGGGCAGTAACCCCAACAATGGAAAAGAGGAAAACAAAAACAGAATATTTCATATTTGCATCAGGGTATATTCACTATACTCGGCAGGAAAGACAATCGCGAGGGAGAGACGTAGTACTTAAGTAGTCAGGAACAAAAACCCTACGACGCCATCGATCGCCAGAGGCTTGAGAACCCTGACTCTTTCATCCGATCGAAGACGATAACCTTCAGCCGCTGTTCTCATTTCGAGGTTATCACTTGAGAAGCCATCATGTTGAATGAACTCGGTGGAAAGTCTGAAGTCACTGCATTCCTGAGCCCCTGATAGCCAACCAATTGTTGCGGTGACTGGCGGTCGAGCCCAGGTGCTAGGCGTATTGTCCGCATTCTTCAGGAGCACCTTTCCACATGCGTTCAGCCTCATGGATTGACAGACTGGCGGGCTTCACTGATAATCTGAGCAATCCCATCAAAGGGGCAATCGCTCGAAAGCAGTGAGCGACAAATGTTGCGGATTGCTTGTTTCGGACGTTCGGCCACCGACGGCTTGTGAAATTCATAGTAGGGCATAGTGAGTAAGCGGGAACCAAAATATAATTGTAATGTGAATTGATACGTACATCCATAATCATTCCAATATTCGACGCCGTTCGATCCAGGCTGTTCGATAAATACACAGCAAGGTAGGAAGAGCGATGGACTACCCTAGAGCATGACATGTGGCGAGTATCGTGGCTGTGCTCCTCGCCACGTTTTCTTCTGTTTTTCATGACACCAGGCGTCGATGTCCTTCAAGGCTTTCATATCATCACCGTAACCATGCTTCGCCTGATATCGAGTCCGTCAGTCCTAAAGACTTTCAATGCACAAACTTACTCTTTCCCCACCTCTAGCAAAAATGGGCCGTCCCTCACAATATTTCGGCAATTTCAAAACTCGATTGTGGCCCGAAAGAAGTTTCAGTATCCTGGTGCGAAGCCGATGATGTTTCCTGCAAAGGATTATCACAAAGCTGAACAGCGGAGGGATCAGGACGGAAATGCGATCTGGCCTGCACCCAAGAGTCAAATTGAGAAAGCAAAGGATTTCCTCCGTGAATGGTCAGCTACCCCTTCTTGTTATCACGCCATGGTCGGGATGAGAACGATATCTCTAAAGGACTTGAGCTAATCATCCTATAGTGCTGCCGCTCGTAAACGGACTCTTATCGTCCCTGATAAAGATGCCGATGGTCTTGCTGCTGGAGCTATCATAAGAAAAACCCTCATCTTGCTCGGCCTCCATCCCAAGCTGATATCGTGTTACACGATGACCAAAAACAGCTTACTACACTATGCGGATTCTCGCGCAAACATGGAAGCTTACAATCCATCTTACATCATTGTCCTCGATCAAGGCTCATGGAAATCAGAGCCTGTTATCGACTCACCCCATCGCGCGTTAGTCATTGACCACCATCTGGCAGAAGACAATGACCACCCTAAGGGCGCGATATTAGTGACGGCGAACAAATGCCCACCGATAGCTACAAGTTCGCTGCTGACGTATATCATCTGCCGCGACCTACACAAAAGAGTCGAGGAATCATGCGGGTGGTTATGTGTCATGGGAACGCATGGGGATCTGGGTAATGCGATCAGATGGCGGCCGCCATTTCCGAACATGCAAGCGACGTTTGGGACGCATACCAGAACAACGATAAATAATAGTGCGAAGCTCATCAATGCTCCTCGCCGAACTGCAGACTACGATGTCCCTAGAGCCTGGCAAGTATTGATCAAGGCCTCATCACCCATAGACCTTGTCAAGAATAAGTTCTTAAAGGAAGCAAGGACCAAAGTGATACATGAAATGAAGAGGGCCGATCGCCTGGTGCCCTTGTTTTCTGCTGATAAAAAAATCGCAGTTATCCGCATCAAATCGAAAGCACAGATTCATGCTCTCATTGCAGAACGCCAGGCTCGTCAATTGTCTTCAAGAGAGCTCCAAGTCGTGATGGTAGCGAATGAAGGCTACGCACGAGGCGTTGTCAACTATTCGTGTCGCGTTCCAACGTGCGCCAGGGGCAGAGATCCTCCTGTCGACATCCCAGAAATTCTTAGTCGAGCAGCAGATGGGGCAGACGACGATACGCTGAGAGAGCGATTGGGACCTAGGTTTGCTGTTGGTCACAAGAACGCAAGCGGCGGAATGATTCCTCAAACTGCATTCGAGGATTTCTTGCAGGCCATCGGAGCTTCAAGTGACAAAAAGCCATCGCCTTCGCCGAGGAAGTCAGGATAGATTCAACATAAGCAGCTAGGAACCCTTGTACCCAAGCATTGGCGCCCCGTCCTGCCAATTAAGCGCAATTTAATTCCAAGAATTCCTCCCTGCGATAAGCAGAATTCGGAGCCCCGACGCTGGCAAGCTTAAACCTTGAACCCCCTGTTAGCAGCCCGTTAGTGGTTTAGAAAACGCCCTGGGACCCCTTCCAGGGTTACATCATTGGAGTAAAAGGGTTCTTGGCTTGGAGCCTTGAACTAATGCCGAGTGCCGTTCTTGTTGCTCGTGTCAATGACGCAGATCTTGACCGTTTATTGAACTGTACAACCCTCCCCTGCTCATGGAAACTTGGCCTAGACAGGAAAGTGGCTGACATCACCACCTTCAGCTGCGAGATACGGGCATGGTTTAGATCGATCTGATGTCGAACAGAAGCCTTAATAGTATTAGATTGACGAGACAGTCTGCGACATTAAATAAATCGAGACCTCTATCGACAGAAACAAGCTCCTGTCGCCGTTATCTCGACAGCGACTAAAACCGCTCAGTAAACGTGTAAGCGGGGTAGCGTGACCAAATAGTCCAAGATCGTCCATTTAGACCAACCACCGGATATTACCTCTTGTAACACTATCAGCGACTTCGTATGGAATAACTGTCGGCCCGCTGAACCTTGACGGACATGGACTTCTTTAATGACTCTGTAAATCCCATCCCAGGCTGAAGCTGAAAAAGCAGGTTCCTCAAGCTTTTCACCACTCACCCCATCTCAAACCTTTCATCATGAGACCCAGCATCAATTTCGTTGTCAATGCCCTTTGGCTGACAAGCCTGAGCACTCCTTCTGCTGCCGCTCCATCCAATGGCAACTATGGTCTCAAGGGTCCTGAGCTGAAGCATTGGCCTGCCCAAGCTGCCAAAGCTCTCAACAAGATGATTGCTCGCAATGCCAACAATGGCCGCTATGCTGTCTTCGACATGGACAACACTAGCTATCAATTCGATTTGGAGGAATCACTTCTTCCTTACCTTGAGAACAAGGGTGTTCTTACACGAGAGACCATGGACCCTGCTCTCAAGCTGGTCCCTTTCAAGGACACCAAGAAGCACAAGGAGTCGCTGTACAGCTACTACTTGCGCCTCTGTGAGATTGAGGATGCTGTCTGCTATCCTTGGGCTGCCCAAATCTTCAGCGGATTCCCTCTCGGTGAGCTCAAGGGCTACGTCGATGAGCTGATGGCCTACAACAAGACCATCCCCACCACATATTTCGAGGACGACAAGGTCACAGCCACCGAAGTCTCCCCTCCCAAGATCTTCGAGGGCCAGGTCGAGCTGTACAACCGTCTCATGGCCAACGGCATCAAGGTCTACGTTGTCAGCGCTGCTTCCGAAGAGCTTGTCCGCATGGTTGCTAGCGATCCTAAATACGGCTACAACGTCCCTCCCCAGAACGTGATCGGTGTATCTCTCTTCCTCAAGACCAAGAAGGGCGAGATCACCACTGCTCGCAAACAAATTGAGGATGGTGACTACACTAAAAAGACACAAAAGCAAAATCTCGAGGCTGAGATGACTCCCTGGCTCTGGGCCCCAGCTACTTGGAAGTCTGGAAAGTGGGCTGCTATCCTGACCTACATCGATGAGTGGAACAGGCCTATTCTTGCCGGTGGTGATACTCCTGATAGTGATGGTCCCATGATTTTCCAGGGTGTTGATGTTGGACGTGACGGTATTCACCTTTGGGTCGATCGTAAGCCTGCTTACAGAGAGCAGATTGACGGCATGATCAAGAACAACACGATTGCTCAGAAGAAGGAAGGGCTACCCGTTACAGCTGACAAGAACTGGGTCTTCGTGACGCCAAAGGAGCTTCACTAAATTATGTTTTAGCTAACATGACTGATATTTTAATAACTAACATATTTAACTCTCAAACACCACGTAACTCTACTAATCCCTTAAGCGTACTGCAGTCTCTCTTTGGTCCAGTCTGGGCGGAGATACTTGCTGTCAAACTTGACATCGAAGCTGGATGTATGAGCATAGTCAACCTCCCACTCAACTTTGACCTCACCACCCTGAGCGCTCTGACTCCAGACCGTAACGGCGATGGTGTTTTCTCCATTGTAGTTTAGAACACCAGGAGGGACAGGGAAGGAGATTTGGTTGCCGATGTAAGGGTTGAATCGTCCGTACTGGTAGCCGTTGACGAATAGAAGAACTCTGACTTGGTTGCTGTAGCCCTTCTTCGTGGCGGAGAAGGTCGTGTTGGAAGGTACCGTAAGCTTGAACGAGACACCGACGTCTAGGCCATCAGGAATATCAAGACTCACAGTCGTTCTGTAGGCACGAACTCCAGCTGAAGGATTGACGAGGGTTCCTTGCTTGGAAGAGTATGACTTCCACTTCTTGTCGGAAAAGCCAGGCAAGTGAGCGCCGATACGCTCGGCGTAGAGACCGCCTTCGTTGAGCGGGCCGCGGATGGGATCGATGACCTCGCCCTCAACGCTTCCAGCATGACCAGCAATCTTCCACTCAGAGAACTTATAACCGCCCTTGGCAGGGCCAACAAGAGTGGCGTTGGTGATACCTCGAGGATCAAGAGCGCCGTCACGTAGATCGTGGCCAGAGTTGTCCATCAGAACAACCAGAACGTTTTCCTTCTTAGATAGAGTGGCGTTCTTGAAAGAGAACTCTTGGCCTGCATGGCCAGTGGTGGCTTCGCCGAGATAAGATCCGATATAATCCGAGTTCAGCCAGACGGAGTAGCCAAAGGCCATGCCACCAGTGAGGTTCAGATAAACGCCAGTAGGGGCAGAGCTAGTAGTGGGGAAAGTCGCTCTGTAGATGTGGTTTCCGTAGTGGATCTTGTACTCGTCGACGTAGAGCACGGGGTTCTTCAGATCGGGAACGAGGACCGCGTTGGTGGTGTTCTTCTTATCGGCAACTATGCATGGTCAGTACATTAAGTCATCTCAGGTACCACTGTAATACGTACCAACCCAGGCCGAGGATGAAGTCTTGTAGTCTGTCTTGATCTCGGGCAAGCTGTCGGCATACTTCCAAGAGTCAAGCTTGGGCAACGTAACCTTTGAAGGACCCTTGAGCTTGATGGTGTACTTGTGGCCTTCCTTCGCCGAGACCTTGACCTTCTCACCGTTCCAAGCGATGGACTTGAGAGACTCGGGAGCAAACACAGTGATTTCGGTGGCGCTGTCGAGATCGCCCTGGATGTTGAGTTGTCCGTTCTTGATAGTGGCATGGCGGACGAGGTAGGGGCCGTGAACCAGAACTACGAAAGTTAACATGCGTCTCTAAGTGTGTTGTTTCATCCGCAGAACTCACCAGTCTTGTTGACGGGTGCGAAAGGGTTGTTATCCAGTGTAGGAGCCCAGAACTTGTAAGCAGTCTTTCGATCAGCCAGAACAATGGTGGAGCCATCCTTCAGGTTGAGAGTGAAAAGGCCCTTCTGCTGAGTGTAGTTGACAGTAACGCTCTTCTTGCCCGCCTTGACCTTGATGCCCTTGAGAGACTTGTCGTGCTTGAGCTCGGTGTGTCCCTTGAGGGTGAACTCTCCTTGCTCGCCCTCGGGAAGCCAGAGGACAATGACCTCCTTGTTGTCGATGATGGAGTAAGTCAAGACCTCAGCGGTCGAGTAGAGGAGTGTCTTCTTGCCGAAGTGGAAGTCAGTTGGGATGACCTTGGACTGATGGCCGTTGATAGTAATTGCGCCCTCGTTCTGAGGTATGGTGACTAGAAGCCGTTAGTAGATGCGGCTTAAGGAAGATTATCGAAACGTACGCTTGCCCTCGGAGGTCTTGACATGAACCTTGAATGTCTCTTTGGTACCGGAAGGTGAGTGATCGTGTCGAGCGACGTAGAAAGCAGCACCATTATCCTCATGTCGAAGCTCGGAGATCAAGATGGCATCGTTCGTGGAAAGGGAAGTACTGTTGGTAACTCGAATGGTTTTGGTAAGATCATGCGCAACCCGTGTGAAGAGAGTCAACGACTTGGTCTCATAGTACTTATCCCAGATAGCACGGTTCTCAGAGATAGGCGAAGAGTAATCATAGCTAGTTGCAACAACAGGGCAAGCAAACCAACCCCAGTTAGTTCCACCGTACATCATGTACAGAGAAATGGCGGTGGCTTGCTGGGCGAGCAAGTCACGGTAGAAAATGTTGGCAAAGTCAGGGCCAATATCGCCAGGGCAACCACCCTCTGGACCGCCCCAAGGGTTGTAAGAACCGCCCTGGAACTCGGGCAGGAAGTGAGGTTGACGGGGTGATTGCTTGTTGAAGTATGTGACATAGTCCTGGATGTTGTAGGGGACATATTCGCCGTTAGTGCCGGTGCACTCGTCGAGGTTGCAGCTCCAGCAGGAGGGGTAGCTGTCGACACCAGTGACATCGACGTTGCCGGTTGCGTTGCGCTCGAAGTCGTTGGACCAAGAAAATGTGCGCTGCGGATCTGTTAATCTTCTATCCTCAGGGCATTTTGTAGAGGTAGAACTCACAGTGTTGGGCGCGTTGTGGAATACAGGAACATCGATGCCGGCTTTTCTGGCGGACTCCTTGAGAAGTTGCATGTAGTTGGCTGTAGGCTCGTTCAAAATTCTCTTGTCGTCATTCTTCCACTGACCGCCCAACTCGTTCTCAATCTGCACTCGTCAGCTTCCTCCACCGCTGTCAATGCTGCAACCATACCTGGAACATGGCAACATTGCCGCCATTGGTAATGAGATGCGGCTCAATAATCTTGGAAATCTCAGTCCAATACTTAGACCAAGCCTTAGTGTATCTGGGATCATCGTTTCGAAGTTTGCCGTACTCTCCGGTCGTGACCCACAGAGGAAAACCTCCGGCGTTAGCTTCGGCATTGACGTAGGGACCAGGACGGATCAGGAGGTAGAGGCCGAGCTCTTTGGCAAGGGTCATGATGGACACGAAATCGTGGGCGCCATTTTCGAAGTCGAGGACGCCTGGGGTCGCTTCGTGGTAGCCCCAGCTGTTGTAGATGCTGAAGGCTGTGAAGCCGGCGGCTTTGATCTTTTCTAGCAAGTCGCGCCAGAGTTCGGGTCTGATAAATGTTAGATTCGCGCTGGGTTGGCAAAGGGGATGCATCGTACACAGGCAGACGCCAGTAGTGGAATTCACCCGAGAAGACAAAGATTCTTTCGCCATTGATCAGGTAACTATGGTCGTCCCTGGGTTGTTTGTCAGCTGCAGGTCTCAAAGTCGGCAATCGAGTGAATCACCATTCAACAATGTTTGTGAGTCCGTTGTCTTGAATTGGAACATCCTTTGTCTCTTGTCCAATCGACAAACCAGCCAAGGCAAGCAGCCCGACAGTTGAAAGCGAAAGTAACTTCATCGTGACTTGCTTTGCTGATCAACCTCAAGCTCGCGTGCACAGCATCACCCACAACTTATATACGCGCATCCGATGCCACCAAAAATTTCATCTCGGCCACAAATGACCCGCATTACATGACATGACATATCTTCCCCACGGCTCTCACTCCCGAATCGTGCCGATCAAAAAAGTCTGGGAGTTCGGTGATACTCTTCACCGATGAATTGAACTGAGTGAGGGGTACGATGGCTCAGCCGGAGAATAAAACGCGTCAATGGGAATTTTGCCATGGGACGGTAGCGTTGCAATGTCAGTTCTTGGACCAGAGTTTATTCCGTCTGATGACATTTACTCCATGTTTTCTCCACATTCACCCGCATTTCTATTGACGCGGCTCTGGCAGTTCAAGTGTCATTTTACGTGCATCGGCCCTATTAGCCGTGTTGGTCAACGCCTTGCTTCCCGACCAATGCGATCGTCTCATACCTTGACTGGTCAACCAATTCACAGCCCGAATGGCCGTTATTCCATGCGATGGCATCTTTCGTGGTTGGAAGGCCGGAGGGCAGTCGGTAAGTGCACGAAATTTACTCAACGGCTTTCTTGGCTGCCTCGGAGCTCGTTGTTGGACTGACCCTCTGCAGCTGTGATGGTCGCACTAGTCATCGTCCGCTGCGCCCGGGAAGACCCATGATCGACAATGTGCTTTACAATGTAAGCATCCTCTATTGAGATAATCTCTCAGCAGGATCTAAGCTTAATGGACTGACACGTTGTGTTGCAACAGATCATCTCCGCATGAAGGCAGCTGCAGGTACACAGAGTAACGTCAAGGACGGATAGGGCCTCATGGCGCGGAACGATTCTATACGCCCAGGCGTGGCTATTGAGATCCTGAGAATGCTACCGTTGTACTACATTGGCTAGGTATGGGACTTATGCTCTTCATCAATGTTCCGTCAACTGACCATCACATCCTTCTCAGTGCACTTATACGACTCTCCTGGCACCTCGCAAACCAGCTGATATCCCTCATCCCATCAAATCCATGTGGCAGCCCCGGCCAAAGATGAAACTCGACTTCAACATGATCGTCAGCTAATCTCTTTGCATACTCCAGGTTCTCGTCTCTAAATAGATCTAGACATCCCACGTCGATATAAGTCGAAGGCAGACCTCGTAGCGTTGCAGCCCGAGCTGGAATCGCGTAAGATAGAGCTTGCAGATCATTCTTCTCTCGAACCTCAGAAGCGTACACGTCCCACGCCAGTTTCGCTCCATCGGGTTTCCAGACCATGAGGTCAAGGATCGGATCGTCTTTCTCAACATGATCTCGGTCATCGAGCATTGGGTAGACGAGCAGTTGCTTCGCAATTGGAGGATCAAGCTGTCGATCTCTCGCCATCAAAGCAAGACCCGCGGCCAGTCCTCCACCAGCGCTGTCACCGTGCAGAGCGATCTTCGTAGGATCGATGTTGAGCTCCCCCGCAGACTTCGACACAAACTCAAGAGCAACATACCCATCGTCAACACCAGCAGGAGCAGGATGTTCAGGTGCCCGCCGGTAAGACACCGCGAAGTATGGAAGCTTTGAGTCGTTGGCGAAACGAGCAATTTGAGGCGCAAACAGCTCCACGTAACAAGAGACATAACCACCGCCGTGAAAGTACATCACAGCGGGCGTGGGCTTCTCCGAAGCTAACGTCTCCTCGGAGGCAAAGCGGGTGACTTCAATCTCGACACCGTCATAGCTTTTGACTTTGTACACAGTCTCTTTCACACCATCGGGGTATGGAGAATTCGTGACGACTCGGCGGATGACTTCTTCAGTACTCGTCCTGATCTCAAAAACAGATCTGGATGGTTCGGGCTTGGGTCCCTTTGTAATAGGCCCGAGAGCTTTGAGGTATTCCGGATCATACTTCAAACCAGTCATGATAATGGAATCAGATTTGAATGCAATTAACAGAGACTAAAACCGGCGAAGTCTGACGACTGTACTCAATTATAGGCAAATAGCTTCTCAATATAGGCTATATGTGTATATCCCGCAAGTGGCTGGGAAGCTGACTCCGCAGTCTTAGCCGAACCACTTGTTCAAAATAATGTCCGTGGTCTGATACTTCTGGGTCGAAAACATCATCGATCATCCGGAACATGAGACCATAACCACTGGTCCTTTTGACAGAACCCGCTGGAAAGGATTTCTTCAAACTTGCAATCTGCATTCTTGATCGATCCAAAGATGTAAGACCGGCTAAAAGAACGAGTGACGACTAACCAAGGAAGCCAAGATACTTCCACAGATGAATAGCTGCGATTACCACCATTCAGGTGATGCCCATCTGTCGGTATCAAGCAAGTCTAGACCTTCCTCATCCAACTCACGCCAGTCATCCCAAAACCATGACGCGCTATGCTTGCGCTGTTCACCAAGACCCCGAGCCTTGTGTGCTACGAGCTCCAGTTTCAGCTTATCAAGATAAACTTCGATCTTGCCATCTCCAAGAAACTTCGCCCAGCCATAGTTTTTATCACCTCGCCACACTTTGAACTTGTTGGACACCCTTTTGCCGCGCCATCTGAATGGCACTTTGCCGGTCGAAGCGTCTGTTGGACATTTATCGAAAAGCATGAGTGCAGTGTACTTCATTCGGCCCAAAGTCAGATAGCCTCGCAGCGTCCCACCGTCTCCTGGGGTGAAGACTATACTACAAAACTGATCGTGGTCCCGTTGAGACTCGTCATCGCAGCAGCGGTAAAATGTTTCGATGGCGTACTTTCCTTTCAGATTTCCCAAGGGCTTTGGAGGTGGCATTGCAACGTCCTGGTTCTCTGACTTGACTGTCGTTGATCCCTTCGTTTTCTTGGATGCAGGCTGGATGGGGGTTCCATCTGATTTTCTTTTCTTGGTGGCGGTTGGCTTGGCGTTTTTCTTGTTCTCTCTCAACCATGCTCGATGAAGCTGGGGACGAATACCGCGGAAATGCTCTGGTAGTGCTGTCTTGGAATTGAAGTGATCGAGGGCCTCAAGGACCCATGCATGAGCCCGGACAGGGGTTGGCGGAATCTTCCATAATCTCATATGGTGTTGAAGCCACGTTGGAACTTGGAAGTCAGCTCCCGGGATGCTCGCTGGTGCCACAGAACTTGGTGCTGATTGAGATGTACGACTTGGTCCAGGGGTTGCGGACGCGTTGGACTGTGTCTCAATGGAGTGATAGAGAGCCGCAGGGGCTGTCGACTGGGCAGATAAGGATGCCATGGCGCTCAAGACGCAGGCTTGAATTGGATGAGAGTCTATTTGACCCAATTGCTGGAGAAGACAGAAGGTGATGAGGTTGCGATCAATTACAAAAATGACGACGATGGCAGAACCACGTTTTCTGTTCCTTACTGATTGAGCCAGCCCATCCCATTTGAGGTTAGCGTTGATCCCTCCTTGCTGGGTTAGTCCCAAGATGTCAACGCGAAACTGGCCCGCAAGACACTTGCACCACCACGAATGAAGCAAAAGCATATCCACAATAACGATTCAATGCTTCAAAAAGTACATACAACAGCGGGGATTCGNNATCCGCCCCTTACAGGCTTGACGATGGGAGAGCGGACGGGATCCCGTATTTTCCTATAGGTATGGTCGTATGTGACATTCACAGACTGCATCGTGGGCCATACGCTTGCTTGTGGGTAGAAATGTTAGGGCTGTTGTACACGTCTGTGAGCATGTGCGCGGGCCTCGTTTTGACTTCGGAGCCCCATTGAGTATCTGGGGAACATATGAGAAGAACCTTGGGAGAGGTCAAGAGTTGGTTATCAAGTCTTGAACACTTGTGGCGACGAGAGTGAAAGAAGGAACACAATTATGGAATGTAGACTTGAGTATTCAGTTGGTTATGAGGCTATGAATTTCAAAGACATATTTCTCGAAACTAAATCTCCATTGACGCCTCCTTCACCAATTTTTCAACCAACACTACTTAGAAGGGCAATGGGCGAATCTGCATAGGCTGGTTCTCGCCTACAAAAACAGTGTCAGTCCTCGTGCCTTATGAAGGCAGTAAAGCAAGAGACATACCTTCAATGATGGGTGCATAAAGCTTGTCCTGGATGAAGGCCAGACCAGCACCTATTACTTGCTGTCAACACCAAGACCACCAAGGTCACCATGTGATAAAGCATACCTGAGAACTTGAGCTCGGGGGGACCACCATACTCCACGACCTGAACGGGCTGAAGATCCTCGACCTCCTCTCTCTTACGCCATAAGACGCGCTTGGGCATCATGGACCGATCCTCAAAGTTGAGGCGGCCCAGAGCCCACTCGCCAGAGAATAGGCGACCGTCTCGAAGCTCAAAGATGGCAGCAGGGTCGCCGGGTTGAGCTTGGATCATGGGCTCGCCGTTGTCTCGAGGATTGCCGACGGGCTTTCCGTCGACAATGATCATGAATCTTCCGGGGATAGACATTTTGGATAATAGTTGAGTTGTAGTAATGGAGTAGAATAAAATATGGGTTGAGTGATAAAGATAATAGTTGAATACATGGGGATACGATGTGATATTTATACTACTTCAAAACTTGATCACATGTCAAGTTCTCTGCTTTGCTCCCACAAGCCTCTCCAAGTATCTATATCCCACTGTCCGGTCGTTCTCGGAGGATCTACATGCTATGAAACGATGTCTTGAATATCATGCATTACAGCGTCAAGATCTACGGTCAAAGATGCTATCAATGAAACTCAAACCACAAGCGACGCATAAGCCGAGTGAGGGGATGTAAGACTTTGGGCTCAGATGAGACAACAGACAGGAAGTGTTGATTCGCTGCCAACCTCCCGTCATTCCATCCCCACAGCCCATCGAGTTTCCGAAAGCTAGAACTTCCGTGTCAGTTTGGGCATTGCATGGACATCTATGGGTTTGGATAACAGTATAGCTGACTTCATATGTCGTGTTGACTCTATAGCCACATTTCTCGCTATCGTACGGAAGGCTCTCTGTTGGGTCGATAGCAAACCCCTCAGCCGCAACGTCAGTCTAAGATCTGATTCATCTCTGCCCCATCTCAGACGTCTCCCTTGCTTCGCAAATGCAGGACTTCCTTGCTGAAAATCATAGCTCAACGATCTCATTGGTGTGGATAGCCATGATCTGCCGAAGGCTGATTGATCGACCAATTTTTCAAGACAAATCTCAGTTCAGCTTCGAAGTCAAAAACACTCCGGCTCCCCGGAAGGCCACGTATTGGACGAACGCGAGCGGGCACGGCAAGGATGCGGGACTTCCCGTAGGAAGGAAGGATGATCATTCCAGTGATGACTCTGTCAAGGTATCAAAGAATAAAAAGAGAACTCGATAGGAATACTGATATGGATTCAGCGGGAACTAGGCTCGATATTTTCTTGGAGATCTGGAGTTCATTCTCCATAACATAAGAGTATTGAGCTTCAAGCTCGTCTCAGACAATGATCTCTATATTTGAGATGCTGGATATCTATTGGGGAAACAGTCAGGTTCCGAGTGAGATGCGCCAATTGGTGTTTCTTCGTAATCCCGTGTCTCACAATCTGGGTATCTCAGAATCATAGACGTCATAGGTGAGGGGTTTAGGTGTACATACATGGTTCGACATGGAGTCACGATCTCAAGTTGACGCCGTGTCTCAGCCATGTCTTGATTGTATATCAAGATATCCAGCGAATGGCTACGTACACATCCGTCCCGGAGCATCTCACCGCTGGTGGCCAAGTAACAAGGGAAGCTTGAGTTCCAGTTCTCCGAGGTAATCCCTTTATGGTTACGGACAAGCTCTATCCGAAATATCGAGGGGTTGGGCATACTCTCGTGATGCTCGTAGCGACGCCGAACTTTTCTCCGGATCGTATAGCTACTACTATTCTGAATACGGCTTTGAGTACTCGAAACAGGCCTGTAAAAGCTTAAGCTGAGCTCTGGTAAGGACGATCGTAGTCACCTTCGCATTTCGAACCAATGGCCAAGAGGCGATTCTCCGAAATTATCTCCGCTACTTTCCAGAACAAGATACAACTCCGATGACAGAATATACTACCAAAATGAGCGATGTGACTATAGTTTTGTATAAAACAAGTATTCTCGAGATATTAATTAGTAAATAAAGCATTCGGCTTCGTAGAGTATCTTATTCTCAATCATCTGCCCATCATGCTCGGTTCTCTTGTTGTCTTGGTTCTTGCCAGCCTCTCCATTGCTTCGCCAACTTTGGAGAAGCGAGCCATTACATGTCTCAAAGTTGGCCAAACAGCCACTGCATCTTGGACCAATAGTGCGGGGAAGAAATGTACTTTCACGGGTGTTGTTGGTAGCAACTACGGCGCCAATCCTTCCGGATCAGGAGAGTGAGTTTTTCAGCTACCTTACCCTCTTCATCAAGAACACAACACTGATTTGAAAAGTTACTCTTGTAACGGAAGATGCGGAGCCGGGTGCAGCGGCACTGCTGTTGGTAACGTCTATACACAAGATTGCTTCTCTCACGATATCTGCTCATACTTCAACTCCGCCTCCGGAGGTGCCAGGTAAGCTTTCTTTTAAAGAGTAAAGGGTTGATGTTAACATTAATAGTGACCCCAACTGCGGAGCTGCTTACAATGCGGCTGTCGATGATACTGCTTTAGGTTTTGCGAATGGTTGCAGCCAGACGAACCCAAGCAACAGTGTTGCCAAACCCAATAGTGCTCCGGTTTGCGTATAGGACGGCTCATGCTTTGGCCACGAGGGTCAGAGATAACCTTTTGAATTCGATTCATGCTATGCGAACCAGTTTTTGCCTTAAAATACATTGTTACTTCTCAAGCACTTGTTCCGCGGTTTTGTTGAAACTGCTATATCTTGTTTCATGCCTTGACTCCTTGCCGATGATCCTTTCGTGATGGTATGACCTCTTCCATCGAACACTATGCTACCTTTTCGTTTGCTTTCCAGAGGTACATGCGAGTCAGTCTATTGGCTTCCCTGCCCAAGGCTTTGTGTGTGAACTGAGAATCAGCCGTTGTTATGACCTCCTGTTATTATTTTTATACTCCAAAGCAGCTTCCCAATAACCATCAATACCCCCTCAGGAGTTGTCCATCACTCACATGAGAGTAATGCGAACTTGAAGAACGGTAGCTGCGATACTCTGGAATTCCAGACGACGGACAGCATCTTCATGCTGACTTGCCCTGGCATCGATGTGATTTGTTCGCGTGCCCAAGACCCCTGTTCATACCCATGCATCTGACCCCAGAGAAGGACAACACCCCTGCCACTGATGATGGCACCAAGGTCATCTCTGTAGGAAAAGTAAGTTGAAAGGCGGTGCATGATTCGACATCCATCATACACAGAAGCTGACCCAGCAAAACAGATTGCAATATTTAAGGCAGCCTATTGTTCATAAATAATTATCTCAAACGTGTTTCATTAAATACCTAACCTCGGAAAAATCCGCTCTTTCAACATGTCTTCAAGCCAGTCCGATGCCCAAGTACAAGCCCAGGACTCCGACCCTAGTCGCCAAGCTCAACGGGCAGCCATCAGCAAATACTCCGTACCAAGCCAAGCCTAGCGAGCTCAGCGATATTTGGGGAAAATTGGAGCACCATCCCTCCTATAACAGGGTCTTCTCTCTCGGCAAAGATGGCATTCTGCGCTCGCTAGGCCCCGACCGCGATGTTCACGATGCAGTCCCATTATCGCCTCATTTGATCAAGGCGCTTCTTGACCGTCTGCCTTTCTGTCCTGAGAATGAGGTCGACTTTCGCGGTGTCGATGGCAGAAACACGCCTAAAGAGCAGTAGTATCATCCTGGCAAGGGTTTGTTACCTCCGCCTCTCGTTCAGACGGAAGAACAGAGGAAGTTGATTGAGTCAAAGAGGGATGAGACGAGGAGAATTTTGGAGGAGGGGAAGAAGAAGCCGCGGTGCCCGCCCCAAGTCATGTCGGACCACGATCTCGGGTTGAAAGAGACATCGTCGGAAGACGTATCTTGAGCCGTTAATCCAAACTGAGGTCCTCCAAGGCCATCTTCGGGGGAGTAACCGGGAAAGGCACTGCCTGCCATCGGAAAATATAATTGCCATTTTGTCGGAAGATACCGAAATATATGTGGTTTGTCCCGTTTCCGAATTCCAATTGAATGGGATAACAATCTTGACTGGGCAACAAAAAGGCATGACTGCTCAGCCGCAATCGTCAATTTTCGATCAGTGACATGCATTGGCTGCCAGGGCTGAAATAAGAACGGAATGTGCCATGACTAACTAAAATGCTTAGCCCTTCAGCTGGTGTCGTGGCGGCCTCTTGTGGCGTGAACTATTGAAGCTATTCTCAACATTCAAGGCATAATTTCGGTAGTTCAGATTGAAACATTTAAGCTTAACTCGCAAGCACAAAATGATCATAAATACCCAAGAGTCAATCGTGAATTTTAAGTGGAATGGCGACTGGTTATATTGCTGACAGCTCTCGTATAAAGCTGGAGACATGTCGGGTCTCCCGTGGTGCACTGACGAAGGTGAAGCTATTTCTGTACACTACAGTTGTTTCTAGCGCTAAACACAGCCCCCAAAAGGTAAAGCTGGCGCCTGAGTGGCTGGCCTAACAGCTCAGCTGCAGGGCTCCGAAAGTCTGGGCCAGCAAAGCCACGACAGTGCCACCACCTGAACCAGCAGCAAGGTTCAAAAACCAAGGGAGGGAGCTTAGCTCAGGTATAATAAACAAGCTTCTTTCAGCTCGAGCTGAAATATTCATTTTCTGCAGATTTCTCGCGATACTACCTGACTATTTGCAAAAAGTTCAAGTTGAAGATACCTTGAACACGACACGGACGTAAAGGTTACACCCGCAAATATCCGCCGACATGCGCTTCGCTGGCAGCCTCATCCTTGGCCTTTTGGCAGTCAACGGCCTGGCTCAAACAGTCATTCCCGATCAAGACGCAGAGCCTTCAGCCATCGCTCAACCAGAGCCATCAGCGCCTGCTGCTGAGCCCTCGAATCCTGCTCAAGACCAACCCTCAGATGCTGCCGACAATGGAGACGCGCAGCCGACAGATGTAGATAGCGTCCCATCTGCCACAAATGGCCCAGAGCCAACAGCCGTTCAGCCATCAGATGAAGCTTCCCAAGCTTCGGGCGACCAGCAGCCCACCGCGACGGCGAGTGATGATGACGATGAGGATGCCTCAACAGCTGAAGGCACAGCGACAGCAGATGGTGAGAAGAAAGCAGATGATCTTCGCAGACAAGCAAGCTAACGGTGATTGAAGCTACTGCCACGGATGCCGACGCGACAGCTACAGCGTCCGAGACCGACGACGATGACTCGACCGACACAGCCACTGCAACAGCTACATCCAGCTCTACTCCCACAAGCACAGGCACCGTAGTCGAAGTCGATCTCAAGAACGCTACAATTGGCGAAAATGCTGAACTCGTCAAGGTTGATGGCAAGGACGCCATGTAAGTCCCTAAAGCCTCCATGTCCACTAACTCCACTAACTTTCCCCAGTAAATTGAGCGCCCCCGCCAACGGTCAAGCAACCTTCCGCGTCGCTGTCGACAGTGACGACGAATTGAACACGGACGAGCTCATCTACATTGTCGCATCGATCCTCGTCGGCGAGCCCAGCAGCGCGAAACTCCGACGACGAGCCGACAAGACCGATTGTACACTGCAGATCCAGGCTGACGGGCAGAACGTCTATGAGGAACCGCTGTACACCAACAATGGCCAATTCCAGGACGTTACCAGCAGCGGCATCCAGTCTTCGGATAAGCCCGAGGTGCAGGTTACGCAGAAGTGTGGTGACAAGCCATCGCCTCTGACTGTGAACAACGTGCGCGTTGGAAACGAGAGTGGCGTCAAGTCAAGCGCTGGCTCTGGGGGCTCGGGCAGTGGTGGAAGCGGTAGCGGAAGTGGGAGTGGAAGTGGAAGTGGAAGCGGTGGAAAGGGCGGCAGCGGTGACAAGACTTCCACGGCTACAGGTGCTTCAGCGAGCGAAACTGGCGACTCCGGTAATATCGGTGCTAGGACCAAAGCCAGCGTTGGAGCTCTTGCTGCTGCTATCCTGGCTCTCGCCGCCTTGGTTTAATGGACGCATCTATTTGGTCGACATCAAGATTGCTTAGCGGGCATGGGACATGGGAAACTAGATTATACGAATCATTATTCACGACAAAACTAATTACACATAATTGACTAATCGTATATACGGCCAATTCAATTCTCGTTGTCCAATTGTGCGCTTTGCCAAACCCTCCATCATGTAGCAATTCCTGCGACCCTCTTGTCGTCATCAACCAATTCTTTGTACCGGGGAGCGCTTCGCTGTCGAAGCAATTTACCAAACTTTATCATGAAGAAGCAAGCGGAACAAGCGGCCAAAGCGATAAACGCAGCTGAGATGAAGCAATTTTTATAACCCATGTTGGTGATCCAAGGCGTGACGCTGTTGGCTGTTAGTGACTGCTGCTGATCTCATCTCATCGGCGGACGGAAACTTACCCATAACCAATGGCAAAAGACATCGTGTTGCGAACCAAGATAATCGTAACCATCGCATCACCGCTGAGTTCATAGTAGCTATCAATCAGATAATTGATGCTGATGATGAGTCCCATGACACTCGTCACAGACAAAGTGCACATGGCGAAAATGAGGCCGAACCAGTGAACGCCGTGCTGTGCGCCAACGCCCCAAAGGATCAAGGAAGCTGGAACGCCAATGACACAAATCGCCAGCGGCCACAAGCGGTGCTCAGCTTCCATGATACCATTGTTACGCCGCGCAAGTCTGATGGTAAGCCAGTCACTCAATCGTCCCGCGAGAATGAATGCGATAATGGTACCCAGACAGCAGGAGAGGTAGCTCAGTCCTACCATTGACGGCTTGAAGCCATACCCGGGGCCTGACAGGATGATGGATGCTGTCGCATTGAGGACATTGAACCAGATCAGGTACGAGCCGTACGAGAAGCCAGCGAAAAAGATGACAGGCCAGCCGAGGTATTGAAGCGAGCGTCCAGCATGACGAGCCATACTCTGGCTGGGAGTAGGCTGCCAAAGCGACAACTTCTGCAAGAACGTTCTCGGTTTGGTAAACTGGACGTTCGCCTCATCAGCCTCCCTGACCTCAGAGTTCCCAGCGTCAGCAGCCTTTTCTTCCTCCTTGCCGTTGTTCGCAACGATCAGTCGGGATGGATCGTATGGTACATGATCGCCATGTCGAGCGGCACGATTGTAATTGGTTTCTTCCATAAAGAAGAAGAGAAACACGAAGACAAATGAGAGGAAGATGGCAGGCCAGTAGAACACCCATTGCCAGCCTTGATACTCGGCAATGAAGCCACAGATGACGGGCGCGAAGTAGTTGCTGCCGGCTAGGGCGAGGGCGTAGATGCCCATGTATGTTCCACGTTGATGAGTGAAGTACTAGACAGAGTCAGTCGCGCGCTTTAAATGATGCATCGAGCCAGTACTTACGATGTCAGTGATTGAGATCTCGGGCAGGGCTTCAATGGGCGCGATGAAGAAGCCTTGGATGATGCATTTGGCGATCCATTCTCCGTTGCTTGAGACGTATGCGCTGCCACCAGTCAGTAAAGTCACACACGAATATCCCACCACTGAGAAGCATTACCTCCAAACGCTTGTTGCCTGGTAATACTTGTTAGCTATGGCTTGTGGTGAAGGCATTGAGATTGACTTACGATGGCTCCAAGGACAGATAAGAGGTATGTCAAACGCTTGCCATATCGCAACGAGAAGGGTTGCCAAAACAACAAACCCCAACCCAACAGAAGATACATGTAACCTGTCCCTTCATTGAGCGTCTTGATTGAGACCTTGGACTGCTGCGATAGCGGGACAAGGACCGAGTAAACAGTGGCAACGGACATGCCAGTGAACCAGGTATACCTTTCCAAGTCAGCAAAAGGAACGCACATAGAAGAAATAGACTCACAGGTTCTGACAAACCAACGCAAGAAGTTTGCGACGAGGAGTCCAATTGAGAGGATCCTCTGGGTCGTCACTTGGGGCAGGATCAAGGACGATGTCGCCATCACCACCACCTGCATGACGAACACGCAGGTTGCGATTGAGGTCAACAAGATAGATAGTCCCCGGAATGGGGTCTTCCCCCACCACGTTTACCATGTTGAACGTTGGCGAAGGCAATCGAAGTGTACAAAAAGAAGTTGGTCTAAGAGGAGGCCAGTATGACTTGTTCAATTCGGGTACCAACGGACGTGGCTCTATGTGAGGTTTTATAAACAAAGCCCCAGTATCGATGTTACCAGAAGAGTCCGGGGGAATCAGCAACAACAGCGGTGCAACACGGCGTTCGGGGCCCGGTAAGTATATCAAGCCCGACATGGTCGCTGGTGTTGTTGTTGGTGGTCGAAGCTAGAAGAACAATGGAAACGCCGCTAAGGATTGTTCGACGAGGCGAAGGGCCCTTGGGACATGTTGGTGGGCGACTCGTAGATTATTCCAACTGGTCACCTGAAGCTTCTTGAAGCCAAGGGCGATCGGTTTGGAACAGTTGAATGTCAACAATGGGAAATTTGAGGATGTTTGTGTCGGTTTGGGTTGTTTGGGTGGTCAGAAGTGGAGGGTATCGTGAGCCAACGACAAGCTCGCAAGACAGCTGTCGACTGTAGTTTGTTTTGATCCATGGTCCGAGCTTTTCTTTTGCTGGGCAATCAGCAGCGTAAACAGCTGAAGTTAGGGCATCGAGTAAAAACCAAGGGGTCCAAGGTTCGAGAACTCCCGGGCCAAGACTTGACATATATCAGCTGGATCATCACAGCTGCACCATCTCCTCATTGTCCTCCTCGCCATGCTTTCCTGGCAAATTTATTTTCACGCAAACACATCCTTCGACCATGAATTTTGCCTCTTCTTCTTCAGTCCCCCCATCAGGGTCTTCCAAAGACTACTCCAGTGTCGCCACCCATAGCTCGAAGTCCCTCGAATCTAGGCCCTTGGCCACAGATATGCTTCCAGGGCTGCCGGTTGTACAGGTGAAGCCCATGGCTCTCGGCACTCCCGAGTTCGAGGAGAAGAGGGCTGCGTTGCTTGAAGCATTTGCAGCAAAAGTTCCGGCGGAGCTGCGGCTGCCTTTGGAAGTTATACAGGACCCCCCAACAGATGTCACCTCGATCCCAACAACTTGTGGTATTTTATCTCCAGAGGAAATCATCATCACTGAGAATTATGATGCAGTTGGCCTTCTTGAGGCAATTGGACGTCGAAAGCACCCTGCGGTAGCAGTTGCCCAAGCGTTCTGCAAGCGTTCCATCATTGCGCATCAGCTCACATGCTGCCTCACACAATGGTTCATGGCCGAGGCCATCGAGCAAGCTCAAAAGCTCGATGCATTTCTCGAGGCTCATGGGAAGCCTATCGGTCCATTGCATGGCTTGCCAATAAGTATCAAAGATCACATTCAAGTTGCCGGAACCTCTTCCTCACAGGGTTGTTTTATCAGTATCAGCGACGATGGCCAAGATGCAGACATCGTGTCAATCCTGCGTGCCCAAGGTGCCATCATTTACTGCAAAACGAACCAGCCTCAGTCACTGATGCATCTTGAAAGTGACTCTCACTGGGGAAGAGTCCTGAACCCTTTCAACATTCATCTGTCTGCTGGTGGTTCGACGGGAGGTGAATCTGCGTTGATTGCGATGAAAGGCTCGATCTTGGGGATCGGGACTGACATTGGGGGGAGTATTCGTGGCCCATCTGCTTTTTGTGGTATCTATGGCTTCAAAACCACATCGAATGTCTTGCCGACAAGGGGGTACATCAAAGGCGCTCCACCTCCAGCCGTGCTGAACATCCCTCTGTCGACGGGACCAATGTGTCGCTCCTTGAGAGACATGAACCTTTTCATGAAATGCGTCCTCTCTTCAAAGCCTTACCTTTCGATCCCAACGTCGTTCGGATTCCGTGGATTGGTCTTGAAACACAGTTCAATCGGCGGCTCAAGGTCGGCATCATCAGCAACGATGGCTTCATCGAGCCTCAACCGCCAGTGAAGAGGGCAATTTCGTGGGCCAGAAGCCTTCTGTCCGACAGCAAGTTTGCCAATCTCATCGAAATGAAAGAGTTCAAAATCTTTGGCGCGGAAGAGGCATGGAACCAAGTCCGAAGACTTTACTGGCCCGACGGCGGGCATCTCACCAAAAACGGCATAATCTCATCCGGAGAACCTCTTCACCCTCTTACAGAATGGATCTACAGAGACGCAGAGCCCCTGGGCATGCACACCGCCGTAGATCTTACAGCCGTCCACAAACAGCGAGACGATTTCCGACTTGCTTTTGCCAAAAGCTGGAGTGAGCAAGATGTGGATGTCATTATCGGGCCGTCGTTCGTAGGGCCAGCGTGTGCGCACGACACGGCCTTCTACTGGACGTACACCTCGCTCTACAACCTTGTCGACTACCCGGGAGCGGTTATTCCCACGCCAATTAGGGCTGAATCTGGGGAAGTTTACGATACGGGCTATGTTCCGCTAAGCGATGCTTGTCGACATGTTAGAGATTTGTGGGAGGAGGGTGATTTTGGGGGTGCGCCTGTTAATTTGCAGGTGGTGGCGAGGCGATATCACGATAATGAGCTTTTTGGGGCGTTGCGCGTACTGAAAGACGTATTGGACTTGTCTTAATTGAACTGGTGTCTTGCAGTGATATTAAAAAACTGACATCTCTATTTTTAATCGTCATTTCAATGTATCTCGCTCTCAAGTTGTGCAGGAATGTGCCGTGATACGAAATGCTTCTTGGTTTTTGGGATTTGCTTGTGAGATCAATGAGTTACGAGCATGGCGTCGGTAAAGTTTGAAGAGATGTTGCGAAATAACCGTCGCGAACGCCAAAACGCTATTCACAACGATACGATTACTGTAAAATGTCTAGTATATTTTAAAAACCACTAAAAGAGAGTCATTTTCACCTGAATTGAGTTAGAGGTCTCGTAACGAAGCATCGCCATTGCTGACTGTACTCAGCGCAAGGTATCATCTGCAACCAACCCTGAATACGACCATTTTCGTCAACCTCGGACGCGTCTATTTTGAGTTTTTAGATCCCGCACTCCATAATCTCATTCTTAAAACTCTTTCTCGACCTCGGCACCTCGGTAATGAGATACAGTTTTACGGGTTTTCAAGGCTTTTTGAGGCTCCCTCTTCAACAACCAAACCTGTCCTAGCCCGCCACCATCCAGCTGAACCCCGTGAAACCCCAGGAAAAAAACAACGCGTTCACGGAAATACGGCGAGGGTCGTGATTGGCCTTCATGCAGCCTCGAAGCTTACTAGACATGGGGGGTTGCAATCGGTCGTCTTCCTTGATTTTCTTGACACACAGTGAACCGTTACCCCATGCATTAGGCTCAGGCCTCCCTCCGTTGAGAAATGGAGATGGAGATGAGGAAAACATGGGGTGCAGTTGACAGGAATGGAGAATGGGGTTAGGAGATAAGCGGCGTCGCGACGATCTCTTGATTTTAGGTAATAGTGGTGTCGCCGTCTGGAGCTTGACAACGTTACAAGATGAGATGGCGATAGCAACACCATCGGGAGACAAGATGGCAATTGAGAATCAGCTGAGGCGAAATAGGGAAGAAATCGCCAAGGGAAAATGGCGGTTGCTGCCGGCTTGGCCTTGGGAATGACCGGAGATAAGATGCGATGTGATGGGATGTGATGTGATGCACCATGTCGCTTACTGATCATGATTTGATGAACTTTTGAAGCCAATCCTGCGACAACAAGGCCAATAGCCAATGTCGCAAAAGACCATATCATTCCGTATCGAGAAGCTGGCTAGCAGATTATCACGGTATTATCGCTCCAGATAACCCTATTTCCCACGTCGAGTTTCCTTGAAAGGGAATGGGCTCACGTTCTTACTTGAGGGTTGTACGTCATATGACAATTTGAAGCGCGCTGTTTGGACGAGCTTCTTGTCTGAGATAAACCTTGCACAGATGATTTGCGGGGAGGCCTTGAATGATTGAGTAATGACCTTCCTGTTGGGTAAAGATTACTGACGGTGCCTGAGATAGCCAGCCGTCATTCCCGACTCACGCGCCCTTTGTCTTGTCTCGTCGATTGGCCCGTCCGTACGTACGTACTGTACGTGCTACAGTATTATCAGTGGCGAGTGGATTCAGGGTTCTAGTTCTCCCTCTCCCTTTAACGTTAGTCGCGGACGGCTACTGCGATTGTTACGTTACCACGCGCTTGGGAGACAAGTTGCCGCGGAACTTTTTTCATTTAGCCTGTGGGTGTTTGCAAGAAGTTGGGCTTTGCCTGTTGTGGTAAGCTTGATACGAGGTTATGCCGATCTTCAATGATAGGTGATTGATTGATGATCCTTCAATATCACACGGTACAACACAAGCTGATCTCTTGGCTTTACGATATCGACAAGTATAACGTGATCGCGTAGTATATAAAAGAGTCATACAAGCGGATTCGCCGTGTCCGGAGAGCGACATCGCGATAGTGACAGTCACAGTTAACAGTGACAGAAAATGGATCACAAATCCGGACAATTCCCTCGCGCCACTAGACTCGGCTGTTTCTGTGGGGTGCTTTTCTCTACTGTACGGCCGGAGCCTCCACTTGAGGTGTCACCGTCGCTCGTACGAGACAGGGGTTGACTCGGATCTTCGGCATTTTATGTTCTCGAAATTTTGCAGAAGCACTCGGAGCACACCACACGGTCATAGCCATTGGCCACCTCGAGTTGCCCGTTGCTTCGATGCTCCATAGCCATATCCGGGCCGTTACAAAGGTTCCTTACTCTGACGGTCGGATGTTTTACAGCAACGGGCATGGCTTCGGTCGAGGTGTGGCATCTCGTGGCGTAGAATATGGAGTCGACCGTGTTTCCATGACAGAATATTTATTAAACGTCTCCAGATCTTGGTATTTTTATTACTCTTCCTTTACTCCCATCTCTCCTCCCTTTCATCATCAATCGAACCTCGCCTTGTCCATTGTTGCATCCGTGACAGTGAAAACTTTTTCAGTTCATCGAGTCTCATCGACGCCGTCTCGTCTGCAACATGGCCCAGAATCACGAGGATTTGGCCGCCGAGTATGTCGCAAACTCTATTCAAGCTTATTTCGCACCCTTGCTAATCTCATGCAATGTAGGCTCCACGAGGAGTTAGGTGAGCGCGTGCCCGCCGAGAAAAAGACTGATCTCGCTGGTGGTTATATCGCCCCTTCTATTGATGAGAAGAAGTCTCTCGACAAGCAGCACTATGCTTCTGATCCTGAGTTCGGCACCACTGCCGATGGCGAGGAGCCAAATGATCATGAGAAGGCGACTCTTCGACGTGTAGGAGAGAACCTCCCTGCTTCAGCTTTCCTCATCGCTGTGGTCGAGTTGACGGAACGATTCACCTACTATGGTGCCCAGGGTCTTTTCCAGAACTACATCTCCAACAGCCCAACAGGTGCAGATGGTGCCAAGGGTCTTGGAATGGGCCACCAGGCTGCTACTGGTCTCAACCTCTTCTTCCAATGGTTCTGCTACGTGACTCCCATTCTCGGTGCCATCATCGCCGATCAGTACCTCGGAAAGTACAGGACCATCTTAGTCTTCTGCGGTTTCTACTGGGTTGGTCTCATCATCCTCTGGACTACGTCGTTACCTGTTGCTATGGAACATGGCGCTGGAAAGGCTGGATACATCATTGCTATTATCGTTATTGGTCTCGGAACTGGTGGTATCAAGTCCAACATTGCGCCTCTCATCGCCGACCAGTACCAGCGACGCAGAATGGCTATCCGAACTGAGAAGAACGGCGAGCGCGTTGTCATCGACCCTGCTATTACCTACCAGCGCATCTACATGGTCTTCTATTGGTGCATCAACGTTGGTGCCCTCTCACTGCTCGCTACCCCCTTCATGGAGAAATACAAGGGTTTCTGGACCGCCTACCTCATGTGTTTCTGCATGTTCAACGTCGGTATCGTCACCCTGGTCCTCCGCCGAAAGACCTTTGTCAACCGTCCTCCTCAGGGCTCCGTTATCACTGATGCCTTCAAGGCTCTTGGTATGATGATTGCTGCACGCAACACCGATGCCGCCAAGCCCTCGTGGCGCGAGGCCAACGGAAAGACTAAGGTTGTCCCCTGGAACGACCACTTCGTCGACGAGCTCAAGCGTGCTCTCCGCGCCTGCAAGGTCTTCATCTTCTACCCCATCTTCTGGGTTTGCTACGGGCAGTTCTCCACCAACTTCGTCACCCAAGCTGGTCAGATGCAAGGCCACGGTGTTCCAAACGATCTGATGCAAAACTTCGATCCCATCTCCATTTTGGTTTTCACTCCTCTCATCGAGAAGGTCTTGTACCCCATCCTTCGCCGAGCTGGTATTGAGCTTCGACCCATTGCCCGAATCACTATCGGTTTCTGGCTCGCCGCTCTCTGTCTTGCCTACGCTGCCATCGTTCAGCACATCATCTACTCTGCTGGACCTTGTTACGAGCACCCTGGTGAATGTGCTGCTGGTCAGGACGGTAACACCAAGCTCCCCAACAACGTGCACATCGCCATCCAGACACCCGCCTACATCTTCATCGGTATCTCTGAGATCTTCATCTCCGTCACTGGCCTCGAGTACGCCTACACCAAGGCCCCTCCCAGCATGAAGTCCTTCGTGCAGTCCATCTACCTCTTCACCAACGCTTTCGGATCTGCCATCGCTGAGGCACTTGTTTCCGAGGCCAAGGACCCCAACTTCTTGTGGCTCTACACTGGTGTCGGTATCTCTTCATTCGTGACTGGCTGCATCTTTTATGCTATCTTCCGCCACTACGATGCTCAAGAAGATGCCATGTATGATCTGGACAGAGATGAGCCAACTCTTACCCACAACGGCATGGAGCCCAAGACTGTGGATCACGAGTAATGATTTGTAAAGACTGTATTATAGTTAAATAGTGTCATTGAACATATTATTTCAAACAATCGTGTGATCTGTGCAGCGCGTAGTTGTGAAGTACCAAATCCCAAAACGAAAAAACGTTCGCGTTATTTTGTCACGCGGTGCATGCCCCGTTCGAATCTGGGACCTTCAAAAAAAGCGGGCAGGGGAGACATCATCGGCTAGCCAGGGGAGGGTACCTATGGGTTAGCAAGTCCTTAACAAGTGCGCCAAAACCAAACGGAATGTGTGTTGCCCTGGAGCCAGCCTCGTCTCACCCCACCCTGGGAAAGTGTTGAATAATTCGGGCTTAAGTAGGGTGAGCAATCAGTCATGGGCGTTGCCTTGAAGAAAAGGATACGGCACTATTCGTTGGCCAGCCCAAAGTGTCGTTTCCCACCCTGTTTCCGCGTCAATGTCTAGCCACGAACGATAGCACACGTTCATTTTGTTACAACCGTCTCTGCCCAGGTATTCACCACTTCATTACAAGCTGTGGCTTCAATCTGCCACAGCTTGACGCGTTATATGCATCAAAATATCAATGCAAGCTCACTTGGTCCTCATCAGGAACTCCTCGTCAACTTCCGCAGAGTCCCCCCTTTCCATGTCGCCCCCTTTACTGGCGAGTTCGGCTTGATCCTTTACCCATTGAAGCACACTACAACTGACCCCATATTCAGGAAAGATTCAGTTGCACAGGCTCAGGTTCCCAATCCAAGACGATTTGTTCACGGGTTGACTTTCCGATGCATATATTCAAGAAAGATGAATAGGGGGCGGACAGGCAAATGTCTATTCTACATAATGGGGCCAATGACTTTCTCCCATCACAACCCGAAATCATAAGCCACCGGCAGCCTTCCATTCTTCTGCTGAACTAATGAAAATTTAGACCACACCTCACCTTCGCGATTCCGAATTCCCGGAGAGGTTCCCGACACCCCAATCATATCTCTCATACATATGCGCGAAACAAAACGCCAAATTCTGCAACTAGATACAGTCTCAAACCTGAGAAGACCGTTCTTCTACAAATGTACTTTTGGCTCCATATCGAACATGTATATCATGGTTGCACCGCAGATGTAGCTGCGGTTCGGTTAAAAAACAATCTTCGCAACTCTGGCTCGGTGAACTTCTGTGAAAAAGTCAATAAAACTTTTGGCTGCAAAAGAGAATGTGCCTCGAAACCCGAGAAAAGCGATTCGAACTCGAACCGATGACCTCAAAAAACAAAGGGAGGGTGCAGGGAGAGAGTTTTAGGATTTTAGGTTCGGAGTTTAGAAGGTTTGTAGGCTTTAGGAGAGATACCACTGCACCACTGCCCTTTGTTGAGGATATACAGAGTCAAATTGACATATAAGGGTAGCTGGGCGGAAAGGCATCGAGTTAAAAATAGTTTGGCCATGTTAGCTATAATGTACACAAGCCCCACCGCAGGACTTGCATCACAATTCTCCTTGTCTCTGTTTACGTTTCCTATCCAGCTCTTACTCAAAGCTCTGCCATAAGTTCCACTGCAACGCTCCAATCACCCATAGAAACCCAAAGTGCAAACCCCGATACAAAGGACCGTTACGCAACTTGTCGAACCCGCAGGGCTCGTCGTGGCTCCAAAGGTACACGAGAAAGCTCGCTGGCCGGAATGCTATATAGTCGTTGTGGTCTCTCCCGACGAGGTCGCATGAAAGTACCACCTGCCTGTTGCCCGGTTGCCTCTGTTGAGCCCAAGCTGAGAAGTCCCCGTGCCCGTCTCTGCTGATACGTCATGGGTCTACCGGTCGTTTCAAACGGAAAGGTTCGGAACTCTGCTTGAACATTAGGACAGCACTATGCGTATCTGTGTCAGGGAATATGACTTGCCATTGACCCTCGCAACTAGCTGAAGAATGCAAGCCGGCTGTATCTTCCGGGCGAGTCCCTCGGAGTCCAGAATGTATGGAATTCCTGCCTGCAATTGTTTCAATGAGTCGACATACGTAAAAAGAAGAGTTTTGGGCATACCTGGCCACTGTCATCCGAAGAATCTCTGTAAAACTCGATTGATCCACCAAATAGACGACTCTCGAGCCAACGGCCTGACTCCCCAGTTACTGGGAGATTCTCGTCATCAGTCAAACCAACATAGTTCAGGTACGATACTTGTGGAGGGGTGTATGAGTCAATAACGTCTTGGCCTTGAGCCAGATATGTGATGAACACATGGGTTAGCTCGTGAGCAGTGGCCACGGCTAATAGAAAGAGAAAGGTTCTGAAACGGTTGCCCATTTTTCTTCCCTCGCTACTCCCGTCACTGGATTGTCGAGCAGCTATGGCCATCCGGGTGACATGCTAAGTAGAGTCAGGCTTGAGGAGCTATTACTTAGAATACGTTTCTAAGGGACAATAACTTACAGAATGGTTGTAGTAAATACCAGCAGCGTGCTTAGCGTCAAAACGGAACAGATCACCATTCCATCCACGCATCCGTCTTGTTTCAGCAATTACATCTGAACCCTCCACGCCACCAACGATGACACGAGGAAAGTCCCTCCGAACAGCAAGAAGAAACTCATCGACGTATCGTGGCATCAAGTTAGGGTCACCGCCAAATCTGAATATTTGTGCTCTAGCCCACTCTTGAACAACAACCAGGCCGACTCTCTGTAGAGCTTGACGTCCTTTAGGCTTTTCAAGAATAGACAGGCCAGCATGAATTGCAAAAGCCAGCTGCAAAAGGTTAATATATCCGGAGTGATTCCGTTACTTTATTTTGACAGACGTACACCAGTGAACTCCAAGCTATTTTCCTGCAACGGCTCAAGACCATCTTGGTTTCTAAGAGTGATCCCGATCCGCCCAAGCCCATTGACCGTGAAATCTCGTGGAGCGCTCATTCTTAAAGATTGATGATAGAACGGCTGGCGTAAAAGGAAAGCAGAAAACTGGCAAAAAATGAGGTGAAGTAACTAAGATAGAGTTGAAAGTGATGCTTGAATTTGAGCTACAGTGAAGGGACTTTGTGCCTTAAGTAGACGAAACACTTTCCCCAACCGCCAGTCTTTGAGATGTAAAGTCATTCTGAGCTTCCAAATATATCACACTCCTATCACAAGCCACTGATAATCCCGACTTGATGTTGAGCGATACGCTGAACTTTCGTACTGAGCAGGCCAACAAACTTTCTTGCCAGGTGAAATGAATGATTTTTATAACAACCAACAGCCAGAGCATACATTGAATGGTAAATGAAGTCCAAAAAAGGTTAGCCTTTGTTGGTTGAGGTACTCTGTACGTAAAAAGGAATTTCGAGGATAATTTGGAGGCCAACTTTGAAGCCCGGTTGAATCGATACTGTTGCTCTTTTACGCGCCCAATGGGGTTGCAGGCGCCTCTGTTGCAGATTCGTTTTTTGGCGCTAAATGCACTGTCATCATTGGTCGAGGTATTTGCCGTTACCTATCTCATGACCTGGCTTGCGACCTGTTTCAGGTGCTTTCCTCCACCCTGGACTCATTAGTCAGGCGAGGCTTGTGCTTTCCCTTCACATCACCAATTTTAATATCGCACAGAACAGCATTGCCAACCCCAACTTGATCCAAGACCAACCCAAGCAAAATATTTTTTTCGCGATAAGATTCCCCGTCGCCAGCCATGGCTTTGAATGGCAGTCTAGACATGGCAACTATTGATGTGCTGGAAACAGAGCATCAGAAGGCTTTTGTACAAGCTTTGATGAGAGTATTGGAAACAGATGTCGCGGAAAGGACATTCGCGGAGATCATCGATGGGCTCCCTACGATTGAATCGTATCAAGACTTCCACTGGCCTCAAGAAGGCCACCCCGCCACTCAACATCTTGAGCTGTGCCCGGGTATGATTGAAAAAGCTCGCCAGCTACGTTCAGACCTCCCTGTTACGAGTTTGACATTCAGACTGCCAGTTAGTCCTCATGATACGCTCTTACACATGCCGTTCTAACACCCGACTCCAGTTGCTACATGCTTTTTCAGATACCGCGATTAATTCAAGGCCATTTCACCTTCGGCTGTTCGAGCTGTTAGCGGTATCTATTCATCAAATTGCTGTATACTTGTACCAGCAAGATGGTGCCAACCATACACACCAAGACTATCAGAAGTGGATAGATTCACCACATGATACCCGTAAATGGGATGGGTATCGACACCCGACAGCTTTTTGTCATAGATTCTATGTTGCGGTTGGGCGGTATCCCAATGGGGAAGCCGATACCGTTGGATACTGGGCCGAAGCAAAAGTGTTTGGTGGGGTCTTCGTCTTCGACCGCGGAGAATCAGAATCAGAGGCACGCTGAACTAACTTACTAAATGCTAGTCCGAAATATGCTGACATCTGTGTAGTGTAACGAGCTTTACCTCCATGCCAGTCGACGAGTAGGCCCCTATACTTTATTCCCCCTTACAACGGCCCAGTTCGAGAGATTCGTTGACTTCCTTCTGGCTGATACAGAAGAGTCTGCTGCATCGCGAAGTCCTCTCCCATTCAGAGCAACGTCGGAGAATCGTTGGCGGTGGCATAGCTGGGATGCCATAACCCGATATCACATATTCCGTGACAAGTATGAGCGAACCGTCCAACCTACAAAACCAACTGGCGGCGTCAAGTCTTCGGTAGACTGGCCGGAGATTGCTGATGAGCTGTATCTGATCGGTGCAATGCACGATTATTGGGATGGCCAGCCGGTAGATAAGGATAAGGTTCGTGAGGCTTTGGAGAATTTACAACAGGTCACTCCATCTTCGCCAGTCTGGTCAACTAGGAACGCACATACATGGACCAAGAACCTTTTTGAATAGACTTATATGGCGTCCAGAGACATCCACTGAGGATCGGTTTACCAGTTTCCAGTGAACTGGGGATAGCTTGGGACCTTGACCTCTCTGTCGGGGTAAACGCCGCCCCTTTGCGGCTGCATGCCTTCCCATCTTGCCTTTGCTAATTCCCTTTTCTCCTCTGCAACACTCTTCTCAGAGTTGTCAGAGCTTTCCTCCTGGATTACTTCTTTCTTCTCATCCTTTCCTGCGCCAACAGTTTGAGTGTCTTCTTTGCCGACAATCTGCCATTCGTCCTCGGTCTCTGGGTTCGACGCTGGATCAAAGTCAGCGGTATTGACAAAAGAGAGAGATCATGGCTTTTAGATTCGTTACCGGTGGTCGCCTTTTCGTTGTGATTGTCTGATGACATTGTTGGATCTTTGACACCTAGGGTTCCGTGGTCTTGGTTTGTGATATTCTTTAGTCACTGCGGTTCGATGGAGGTGAAGCTTGAAAGCAGGTGACGTGTCCCAGCAGGCAGCCGGTGGCGAGAAGGATCGCCGCCACTTTGTTGACTAATCCAAACTGCCCTGCATTCAATGCAATGAGACCTTGGCATCGCTGGTAAGAGTGTTTGATATTGAATCGGACACTGTTGTGGATAAACGACAGTTGATAAGATCTTAATGGAAAGGAGATATTCCTCTGCCATATGGAAGTATGATTGATTGTAAAACTAACAGTCGTCGCTCAAACACTACAAGTCCAGCAATGACCCAGCTGCTCTCTTCCCATTACCATCAGACTCACGCCCGCCCCGAGAAGCTGCAGCCTTGTATACACTGGCAATCTCACTCTGCCATTTCTCAACATCTGGTCTCACGAACCGACGATCGTAGGTGATCAGACCATTCACTTCGCCTTCAACATCGCTCGTCTGGGTATATACGGCACCACTGCAAGCGAAACGCTGAGTCTGCTCGCGAATATCTCGGAACAAGACGCCGGATCGATAATTGTAAGAGTCGAGGTTCTCGTTGATTTCGTATGTCTCCGGGATGCTATCGATGGCTTGCTTGACGTTCCAAAGGCTGCAGCGGCAGTTAGTGGCGAAGTTGAACACGGAGATGCGAGCTTACTGGTCTATCGAGACATTGTGACCGATACCACCGTACTCGCCAGCAATGCCGATGCGCTCAGGATCATATGGGGTCTTGGGTTGCGAGTAGAATGGCGTGCCGCATTGAGGTGCAGCATAGTTGTGATTGTCCTAAACCGAGTCAGTGAACGTCCGATGAGATCTCGAGGTGGCTCACGTGGAAGTCGCCAAACCCATGGTCATTCCATCCGCTGATAGAGTTGATGAGTCTCGACTTGTCGAGCTTTTGCAGCAGCTCAGTCAGGCTCTTCTCAGGAGAACCGTCTCGCTGACCCCAGCCCTCGTTGTAGATGACCTACCATGGTTAGCAAGCGAAAACCGGACTGCCTTAGTCTCTGTTCAAACCCATGTGACGATTGAAGTGTAACTTTTGTGTTGTTTCACAAGAATCTCGAACTGTCGTTGAAACTCGGCTTGCTCCGCATCGTTGGGCTTGCGGTTACCGTCTGCAGGTAAACTGGGCATGTCTTGGATGACCAAAAGACCAAGCTCGTCGCATGCTTGGTAAAACAGATGAGGTTCGTATTTGATCTTCAGAGGTCAGTAAGAGCGATTAAGATCACAAGGTCATACTAACATGTTTGCGGACCATGTTGAAGCCAAACTTCTTCAGGAGCTTCAGATCAGAGACCATGGCCTCCCTGTTCGGTGGCGTGTACAATCCGTCGGGCCAGAAACCCTGGTCAAGAGTTCCAAATTGAAACACAAACTCGCCGTTGAGAAGTGGTCGTGTGACGTTCTCAACTTTACCTTTGGATATAGTTCGAAAGCCGGTATAACTGTGTACCGTGTCTCCGCTGTCGAGTGTTACGGTTATGTTGTAAAGCGTTGGGGAGTCGGGCCACCAAAGTTTCGGCGACTCGGCAGTGAAAGTGAATTCTTCATCGGTCGTTCCTTCGTGGGAGGCCAGTTCTGTGCCATCGCTGCCTTCGATCACCACTTTGGCGGATTTGCCAGACTCTTGAGAGGTGTGGACTGTTACAGTAACTGGAGTGGAATGGTCAGCGATCGGATGAGATAAAGGGGACGGGAAATGACCAACCTTCACCATCCGCACCCGCAGCGAGGTCGAGATCGGTGATGTAGTCTTTCGGAACGGCCTCAAGCCAGACTTGCTGCCAGATGCCGGAGCAGGAGCGGTAGAAGATGTGACTCGGTCGCAAGGTCTGTTTGCCAATGGGGATGACTTGATCATCTGTCGGGTCGTTGACAAAGACGAGCCTGGTAAGATGTTAGAGCGCGCTTCAGCTTGGAGGCTCAATCATGGACTTACAGCTCATTCGACTCTCCAAACTTGATGTCCTCCGTCACGTCAACAGTGAAGCGGTCGTAGCCCCCAATGTGCGTCGTCTTTTCTTTCCCGTTGACAAAGACGGTTGAGTTATAGTCGACGGCCTCAAAGTGAAGGAGAACGGTCTGATTCTTCCAGTCATCCGATAACTCGAAGGACCTTTGGTACCAGAACTCGCGCTCGTCGAGAATCTGCAGTCCCGACAGAGCACTCTCGATGCAGGCGGGTACCAGCACCTCACGATCAAGAGGGCCCTCCTTGGGCGGGTTGCTGAGATCGCCGTCACCGCTCCATGTCCAAATACCATTCAGGCTCTTCCAAGCATCGCGCTTGAGCTGCGGTCGCGGATGTTCCGGCCAAGGATTGGTACCGACCTTGTAAGTCCAGTCGGTGTCAAGTGGAGGTTTTTGAACCTCGTATTTTGTCTGCGCTGAAGCGACGTCAAGAAACAGAGAGCAAAGCCCCGCGAAGGGGACAAGATTGGACCAGAACATTTTGAAGAGATGGTTACGATGAGTGAAATTGCGCATGAGGATGAAGGGGCCTTTGTATTGCCTTAGCATGCCATTCCGTGTTCCCCGCCTGCATACCACGTTGAGTTTGTGTGAACCTTATGACGTCTACATCGTCAGCGCTTAACGAAGAGCTCCAGGGGATCATCATGTTATTTCCCCCTCTTCCCCCGCATCAACGCTGATCATCACACGTTATTATCCCTACTGTATTACAAATTCTGCATGATTTTCCTGTATTTTGCTTCCGGCAGGTGGAATAAATCCCGAAGGATGAGGCTTTGCTTGTTTAGCTACCAAGATTAACTTTGCCGATGTGGTATTGGAGTCCCCATCCAGTATTAGCGTGTCTGATCACCATTTTACAAGAGGCTTTGTGCACATCACAAGGTGCCCGCTGGGGCCTGGCCGTTACAGGGGCACAGATCCTCTGTAACCCAAAAACAACAAGTGCGTGAAAGCAAGACAAACGTTACGCCATTTGGCTCCAGCAAACAAGGTTACAAACATTCTTATTCCTTGTTACTTTTCAACGTGATTTCAAACTTTTCATTCAAACTTCTAGGGTACCTTATGATGGAATGCAAAAATGCTTGGCTTGCTGTACTCGTAGGGCAGGCTGCTAAGGTCCGAAGGTCTCCCCTTTTGCTAACGCCTTGTAAGGGCAACTCTTCCAATCGCAAGTATTCTGTTACATACACCGTTAGTCGACAGCACATCTCAATGAGTATAATCAACTGACCTTGTACACGTTGGTTCCCCACCAACTGAAGTTATCCGCGGCACCGGTATAGAAAATGGCGAAGAAGATGACGATGCCAGCGATAGCGACAGAGCAATCCAGAGCCGAGCTCAGAACAAAATTGAACCGATGCCACCAGCTGGTCTTGCGCTTCTTAATCAGAGCGCCAAACAAGAGCCCCAATAAAGCCCAACTGCCATAGTTGACACCTGATGCAGGAGGGATATAGTTCAAGCCGCCTAGGAACAGCGGAACGTGAATCTTCTTCAGCCAATTGACATGAGGGAATGCCCTGGTTCGAAGGAGGTATGCGACGACAGGGAGAAGAGCTCCGACCAGGAAGAACCACAGCAAGGGCCTGTAGAGAGCACCTGGCTCGAAGAAACGACGGGGACCGAGGGCACCCCAGACCATACTTGTGTTGAAATGAGTTCGTGAAAAGGGACATGTGAAGCCGTTCGGAGCAAGTTTGACATTGCAGACGTTGGGTATGTTTCCGAGTGCCCAGTTGAGGACGGACACTTGACCAAGAGTTCCGACGATAAGGCCGACTACTTGGACCAGGAAGAGGCTTCGAGGAGGGATCTGAAATACGTCAGTTTGAAGTCAGCCGCATCGAGACAAGGACCACCTACGCCGCAGTAGATGCCAAGCTTCAGATCTTGAGAGAAAGCGAGACCCTTGATGCCCGAGATGTAGCCAACATTGAAGAACCAGATATTGGCCAGGACCTTGCCTTCCCAGACGTAACCAGCGATGATGCGACAGAAAATATCGATCTGGATCTTGATATTGCTTGTAGCATACACCCAAGCGAGCTTCGGAAGTCAGGAGAATGCTTGTGAGTGGAAGCCGAGGTACTCACAGGGATGAAGAAGATAGTAGAAACTACCATGCCGAAGATCACGCCGTACCAACGCAGCTGAACGGGATAGTACTCGTAGGTGAAGATACCGATACCCAATGCTACAAGAGCAGCAATCATGTACCACCAAAGCGGGACTGCATCATATTGTGGTTGCAGTCTGTCGCGAGTGGAAGTGTCCTTCGACGTCAACGATTTGCGAGCATCGCGGAATGTTCTCACTAAATCCCGGCGCTTCTCGAGAAAGAGCCAGACAAAAAGAGACGAGATGGTAGCAAACGACAGACCGAAAGTGTTGAGCGCATAGGTTACGGGGAGATAGATCTGGGGGAAGAGCATTAGCATCTCTTATTTCTGGGAGGCATGACGGGGTGAGACTTACATCAGAGTACTGTGCATACAGATCATGATCAAAAGTGAAGCCGTCCTTCTTATTGACAACCTTCGAGACGTTGAAGACTTCTCCGGTGTTGTCGAAGATTGAATTGCTTTGAAGCGGGAGATGGGCGGAGAACCAGGTGTTCGAGTAGTACAGCGCGGGGCTAACAATGTAGATCCAGAAGACAAGCGAGGCGAGGACATTGAGGATAGCCCAGACTGGGACAACAAGTGGTGATCCGATGTAGGCGATTTGACTCCCTGAAGAAACAGCTTGTTAGCGACCGAAACCCCGAATCATAGAGCGGCGAGTACATACAGTCGAAGGTGAAGGGCAACAACCCCAGTCCACTCTTCATGCCAAACACCTGGTTGACGACAGGGTTCTTGGGGGCGATCCAACAAATCCATGTAAAGTAACCCAATGCAGGGAAGATAAAGTTGGGGAACCAGTACCAGCAGAAAGAGGCGCAGAAGGCGAGGATAAAGAAGTGGTAACGAGAAATCTTGCTGCAACCAAGTTAGTAAAGCCCGTCCCCGAGAGCGCTAAGAGAAGTGCTTACCCAGCGATCACCTCCTTGCGTGGTGTATGCAAGGCTGCATTGAGAGCCGTGTTTCCAAGCACGCCTGGCCAAACGAGGCTCTTTGGTTCAACAACCACTGATCGCGTCAAGCCAGACAGAGCAAAGCCGAACAAGATTGAGGTGAGTGTTGCGAGGATCTCGAAAACCCATCCCGCCTTAAGCCCGTAGAATACCCGCTGTTCGGTGAGGACGTCGGCACTCAATCGGGTCAAGAAGCTGAGGTTGGCCAAGATGTAGATGAGCATGTTCTCCTGATCTAAGATTAGTGAGTGTCTCTTGAAGGATCCTCGGGAGCAAATACCTTGTGGTTGAAGGGTCCTGGGTTCAGGCTGTGTCGCTTGCCGAACAAGATGAAGCCCCAGTCCGGTATCGCATACTCCCATGCCTTGCCGACGGGATAAGCGAGAAACTGGATTGCGGACTGCGAAAGACTGATAGATGGGAATCTGAGCGTGTACAGAGTGTTTACTCCGCTACCAACAAGGCAAAAGGCAATGCCGATTGTCCACATGCGAAGAGTCAGACATGGCAGAGTTGGATCATCATCCTTGAAGCCCACGCCGGCCGCTGACAAGACTTCTTCAACAGATTCGCCTTTGATTCATGAGCATAAGCAATTTGTGAAGGTACAAGTCAACAACGTACCTGAAGATGTCTCTGGTCGGACCAGGCCCTCGTTTGGAGCGCTCACTTCGGCCTCAGCCTGACTTTTCTCAACAGATGCACTCATGTCGAGATTTCCGTATGCAGAGCTCGCGATGATCACATCAAACGAGATCAGATAAGATGGAAATGATTATCGATTGATTATCTATCTTATAACAAGATCTGCCAAGCCGTCACGACGGCAAAGTCGGTTCGGCGACCTTGGCGAGGACTCCACAATAAGAAGTAGTGAATGTTGGCATGAGTTAATTCTGTGGTTCTTAGCGTGCCGTATGCCGAGATATCTTAGCAATTCTCGGCACTGAAGATGGCCTCGTCAATTGCTAGATCATTTCAAGAACCTTGAAATTGTCTGCCACCCTCAACAAAATATGTTCTAAATCCTTTTTGAAGTCACAAGATTCTCATGTCAAGGATTACTAATAGAGAACTCAAATTGTCGCATCAGATTTCATGGTTCTCAGCTTTTCTCAGCTGTAGCAAGGCTAGTAGCCATTATCACGGTACTCGGCACGTTTGCCGAGGAACTACGCGGCACTGCCTCAAGAAATTCTTACATGGCATGATAGCCATCATTAGCCAAGCATTACCAATTATACGGTCCATCAAATAGAACTAAGCATATCAAATAACCGGTTCTTGGCAAAATGTCTTGCGTTGTATTAGGACCCTGAAGTTCAGGGATGGTTTATCAATCGACCAGGATCGGCCGTCCACTCGCTCTGGGTCGCGTGGGAGTATAACTCATGAAAGGTGTGATCCATCCAGCTTATCGAGTCAGTGAATGCAACCAAGGTTGAAATCTCGACTACATATTGGTCTCTGCTTGGACCTAGCCCTTGTAAAAGATTCCACCGAACTGAATTTAGTGCAACGAAATGGCACCACTGATAAAGCAAACCATACAACATTCAAACAATTAAGCATAACTCCTAATATCACAGCTCCTCCTCCTCCTCCACACACAAACTATTCGATCCGGCTTTGTTCTACGCTACCGAGATGAGTTTGGGCGACTGAAGAGTCACCTCAGATGTGTCTGCAATTCTCAGTCTCTCTATTCCACGAATCACATCATCTGGGATCTGAGACAAGTGAGAAGACGATGGTGAGTTGGATGATGGCGAGCGAGACCGCTTTCGCGACATGGGTGTGAGTTTAGGCCGTTCGCTTATAGACGCGTATCGGGGTGTGTATTCGTCCTCATCCCCGCTAGGAACTGGCTCGTCCTTCAATGGCATCTTCATGTCCCGGGAGGGGGATTCTGTTTGTCTCCCCGAGGTTGACTCATGCTGGTTTGCTTGGGGCGTCGCCTGTTGTGACACCATTGTGCTGCCGGGGCCTGCTACTGATTTCGGTTGTTGGCTGAATATGAATCTGCTCGCCAGCGCCACTTTCTCCAATGTTTCTGTAAGGGAACTGGCTAGTGGCGCGTTCGCGAATCCGTTTTGGTGAGCTGAAAAGTCAAGTAGTACGCCCGAGGACGGGTTGGAATCATGCCTAGGCAGGGATGGCTGATGAGCAGGCTCATTTGATGTTGTGTTCTGGGGTGTAGCCTCTTGATGTAACTTTGTTCGATTGGCCATCCTGATTTGGATGCCTTTAACTACCTCCCTTGTGAGTAAGGCATCAATAGCATTTGGTGGAGCAGCCAGCACCTTCTTCAGGAGGCTCACGCCGCGCTCAGGGAGGTCTCCCCATGTCAGAGTTTTCGGATCTGCCATAAGCCATTGCATCAACCGCTGCGGGAGTGCCCTGACGACTGCTAGCTCTCGTTCTTCCTTGTCAGGTGAGACGTAAATGACGAGCTTGCGCACGGGACGGTTTGCGTCATGAGAAGGAATAAAAAGCTTTGGGTGTGTGCTCGGAGCAGCAAATCCGCGATGGCGATGGGGCCCAGTGCCCAGGCACCTGGAAGTTTTTCCACGCGTAAGCAGCACTTTTTCAGACTGTATGCCTTCGACAGCAAGCACTTCAGCGTCTCTCAAGATATTTATAAGTGCCACTTTGTCCCGGTTTGTTGTCGTTCGGGGGCTGCCGCAATGCATGGCGATTCTAGGTAACATATTAGCTCCGTCCATTAATTCAGGGGTTATGAGACTCACCGAAGAATGCCTTCCGCCCTCTCAACCACGTCCCATTCAAGCTTCTGTTGCTTTGCTCTTGGACACCAAATGCACCTGTGGCGGACATGGTTCGACAAATAGCGATCTTGGAAGCCCAGCCATGTGAACAGTGGATTGAGAATCGCGATCTCCTCGGCAGTAACATCGAGGAGAGGAAGATCGTCCTTGAAGGTTGTCGCGAACTCCTGATCGTCGGGAATAAAGAACTCTTCCGTGCCAACAAAGCGATGATTTTTGCCGTTCCGTTTGCCAAGAAAAACTCGCCGGGGCAAAATTTCGTCGGGCTTAATCGATATTTCGGACGTCTTGATCAGGCAGTTGAGAAGACTAAAAAGGTCTCGCATCTCGAACTCAGGTGTATCGTCAGACATGCGTGACAAAACGGTTTTTTCTGTTGCTTCTTCAACCCCGAGGAGGCCTACGAAGAAATTTTTGAGATCTGGATATAGTCTACTCAACTCGGTCAAGTTTCTGATTTTCATGAGCGGCGACCAAATACATGTGAGCTGGGTTTGCCACTTGATGACACTACCCTGCGGAACGGCGATCATGTTTAACTGTTGGAATAGTCTCCTGTTCCTCCAAGTCAGCAAATTGGTCTGTGGGTAACACGACGTACTAACGGCATGGCGGTTCTCTCTTGCTCACGTAGCTGTCTCTCACTTTGCGGTAAAGTTCGGGTTTCAAGACTCTCATTCAAGGCACGATAAAGTTCAGCCATTGGTTGAATGGACGTTTGACCAGTCGACTTCTGGAGAGCATTCAGTCCATAAAAGATGCTATGCCAGACGTTAGGAAAGTCCGGAATGCCGAGAACCAGTTGATAGAAATCATTCTTCGCTAGTGGTTCAGAGGAGCTTGCGTCAGTTCCAGCTGACACGGGCCTGAGGACTATCTTTGACCGCACGTATTCTGGCGCACGGTTAAAGCATGAACTGGGCTTTATCCATTTGCCCTTGTGGAGGAGGAGTTCGCCAGCGTTGAAATTGTGCCTGCAAGGTCAGAATATGACGGGGACAACGGTGAAAAAAAGCCTTACCGATTTTCATCGTCAGATAGAAACTTGTAGTGGATCCTGTTGTAGGGCCTGTCGTACATCGAGCGAAGACGGAAGCAGGCGTAAATCCCGAAGACACGTCCTGGATCTTTGACATTTGTCGGCGATGCTTCCTTGATAGTAAGTAAAAGATCAGCGAGGAACTGATCGCCGAGTTCGTATTGGCAACCGATCTCCCAGAGGAAGCTCCACGAGGAACTATCCTCGTCTTTGAAGTCCTGGTCGTTAAGAATAACGAAACGGAATGGTTCCTCAGGCAAAAGGAAATTAGAGCAAATTCTCATGAAGTTTGTTGTACGAATCCATGTCTTGGAAATAGGATGAAGACGTCCGTCGTGACAAGGGACCTTGACCTGTCTCAGTTGATATAGAAGCTTAGCCGAGTCACGGAATTGCTCTCTGTTTGTGTCCCAGACGCGATGAAGGTAATCAATAAACTCATGAGGTTTGTCGTCCGCAAGACGAAGCGCAGCTGGTGAAAGAGACTCTGGGTCGTCTTTGTCAACAAGGGGAGGATCGGATTCCAGGGGCTCAGGCATTATGAAAAAGCGTGAGACTCAGAAACTGAGCTCGCGTTGAAGTTGGAGTTGAAATGTTGGAAACGCGTCGTGGAAAATTCACGATGCAGCTTTTGGAATAAAAAGTACGAGACCTTCACTGACAGTATCGATACAGTGCGTATTTGAAAATTGCGCCACTGGACACAACTACCAAAACGCGCCACCTTATGCGGGCTCGGGCCATTATTGGACCAGGAACAGGCCCCTCAACCGCCATGATAAGGCATAACCCCATGAACGAAATCGCAGCACGTACAGTGTGAGGATTCTAAGTAAGGTATCCCCGCTTCCATTGATCATACTGATTCATACACCACCGCGTTTTTTCGTTTATTCAGCCACCGCTCAAGGAAGCACATTCTCAACAAGTAACGCAAGTGGGCTCCGAATTACCTTGCTTTTTCTATTAAAGCCATTGGAAAATGATTTCTGGGGTGACTTAAAGGCGAATTGAATTTGAGATCACGAAGACGGTAAGACCCAGCCCATCAACTTCACATCCTCAGTAGACACTTAGTTGACCAGTTCTGGCTCTCTACTCCCACTACCGGTGAACATGCACATCTTTAGCCTCAGCTCCTAATGACCTCATAATGACTCGATTGACTAAATACACACAAATTGGAACCGCGTGAAACATGACAACAAACGACTCCTTTTTCAAACAGCTACTTCCGCTCCAGCACCTAAGAAAACGAACGAGGTAGATAGATCTGACTGCGAATCACTGAACGGGCGAAAACGACTCGATCGGCTTATCTCCCTTGAGCTAAAGCCACTACACAGCTTGGGCACTCCCGCTCCAGTATCTGAGATTCTGAGAAGCTCAAGGCGACTGGCTAATGCATCCACGGTGGATGTATCAGAAAGGATAGAAGAAACATGCTCTGCCTCCTCCGGGGAGTGAGGCGTGGACCTTCTTCGTGACTTGGGTACAAGGAGCCGCCGCGGCGTTGTTGTTGGGCTGTGCTTGAGTTCCGCGGGAAATTCTTCTACGCTGGCGGGTTGTGTCACTGGAGTCTCCATAGGTCCTGTCTTTAGTACAGCCGCCGTGGTCTCGGGAGGATATTGTTGCTGGTTTTGGTCCAAGGGTGAATCTGCTGGTGTTAAGCTTTCAGGAGTCATGGACGTAGTATTCGAAGCGTTGGTGGTCGTGGCTTCGCTCTCAGATCTGCATAATATCAGCGTCAAGGACAGAATTGATTCAACAACTGTACAACTCACTCTTCGTTCATCAAACCTGTTGGAAGGTCCAAGTCTCCCACAAGATCAATCTTTTTCTCCTCCAGGAGGGCATTGACCTGACCAGGCAAAGTGCATAGGACGCTCCTCAAGAGAGTCTCAGCTCGTCTATTAAGCTTTTGGTCCAGCTGCATGGTCTCCGGGTTTACCATGAGCCAATGCAACAAACGTCTTGGGAGTCCATCACCATATGCTCGCCGTATCTCAGCTTCTTCAGCCGCGATGTGAACAAAAAGTTTGTCCAAAGTCATTCCGGAGTCATCGATGCTAACTGATACAGGAAGCCTCGTGCTTGGTGTGCCACGAAGCCCTGTTCGTTGTCAAAGCAAGGGCCCATGGAGTAACTTCCCGGTACGGTTGTGAACAGGCCAGCCATGAGCTCTGCCCGCTCGACAGCGAACATTTCGCCCTCCTTCAAGATATTAAGCAGCTTTCGCCTCGCTAGGGTGTTTCCCGCACGGGGACTCTTGAACTGGGCAGCAATACTTGCAGACAGGTTAGACATTTGCCAGCATGGAGAAAGAATTACTAACCTGACAATGGCCTCTGCCTTCTCAGCTATATCCCAGTGCAACTTCCTCTGCTTCGCCCCAGTCGGCCGGATAACTCGTTCAATAACGTTGTTGGATATATACTTGTCGTTCAACTGCAGACGTTCAAACTCCGTCTCAAGTCTTTTCATCTTGCCAGGAACAAGCATGGGAACTTGATCCCGAAACATGAGCTCGAGCACCGGATCATCAGCAATAAGGAAATAGTCATCAGCGGGCATCGGCTCAACCCTGGTCGCCGTAGTGAATACTGGAAAGTAAGGTAAGGTTAAAGCTTTATAAGGATCGGGTTGTAAGTTGGCCAAGATCGTCCGGTCAACATCGACTAGAGCCGCACGTTGAGAACGTAATTGGGCAGGATCGGAAGGAATCGGGCTGATTTCAAGAACTTTTCTCGGGAACCTGTCCACGTTGACAATATTGAGGAAGAATTCCGTCAGGTTGTCATACCGTTGACTCAGATCAACCTTTCCAGGATTGTTACCACGGGGATCCCAAATACAGTCCACACGCCGAAACCATTTGACGCATTTGTTTTGCTCGACAGCAATCCAAGACTGAGAGTAGAAAGCAGCCCTGTCCACTACCAGTACATGGTTCCCAAGATATTCAAGTACTCACCTCACAAAGTCTCGTTCTTCCTCTCTAATGGCGTTCTTTGAGTCGATCATGAGCCGTTCTTCCTCTGACGAACCGCATTCGTAGCCCAAGGGAAGATTCATTCGCTGAAGAGCAAAATACAAGAGTGACACATCATCAATCACTGCAGAAGCCTCACGAGCTCGCTGATACTCGATTTCGCTGATGGCGGTACGCCATGTATAATCAGGCTGCCATATCAACAGCACCTCCTCATAAAACTTCTTGATGGTTTTTTCTTGGTCTTTTGGCAAGTTGCATTCTCGTGGCAATAGTGACAGCGACTTTTTTGACCGTACCCAAGCCGGACCGTTGATGCAACATTCGCTGGGTGACCTCCAACCGTGGTGCCAGATAAGTGAGTGTTTCTCAAATTGGTCCCTGAGACACAATTAGTTCGCATGGAAACAGTGTTACCATGATTAATACCTGATATATTTGCAGTTGGAATCGATGTCGGGGTCGGAGATTGCAACATTTCTCAAGTACACAAGACTCAGCGCATAGTAGAGAGTCGACAGAGGATAGTTGGGATCGACGGCTTGAGGTGAACCTTCTTTGTGACCAATCAGAAGAGCAATCACGGCTTCGGCCCCGTGGCGCAGGTCAAAGGCGTGGTCAATTTGCTCGAGTAAGGGCATCTTCTTGGTCAAGAGCTTGCGTGATCCAAAAACAAAAGAGTTGTTCACTCGTGTAAGTGTTGAGGTGGAAGGGGGATACACGCGACGTGGACGCGTGCGGTCATTTATTAATGAAAGTTGACACGGTGCCGATCTAATCCCAGCCCCAGCCCCGCGTAAGACGGATCAACAGGGGACATTTGTAAACAGAATAAAGGAAAGTGGCTGTTTGATACATGAATGATTGGCCAAAAGGCTTAATATGGTTTCACATTGGTAAAATAAAATGGCGTACGTGGTTAGTCCTTTGGTGCGGCTGACGCGAATATTAGAGGTAACTGGTCTCTACTTTGGCAATGGTGTTACAGAACCCCCGCACCGCTAAAGTTGTCTGTGGTGGGTGGTACCCCAATGTTCCAAGATAACACACAACTCGACACGTACAGTGTCCAAAGTCACTTGGCAGTCTACACCCACTGTGATACCGACGGGATCCGTGAACTGACAGCAAAACTCCTATCAGCCTCACGTATCAATAACCTTTAGAGGAGGGCGCTCAAAGTCTCTAAAGCACTCAATCATACATATACTTGCAGGAGGACGAGCTCTTGGAGACTGGGATCGGCAATTGACCTGCGCAAACTAGCTCAAGAGATTGTATACAAATTTGGATATGAAACCAGCCAAGTTCTTCAAATATTACTTTTTGCTAGCTCATTCCTTTCGAGGTCTCTTCCGACCTGTCAATGGGGGAGGAGATCCTGAAGATGCCGAAGCCCTGTCATTAGGTCGCCGCTTTTGCCCACGCGGTGTCAATGTCTGTCGCTCTGACGCGCTTCCAGCAGCCGGGACAATGCCTAGGAACGCATCCAGCGTTCCAGCCTGCCTGACTTTGGGGGTTTGGGAAGCGGGAGAATCAGCCAGGGGAATCTTGTCTTCTGGTGTTGTTTGGAGTGGCGCTTCTGCCTCCTGATCCTCCATCTGATCCAAGCATTCTTCTTGCATTATGCCTGGCCTATTATTTGTCAGTTTCCCTACACAAACACTGTGAATGGTTGGACTTACAGTCTGTTGCCTCGAAGTGTGAAAGGCTGTTCAATGCCTTCGGCCTCAAGTATGTCATTGGCCAACTCAGGAGGTGCGCTCAACACACTCTTTACAAGGCTCACACCGAGCTCGGGTATCTCAACAGAGCCCCGGCCGTAAGTCTCTGGTCCTGTCATGAGCCATTCCATCAATAGACGAGGCAATGCAACAGCCATTGCCAACTGTCGTTGCTTCTTGTCGGCCGGAACAAGAGCGACAAGGACGTCTGAAGAGCCCAAATTCAGCTGGGGTACATATCTTTGACGAAGCCGCCTGGGGGAGTCATTTTACGGTGGCTATCCCTCATGTTGATACCGGTTAGTCGTACCTGAGAGAACAAACCATCGACTTCCTTCATCCTGGCTCCTCGCAAAAAACTGAGCATTTGGTTTCTTTTAGAGATGGATCTTGTTCCGCGAGCCCGAAAATAAGCAGCGATCCTGGCGCATCTTTTAGTCTGTGTGTAACGGAATCGGTCAGTTGACTTCAAGAACCTACCTCAGAAGAGCCTCGGCTTTCTGACCAATGTCCCAATCAATCGTATGTAAAGATTTTTATCTGGGCTTTATAACTTCGTGCTCTACATTGCGAGACAAGTATTTCTTCCCCATACCAAGCCACTTGATTAGAGATTCGAGCCGCATAACTTGGCTCCGTGTAAAAGCAAGCATGTTGTCATTGTCCCTCAATAGTTTGAAAAGGCGCATGTCGTCGACAATGAAGAAGTCTGTAGCGCAACAGACACGCTTTAGCTCGCCCGATGGTGTGAGAACAGGGAAAATGGGCTTAGAGATTAACTCGCTAGGGTCTATGAGTTCAGCGAAGTTCTGGATCATAATGTTGAGATGAGACAAGAGGGTGAAAGTCTCGTCGGCAGGCGCGTCGGCTGCGACATCGAATATCTGTTGTTGGACAGCCTCCATCGTCAATTCCGGTATCTTTAGACGACCTACGAAGAAGGACTTGAGAGCAGGGTATTGCTGGCTGATGTCGACTTTCCTGGGCAGCTTCACACCGTGCGACCATACCATATAGTTGAGTGTGTTCCAAGTGGAAGGCTCCCAGTTTCGGTCCGGGGGAATATAAGTAATAAAGGCTTCATTTTTGAATTCCTCTCTGGTATTTTCTGTCAGTAGACCCTTCGTATTCCTGTTGATTTCTTTTGCTGGAATACAGACATCATGCGTTCTTTTTCTCGTCCTCTCACATCAAGATCCTCAAGAGCCTGATACAGCTTGATAACATCTTGACGGGGACACATGTTCCAGATGTACTTATTTCTATAGCTTCTGAGTTCCTCAAGGATGCCGGAATAACTGTTCACGTCTTCTAAATGAAGCACTCTTTTGTAGAACCGTTCAATCAGGTCCGTCTCGGATGGTGTTGCGTTCCACCTAGCGGGTAGTGGCATTGAAGGCTTGCTCGACGTTGCGCCCTCGGGACCATAGCATACCGCATGATCAGGGTTAATCCAGCCTTGTTGTTGTAAGAGGAGTGAGTTTCTTGCAAAAGTCTCCCTAGATTTACCGTCAGACAACTCCGCATGCAGGAACACAGTCAAGATCAACTATACCTGATCCATTTCGCGACCTTGTTCTCGCCGTCTCTACCGACTTCAGCTTTTAGGTAGAACTTATAGAGAAGTATGTATAATTCCGTGACTCGCCGTGGAGATTTGACCTCATTGGTCGAATTGAGCTTGATATCCAACAGAGTATCGGTCCAGAAGTAGACATCAGGTTTGGTTTTACATCGAAGTTGTGGAAGAAACTCCCAAACTCCGAGGGTACCATCTTCTGGGAGAGGGGGGTCAAGATGAACGAAGGAGGCTTTTTCATCGGGCAACAAGTAACGAGCTCGCAGGCGCCGGAGTTCCGGGAGCGGAACCCAGGTCTTGTAGATTCGGCATGTCTCCCCATTCTCGAGGAGTACTTTGATACTTCTAAGGGACCTCAAACAGCGGGGGTTCTCGGCAAGTCTTTCTGCATGTTCTGGCCAAACGCGACGTAGGTATGGCAAAAAGTCCCCGGGATGCCTTCTGGCGTATGTCATAGCATAATGGGAAATTCTCGAGGGCGTGCCCGGTACGAATAGCGGTGGGTCGGAGTTTGCAGAAGAAGCCATTTTCGATGAAACAATGCATATAACGGCCAACGAGACGCGTGCTCAATCGGCTGCTTTACACAGCGAGATTATGAGAGACGCAACGCGGGGTATCTTCGATGTCGGTGATGTCAGCCTCAAATGGCTGAACTTTAACTTGAGCAAGCGATTGGCCAATGAACGGCACGTCCCTCAGACTGTCTCAGACTTCCAACTCTCTACTAAAACAGCCACGTCGCGTCGCGTATATAGAAATTAATTTGGGCATCGTAGACGAAATTAATAGTTTCTTATCTCACCGACGCAGTTAATTGACAGCGTATCAGGTTGCTGGAAATCGACATCGATCTCAAGGAACTGAAGACAAGTGAGAGGGTTTAGGTTAGGCCGGTTCAGCCAAACGAGCGGAATAAAACGCTAGCAAAACGATTAATTGTGAACGGTGAAATAGAAAACTGCCAGGGAAAAAGTCATTGGTTTGGTTAATATATTTTGAGGATCCAGAGCCTGGTGCGCTTTTACGTGAAATGCATTGTATTGTTCATCTCAGATTCAAAGAATGTTGCTGTCAGTTTCTCATAATTGCTACCAACGCCAAGAGATAGAAACAACACAAACAGTCGTGATCAATCATCTTCCCAGTCCAGCTGTGGAATCCCCGATCTTAGTCAAACTTGCTGTCTTGGAATGTGCTTCGCATAGGCATCTCAGAGTCATAGCTACCAGCCTCCTTCTTCATGTGCCTATCAAAGCTTTGCGTGGACATCTGAACCTTCTCGAACCAAGTCCTGTCCAGGACGGGAGCCGCAGGAGGGCTCTGGCCACGGGATCGAGCTGCTTCAGCCTGGTTGGCGTAGTTGTGGATGGCAAGACTGGACGCGATCTGGAATGCGCTTCGGATCTGTCGACCATTCCAGCATCCAGTTGATCGAGCGAGCTCTTCGTAGTGCTTGGCGGCAAAGTCGATGATCTCGTTCTCCTTGATGACGAGGGCGGGTTCGCCAGTCATGCGGTGGCGTTCGGCCTCGATCTGCTTGAGCTTGCCGATGTTGAGGCGGAAGATGTCGCGTGTCTGAGTCTTGTCTAGAGGAGGGTAGTACAGGGAGAGGTGGATACGAGACTTGAAGGCCTCGTCGATTGTGCCGACTCTGTTGGTAGTCAGGAAGAGAAGACCGTTGTAGTACTCAAGAACTCGGAGGAAGACGGACACGAGAGCGTTACGCTTCATGTCCTGCTTGGATCGCTGAGTGAGGAACACGTCGGCCTCATCGAGCAGAAGAACACAGTCCCAGAGATGAGCGAGACGGAAGACATTCTTCAGCGAAGACTCAACCTCATGGGGTGTAAGACCGAGATCGCCGCAAGTGATGACAAACAGCGGCTTGCGGTTCTCCATAGCGACAGCCTCAGCGGTGGCGGTCTTTCCGACACCAGGAACACCATGCAGAAGCACAACAAGACCACGACCCTTGCCTTGTATCAGGTCCTGGCTAGGTCCCTCAGTAGCGGCATCGGCATACTTGCGCTCAAGAACCTTTTTCTGGAAATGCGACATAACAAGTCCGCGCACAACATCCTTGTAGTCGCTCTGAATGCGGAGGTTCTCAAAGACACCAGGCTCGCGCCGCACGGGCTTAAGAACGTTGAGATCAATTGGCAAGAACCGACGCTCGCGAAGAGCGTAGGCAAACATGCGCTTGGGAAGAAGAACAAGGTCTTCATCGCGAAGCTCCAGAGCCTTGGGGTTGGTCTCAAAGGTTCGGCTGCCCTTGACACGAACACGGAGGAAAGCGTCAACCGCAAGGTTGTCCCTTCGCTGACGGGCTTCAACACCATCGACGTGCTGGATGATCTCATTCTGTGAGTACGCCAGGTTCTGGCGGGTGCCGTTGAACCAATGCTGGATAGGCATCTCGTCATCCTTGATCTCGCATCGTGAAGACTTGTTGATCGTAAGCTGATGGAATCGCGGGCGCCAGTCAGGCATCTTCTGGTAAGCCTCTGTGAGGTCGACAATAACATCGCTCTCGACGAACTCAGGATGTCGCATCTTCTCATAGTCCTCGTTGTCAAGGATCTCCTCTTCGGGCTCGGTGCGGTGAGAAGGAGGGTTTCTGGTCAGAGTCCAAGCGCTGTACTGCTGGTGGCGATCATCCAAATAGTTGATAAACTTGCGGCCCTGGTCTTGCATTGAGCTGAGAAGCTGCTTGTAATCGTGGCGGTATCGAATTGGGAAGGCCTCGAGGGAGTCAATTGATCGCTCTCCAATGAACGACTCAATCTCAAACTTGCGACGGACAGCGCCAAAGGTGTTGCCATCGTGATCGATGTAATAGGCAGAGATCTTGAACTTGGAGTTCTCGTCGATCTGTTGCTCATCTGCGAAGAAGTCCCAGCCTGAGGTGGGATAGGATGTCTCGGGCTCGGGGCTTCGGACCTTGTAGACACGCCAGATTTCGTGGTAGCGGCCGCCGGTCTCACCGGACGCAGGCATATAAATGAGGTCACCGACGCGGAAGAGCGACCACAGATCGTCGAACTTAACGCGGTCGGCGGTAGAGCCCTCAAAGCGGTTGTAAAGAGGAAGGACTTCCTTGTCGACAAAGTCAACGTAGCATCGCATGTCGCGCAGCGCCTCGGGACTGTCCATCAGATTGTCGTAGTCTTCATCGGCGTCGGAGTCAACCGATTCAATGCTTGAAGCCTCAGATGTTTGAGAGGCAACATCGTCACCATCTTCAGCAGCCTCCTCCTCATCAACGACCTCTGCCTCTGTCTCTTCAGCGACGTCGACAGCCTCGGAGCTTTCGCTACCGATGTCCTCGAAGTCAGCCCACTTGTCCTCAAGAGTCGCAAGGATCTCTCGCATCTTGGGTTGGAAGTGGACCAGTGTCTTGAAGGGTCGCATAAATGTTCGGGGAGACGATCGCTTCTCGGTGTCGTTCATAAGAGCTGTCAAGTGGCCCAAGATAGGTTGGGACTGGATGCGAATGCGCTGAATCTCAGAGTCGGAAGACGGTTGACCATCCTTCTCGCGACGAGCCTTCTCATAGGCATCGGTCTTGCGATGAGGCGTCTCAATAACACCACCGCCAGGGTAGTACATGTACTTCTGACGAAGACGAGCCATCTCCTCACGTCGACGGAGACCATGCTCACGACGGATCTGAGCCTGGGTACCAGTACCCGACATCAGAACGTCAATGGCATAATCAGGTTCATCGATGTCTTGGAATCTGTTCTTAAAGTTCTCAAAGTTGACCTTTCGGACTTCGGGAATCTTGGGGCGCCATTTGGCAGCAGTTCGGCGTCGGTCAGCGAGGATGCGCTCGCGTCGCTCTGCCTCTTGCTTGAGAGCCATGTATTCGAGATCATTCTCTTTGTGATTGCGTGTGTTGCGCGTGTTGTTTGTGGTGTTGCGACGGCCGCCACGCTTGGCCCTTGTTTGTGCAGTACGCGCCATTGTGAATGAAGATGAGTGATTAGTGTTGGTGTGAATGAAGATGACGGTGTTGAGACCTGGAGATGAGTGTGTCTTATAACAAAATGCACATTGCAAAGGCCTCTGGCCTAATCAGGCAGCTCACGCATGCCTGCATGCATTGACATCGTGAATTCGATAAGACGACTGATTGCCAAGATGCCTTGCCGGGCTGAGTCACTTCCCGTGCCGTGTTGCACAGAAACCCCCCCCCTGCACTCCGTAGGACTACAGGCGGCAATGCCGCTGAGAGTCGTGGCGAAGCGCCCAAGCGTTGCATGGGTGTCAGAAAAGGAGGGGCTCACCTTCACACGAACTCGCCGTTTACAGATTCAGGCTTTTTGTCACCTCCCAGTCTCCGCTAAAAGGGCCTCCCGCTAACGAGCCAATGGTTCCTGAGATGGCGTTTGAGGATTCACAGCTAACAGATCCCTCAAGGCAGCAACCGGGTGGCTTGGAATGCGGTGTATCGTATTCACGATCGAGGAGCCTATCAAAGAATCGTATTTGAAGCTCTCTACCGCTTATTGTCTGTGATAGTCATGCAGTCATTGTAGGCCGGTTTCATCAGTCTTGAAGGAGTAATTTTGTTGTAACTGGACGAAGTCCTACTTCACCGAACGGCACTTCGGGTGCCAGCCTGCAAACCCTTGCCCTCAGACCTTTTTCATGTGAGATCTCGGCAATTACCAATCGAGACATAGTGCGACAATGGGTCTCCTCCATGATGAGTAAAGTATCTTGAAGAGTGACTGGCTCAGTTCGTAAGGAACCCCAACCGGAATAAGGTCCCAGTTCTGACAAGTCCAGAGTCGGCTCTGAAAGACTCTTAGACATAGTCAAAACATCGGCGGAACAAAAGTACTGAAGCTATTGTAACTTTGTATTTAATCTATCTTGACCTGCTATCCAAGAACATGTCCTAATTCGTGGTCGGAAAGTTACTCAAGCGACCGCCATCGACGACAATAACTGTGCCGTTGCAATATCCACCCGCTCGAGATGCAAGGTATAGGAAAGTTCCCGACATATCCTTCTCGTCTCCCATTCTTCGAAGTGGCGCCATCGATGTCGGTACGGCACCAGGCTGTCCTGACTCATCGGTATACATCTTGACGATTGGTTCTGACATTTCGCTGGGGAATACTGTGAAACGTTAGAATGCCACTTTTCCATTGACATATGAATCAACTCACATCCAGGAGCGATACAGTTGGCTCTGATGTTCCATTGAGGAAGGGCAACGGCAAGTTGCTTGGCAGCTAGGACAGCGCCAGCCTTGGATTGTCCGTATGCCCAACCGCCGGGGGCTTTCTTGTTGAATGCGGCGATGGAGCTGGTAACAATGACTTGGGAAGTCTGTTCGACATTTCCCTTCTCATTGCCCTTCTTCAGAAGTGGGAGGAAAGCCATGCTCGTAAACCAAACCGACGCGGTGTTGATGGCGAACGTGTTGACATAGTCGCCGAAATCAGTGTCGAAGTTGGACTTGGCCCATTCTTCCAGAGTCGTTTCGGGAGTGAGTGGCTTGACTTGGGGCCCTCCGATACCAGAGTTGCACACCAATAGGTTGACGTACCCAGTGTCCTTCTCAATCTGAGAGACCATTTTCTGCAGATCTGACTTGGAGGTGACGTCGCACTGGACCCCAACGACCTTGTCGCCCAATGAGCTGGTGACTTCATCCAGCTTTTCCTTCCTTCTACCAGCGATGTAGACCTTTGCGGCACCATTTTGGAGTAACGCCTTGACGAACATGAGGCCGATGCCTGGAATATGATCAGTTGTGAATACGTGCTTTGAGGGGTTTCACTGACCTGAGCCTCCGCCTGTCACGACCGCGACAAGGCCATTGAGGTTGAAGAGCGAGCCAGCGCTGAGTTGTTCTGAGGACATGATCGCTATGTGATTCGAAAATGGGTTCTCTAGAGAGCTGAGTCGTTAGTCGGGGATCTCGAAAGTTGAGGTTGAGGCAATTCATTGATCATCGAGCCCCGCTTACGCAGTCAAGCTGTCATATCGTCGTTATCAATTCAACCCCGCTCTCATCTCAGCCAACACTTACAGTATTTTATTATCCACGCCGTGTGCAGTATTCTAGTCTTATTAAATGTTCCTTTTGACCCCGATTTCTGATTCCAATTTATATGAGTTCCATCACGAAGTTCTACCTCCGCGTAGGTAAGAATGGCAGCCATAGCCACGGCTCGGTTCGGCCGACAACCCCACTAGATCGCTTGCAATTCCGAGACTCGAAATCACTACCGTCTGAAACGTTTGCTTGGAGGGGAAGCATAGGAATAACCGGCTACTCTATAAACTTTTGGTTGTAGTTATCATGGAAGACCAGACAGAGCTCAGAGAAACCAGTATCAGTGGCAGAAGCGCATCGAGGTTTGTTGCGGCACCCGAGTACTGTCTACGCGGAAGCCGCGGAAGGACAAGGCATCCCGGTATCTTAGCTCTCAAAAGCTTGAATCAACACGTGTAACTGATAGCGAATAATCTATTTGCTACGTCCCGATCATAGTGGCATGATGCTTCCCAATATCATACGGTTGTCCTAAGCGAAAGCACTAGGCAAGTCAGAAAAGTCTGAATAACGAGGAATCGCCCCTGGACTTACATGACACGAAGATGTATAAAAGTCAAAAGCTGAGTCCATATGAATTTTTACCCCCAATCAACTCGATCTTCTTTCAATAAATACAGAGTTTCCAACAGACTCGAAACAAACATTCCTATCAATGACTGAATCCGCGCAAGGACGTCTTCTCACTGATGACCAGAGCTTGCAAAAGCTCGGGTTAGACAGATCTCGACCTGCAAGCTGGGAAGACGGCTTACGCAGTCCCGGCGTCGAAAGCGGAGAGTGGGAGTGGTGGTACGCCGACGCACATCTTCAAGATGGCTGGTTCCTGCAGGTTGCCTTCTTCTATATAACAGAAGGAGACGGTCCCAAGACGGGACTTATTGATCTTAACATCGCCAAGGATGGCAAGAAGCTATGTGACTTGCATAAGAATCTTGGCAGTCTCCCTTCCGATATCGTCGTGGCAAAAGATCACTGTGATCTTCAGTATCGCCAGAGTTACTTCCGCAGTGTCGATGGTCTCAACGAGTATCACATCTTTGTCGACCCGGATGAGATGGAAGGATTTGGTTTCGACGTGGTGATCAAGAGAAGTACTCCATCATACAGACCGGGCTCAGGTCGATGGGACGTGGACGGTCGTCACTTCTCATGGTTCGTAGCTGTCCCTGGTGGCCAGCTCAACGGAGAAGTCACGGTCAACGGCACTAAGACCAAGGTTGAAGGCAATGCCTACCATGACCACAACTGGGGCAACGTCCCCATGGAGACGATCTTGGGAAACTGGATCTGGGGACGCGCTGATGTTGGGGGGCTGTCTATAGTGTCAGCCTCAGTGCGCTTCCGTCAAGATTGTGGTGGTAGAGAAGTGCCTCTACTCTTCGTCGTCCGTGGGAATGAGGTCCTGGTGAATGTGAGCGACGATCAACTTGTGTGCTTGGAGGGAGTGAAGATCGCGCAACCAGACACGGGCAAGCCCACCAGCTCTGATTGTATATACCTCGTCAAGTCAGCAGGTGACAGCCTTGCGCAGGTTCGCTTTGACGGACAGCAGAAGGTGATTGCATCTTTCCCTTACCCGACTACGAGTCAGGAATGGGAGACACGGTATACAAGGTTTGCTGGGATGGTAACTATCAATATCAAGGACGGAGACAGGCACTTACATGTCTCTGATCATGGTAGCTTGGAGGTTATGGACTTCTTTGGCCGAAGGAAGGCATGAAGGGAATTTTGAATCCGTTCCTCATCCTCACCCCCCAAACCAGTGTTGATTGGTTTGTAGCGTTATAGATCTAGATATGATTAAGCCTAGGAACAACACATCTCATCTCTTTTATCTGAATACGGGCTTTCATCGTGTGAAGATGACAGTGAAAACTTATGGTATGGCCAACTGTTTTTGACTTTCAATTTCCATGGGACAGCTGCTCTTCACGTTAGCGAGACCGATATACATATGCACAGCTCTTACCTACACATGTAAACGCTTTTTATGCACGGTTATAATTGAAACTCCCAGGACTACACGTTTATTTGCCCAGTTATAGCCACGGCTCGGCTCGGCCGAGAGTCCAGCGGTCAATTCCGTCTCCGAGCCTTGATACTGTCGGATCTCTAATCTCTTCAAATGACAGCATCGTGTTTAAAATTATCGTGTATTAATCTTATGAACTTGATCAGCCCCGTATTCTCTCAGCTATCGAAGCTTCCACCCGGATGTGACTCACCTCAGCAAAAGTATTAACACTTTAACTTTTCCAGTCCAGCCCGAGTGACTCAGTTAACGAAACCTTTGACAGTTTAACCTTCCGCTACAGCACGTACATGATCCTTCTTGGAGTCATTCGACAACTCTAATCATTGACTTTCCAATGGCCGTACGCCGGCTTTCCTTAGTTTATCGCCTCAATCCATAGAGTCACAAGCTCCATTATCCAGTCGACATTATCCTTCAACGCCACGATGGCTTCGCTCTTCTCGTCCTCCTTCTCGTCCTCCTTCTCGTCCTCCTTCTCTACTAGCTCTTTTAGCGCCTCGACCTTGTGGCGAGCAAAGTTCATGAGGTGGCGAGCGTGTAGGTCGTCGATAGCTGCCTTGAACGCCTCACAACCGAAGAGGGCCAGCCTGGCATATACCACGCCGCGAACCGCTTTGTATTCAAAGTGGGCTCTTGTGAGAAATCGAAGGTCATCCTCCTTTAGGGCTTCAAAGCTATCCTGCCTTCTGATATCGCATTGGCTTGCATAAGTCAGAGCACTGAACGTGATAGAGAAATTGTGGATATAGTCTTGAGCCTCCCGGCTTGTACGGTCCTTGCTGATAACAGTTCGGTTTGCGGTCGCCATTTTGTGTGTTGAGATGTGTTGTGGTGGTGTGTGTGCAGAGATGCAAACTCGAGGTTATATCCCTTCTTATAACCTCTTGGTCTCTTCCTTTTGCAATGCCCTAGGGCTTGTAATAAGATTTATTGGTCATCGTGAAAGCTTCTGGGTAAAAGCTTATATCGGGGAAAAAAATATCGTGTTGTCATTCATTATCTGTGTTTGCAGCCTAAAGCTTAACCTTATAGGCCGCCGTGATCCATAGCTTCAAATGACAGAGACATGTTCCAGAAAAGAGGGCCGGGCCGTTTTCTGGAAGTTAAGATATCCGTAGACGAAGAACATAGTGAGGAGTGTAGCATATGAGGCTACAGCGTGACACAAGGACCAAGCCACCTAAGACTGAGGCTGATTGCACAATCAGAATCTGCCTTGGCTGAAGCCTAGGCAGACATGATCACTGTGGATAAAATAAATGCAAAGCGGATGAGAGAACTTGACATTTCTAAACTGGTAGAATAGTCATCAGAGAGATACCCATTCAATACTTTCTCACTACCGTCGTGAACCCCAACGCTTCCTACCCGACCAACGTTACCAGTTCAACACTATGTCACAAAACAAGAAAGCCGTGGATCCGGTACCAGGACAGAAGCCCTGCGATACAATTGAACAAACTGCACGAGAAACATCCGAAGCCGACGTGTTGGCCATGATCGAAAGAATCCGTAACCGGTCGGGCGAAGATATAGCTGCCGACTCAGAGAGGCTTGCCGCGGAAGCAAACCGATTCTATGAAGAACAAATGCGAATTCGGTCACAGAAGCAAAAAGAGCAGATGATTTACACTGCGAAACTGGCTCTGCCCATCGCTTTCATTGTTGGGGCATGGTACTGGCTCTGGTAATGAGACTCGGATTGAAGGCTCTGTGGAACCTTCAATTCCGTCATCTGATGAAATCTCACTTTGAGAGAATAAGGTGGTGGACACGAGAGGATCGTGAGCCTCGGCTGGTGGCTCAAATGGATGATAAAAGAGCCCAAAAGTTAGTTGCGCTGATCACGCCATCTCGACCCCGCCCAGGCTCAAATGAGGTCATTTTGTCTTTTATCAACTTATTGCCTCAAGAAAAATCTTTCCAGTCCTCAGGAGCAGAATCAAGATCGCCCGTGATTATACCCATCAATACGAAGCATCATGAGTACACGGGACTCAGCTGCGCAAGGGGCCCAGGCCCATCAGCCAGCAGGCGCTGAAATAACGCCCAAAGTCCTGCTTATCGCTATGGTGAGGACAGCTCAGTTCTTGGGATAACGTTAAACTAATGGCGACAAGTTCTACGAAGAATCAAGGAATTGGCTTTCTTCTGATAGTGCTCTTCAGTTCTCTCGTAAAGTGCGCGTTCCGGGCTTGGCTAGGGGCTACGAAGATATCCATGTCACAGAAAATGGCGAAGTCGCACTTCTGGTAGTAGGAACTGCCCGTAAGGAACCAACCCCCTTCGAAAGCCTTTTTTGACCGAAAGCAGTTATCAATGCTTCTTTGTCGATCAGTGCTCTCTTGACATCGCCGCTCTTCGACCTCACAAAGTCATACTTTGTCCTGACCGGTATCGCTGGCGTCAATCCTAAGCGAGCTACTATTGGCTCTGTTGCCTTTGCCAAATTCGCTATTCAGGTTGATACGCAGCTTGAGTTTGATGCTAGGGAAGTCCCCGAGGAATGGGGGTCAGGGTATGCCCCAATGGGAGCAGACAGACCTGACCAGTTTCCTGGTATTGTGCATGGCTCTGAGGTATTCGAGCTTAATGCAGACTTGAGAGCTTACGCTCTTTCCGTTGCCAAGACTGTTGAGCTTACAGACTCACCCAAAGCCGCTGAACATCGAGCTTTGTGGAAGAACTCTCCCGGCGGTGTTTTTGACGCAGCGGCACAGGATCCAACTGTTCTTGAGGGAGATGTTCTGTCCTCCAATACCTTCTGGCATGGTCATCGAATTTCTGAAGCTATGGAGAGGGTTGCGAGAGTCTATACGTCAGGACAAGGAGAGTACACAATGACCGCTCAGGAGGATAATGCCCTTCTGGCTGGTCTACTGAACGCAGCACTTCAAGAGAAGGTTGACTTTTCACGAATCCTCCTGATTCGATCCGCTTCCAACTTCGACCGAGGACATGAAGATAAGCCCCATGAACTACCTTTTGTTATGGACAAAGGTGGCTTGGGGCCGTCCACTCGCAACCTCTATCTTACTGCTCTGAAGGTGATTGAGGGGATCTTGGAGGAGTGGTCTACCAGATTCGAGGCTGGCATCCCTGCTGAGAATTATATCGGTGATATCTTTGGCTCACTTGGTGGGACACCTGGTTTTGGCGATAAGCAGAATATTGAGCAGATAAGATCACACTGAACATGGCTATAGGCTTGCTTCCGATCGTCCATAGATTTCAATGTTATTACATAGACTCGAGATAACCACTTGGCGCTTGAGGCCGATTAGATACACAAATGAGGATATGAATGACAATCTAGCCACAGATTTATCTGACTTATTTGAGCCATCGACGACTGTTTGCGCCTAACTAATTCAATTAAAGATATTACATGTCTCGAAATAAGCAAAATTTTAGTTCGGCTAGAAGCCTATGTGAGATGGGTTAGGGCAACGTGACAGGGGCCTTTATGGCAGGGGCAAACTTGGTGTTCGAATAGGAACAGATGCAGGGTCGATGGAGAGACCCAGCTATATATCATCTGACTCGAGCCAGGAGAGGTAAGAGATCAGGGCCTTGACACTAGGTGATGGAAATACTCAGGTAATTCAATCACAGTTTTGGGAGACCCTTTGCAAAGTTTATTTTAGCATCTTCTTTCTAAGTCTTGAATTTTCTTGCTCCCGAACCTCAACTCACTCTTCGGTCAACGATGAATCATTACTTTCCTTGCTGGTTAGTCGATAAGCCTCCAATATACCCGTTTGGCACGGGTAGTCTAGCTCTATCTGACCACTGCCCTTCCGCCCTCCAGGTTTGTGCTATGAACTCAAATTCAGTGAAACATCGATCCCGCAGAGCAACCAGTAAGTCTCTTACTAGAACTATTGATTCTTCTCAGAATTTTGGTGTCTCCATTCGGGATTAAGAACGAGCCCGACATATAGATAATAATAGATAGAGTTTCGGACCGCACTCAACAGACCAAGTTTGCGAGGAGTTGCATATTTCCGTATTCTGCCATTGGAGGCCAGAAAGTGGACTGTTGATTGGGTGCCGTTTCAGTCGTAGTTTGGCTTTTAGGGCAACGCGTCAAGCCGCGGAGATACACTATTCTGATGATGATATGACACGTATGATCTGACCGAAAGGCATTCCACTTCACAAAGCGAGTGATCTTTCTTCTCGCGAAGCCGAGAAATGTCCAAATTTTCCCCTTCTGAGTTGAGCATCTGCTAGCTTAGCCCTAACTGCCTCCAAATTTGTAAAGTTGTTTCTTGCGCGTCGCCATCATAGTTTCAGCAATATAGTCATAAAGGACATTCATTTAGCAATAAATGAATCCAATTTGTTAGTAAGGCCCCATTCTATAGGGAAGGGAGTACTTGGCTTGGCATTGAGATATGCTAGGCGACGTTTTCAGGTGACCATTCCGGGCTCACCGGTGATCAGGGCTATGGAATCGAGGTCAACCACTAAACCATGTCCGCCCCATCATGCGTCAGTAACAGCTGTCATATTACCAAGCACTTAAACAAATATCTCCGCGCTCTTGTGCTATTTGTTGAGCCATATAATGGCCTGGTAGTAGCAGTATAAAGATCGACCAGTTTGGCTAATCGGACCCAACAATTATTCAATATTTACAACTCCTTCCATTTTATCCTATATCACTATGTCTCGTATGGTTACTACATGCTAGACCCTTGCTCCAGTAACCAGTCAACTCCTTCCTATTGCCAGTAGAGCTGCTGCCTCTACTGCTTGCATCAGAAACATCTCACTTCCAGCCAGGAGTGCACCGGTGACCGGAGCCAGATCTTTTTCATCGAACACTAGGTCAAACAGTCGAGCCAGTCATCCTCTTCTTACTCCAGTACTGGCTGTATCCGCAGGGTTTGCCCTCAGTTACTATCTTTACCAACGAGGCCCCCACCCAGTGAAGCTGGGCCTAGTGCCGGAGACGCCAGAAAAGCCCAAATGTGCCCATTGCGTGGTGAGAAACCAGAAGTGATCCAAGAAAAGCCTGTTGGGTGTTGTGAAGACGAACAAACCACGACATACCAAGAAAAGCCTCTTTCATGCTGCGTTGATGATGAGGTGAGTTACACCATTCACTCAGGTTTGGGCATAGCTGACCTTCCCAGGCATCCATAGCCATGGTCCCCGCTATTGGTGGAGATCATAAGCACAAGATCTTCGAGACAGTTGACGACGAGACACTGCTGATCTCAAAACTACCCAAAGAAGACGCCATTCTCACAACGGCACCAAATGTTCCTCCTTCTATCACAAGAGATCATCCTGCTCTTGTCAGGGTTCCCTTGGTGACTACGAATAAGCTGGCACAGCTGACCAGCCAGTACAAATACGAGCAGTGGACGTTCAACGGCACTGTCCCTGGCCCTTTCATTCGAGCCAAAGTTGGAGATGTTGTGGAGCTGAGTCTCACGAATAAAGACCCCGCAGGCAACCCTCACAATATCGACTGCCACGCATTCACTGGCCCTGGTGGTGGTGCCGCAGTTACTACCGCTGAAGAGGGCGAAACCAAGATCGGTCGCTTCAAGCTCCTTTACCCCGGCCTCTACGTCTACCATTGTGCCGCTGCCCCTGTTCCCGTTCACATTGCCAACGGCATGTACGGCCTTATGTACGTACAGCCAGAAGGCAATGACCTTCCACCCGTGGATAAGGAGTATTATATTATGCAGAGCGAGTTCTATCATGAACCACCAGAGGTTGATGATGACGGTCGACGATCTGAAATTGTCGAGTTCTCATAATCCAATGGTCTTCGTGAAGAACCTCAGGTCGTTGCCTTCAACGGTAGCGAGTCTGCCTTAACAAGAGATCATCCACTCAAGGCTCATGTTGGTGATGATGTGAGAATCTTCTTCGGAAATGCTGGACCAAACCTGACTAGTTCATTCCACATTATCGGCACGCACTTCAAGAATGTGTACCGAGACGGTGGCGTGACCAGCAACCCATCAAAGGGTATTCAGACCGTTTCTGTCCCCTGCGGTGGGTCAACGATCGTCGACTTGAAGATGGCTGTCCCAGGAACGTATACTCTGGTTGACCATTCCATTTTCCGCCTGGACAAAGGTGCAGTGGGCTTTCTGAATGTTTCTGGTCCGCAGAATCCGGGTGTATATCAGAGTTCTCAGCCGCCAAGGCCTTGTATCGGTTGCAAATTACACTCCTGATCAGATCATGGACTTTCTTTGAAATGGGGCTAGCAGGCATGGGGAGCGACTGAATGGAGACATGTTTTAGTATCTCCGGCTTTCGGAGTGACGACTTGATCCGCCTCCAGGCAGTCTCTTTGGGTATAGTCTGGTTGAGGGTTCTTTTTGTTGTGGGGATATCGTACTTGGAAGATATTCTCAAGCGAGAGTTGTCAATGACTTACGAGATTTAAGAGCGATGAAGTTTATGTCCATATTGTGATGACTCTAACGGTTTCATTTATTCTACATACGTAAGGGAGGAGTCGTTTAATGACCCGATATACTTGCGCGTCTAGTAATTTTCAAACTGATATATAGAACACTTTCCATGCAATGGCGCCTGTTGCAATCCCAACAGCAGACAAGACAGCGGCGCCTGACAAGGCACTCTTGAGATATCTTTTAGTGACTTCTGCTTCATGGTTTTACCAGCCAGAAGCTTTGTTGACGTGGGGAAAAGGCTCATCAGGAACTGGCTTGTCTAGGAATTTGCACAACGGTTCCCATCCGTCCTCGACAGTCCACTCGAGAAGCTTTTCTTTGGGAACGAGGCCGCGGATCATGTTGCAGTGTTCTATTTTTTGGTTAGTATAATTGCCATTAGCGATCGTCGGGGCTCTTTTCGGAACTTAATGAGAGTTACTTACCTTTGTAAACCCATTTGCCGTTCCTCGCAATTCCCGTTTCAATATTGCCGTCCAAGGCCCGAAATAGGCCTGGCCACATAAACCGCTCATAAACATGCCAGCCCCAGAACGGTACCTTCCCGAGACATGACAGTATGTACAAAGCCCAATTCTTATGAACGCTCACTAGAATCTTCACAGCACTCTCGTGCCACGCATCTAAATCTTTGCGGTAGTTGAGGACAACCTTCGGATCGGGATACGCTGCGGTGAGTTCGGCCGCAAACACTGAAGCAGCGGCATCTGTGACAGCTACAGAGTGTCCAAGGATCTCGTCAAATTCTTCTTGTGTAATGGTAGTGTTTCCATCGAGCGAGCCGAACCATCTCCGCTACGTGAGTAACTTTGCACAATGATAAAGAATATTGACTGACTTCTTTCGGCATAAGCGGACCCATTTCGATGCATAATTTGGCGCCTCGTATATGATATCCCAGCCGTGGTAAGTGTGATCGTATCCAAGCTTCAAAAGCGCGGTCTGAAGAGATTCAGTCGCGGACCTGGGTAAGCCTACGCAGAGCACCTCCATAGGCTTCGTGCGTGTTCGCGATGGGGGTTCTGATACTACATAGACATAGTTTTCGAGGAAATGCCACCACCAACTGTTGAGAGACGGCATTGTTTTGTATTTCCCGATGTCGATGTAGGTTGCAGGATAAGTAGTATGCCTAGGATGGAACCACGTAAGGTCAATGACGTAGAGTCAGACGTGGGGTTTGGCTTGCTAGGTTAGGCAAATACGAGGTCTCAGGCGACGCCTTAATATTATTATGGGCACATTTTCCATCGAGAAACTCGAATCTCGTTCTAGTCTCTGCTTTCCCACTGAGCCCGCAAATCTCTTCGCAAACTTGATGTTGGCCAGGCGTCCTCTTGGTCGACCTTCCTCAAGATGCCTATAGCCGCATGTCGTTCCGCTTGATCTGTAATCCATGACCCGACTTTTAAAACAAAATTAGCACCCAATCCAAATATCAACCTATTTCTACTTACACAGCGAGAGGGCCAAGCACGTCATCCCTCTGGCAGGCGGCACTGGACTTGAAGAAGCGAGACCACACAGTAATCTCAGGAGATGTAATATTTTTATCTAGACGCAGTCAGTCATAGAGTTAAAGTAACAAAACAGCCAGACTGACTCTCATTTCCTTCTGGTGTTCTAGGTACTGAGTACCAATTTTCGGCATGTGAGGATCGTGGACGAGCATCATGAGCATGGCGAAATAGTAATGGCTCAAACCAAATACTACACGTAGTCAGAGGTGCTGCTGGTGCGTTCTTGGGAAAATCACTGACCACAACTATCCAAAAGCACAGAAACCGTGGGAAGCAATACTCCCTGAGATGGGTCACGCTCTTGGTAAAAGACTGGCGTGAAGGTTTGTGGCTTCTGACGGACCCAATCCTCCAAGCGAGCTTCAAGGGCTTCATAATGCTGGATTGGCGATCGTTCTTGTCCAAAACAGTATTCAACGACCTCAGCCTCAAGGCAGAGTACTCGTTTGGCCCAGATTGTTTCGTCTGCGGGCGAGCAACTACGATCGATTCCCAGTCGGTTGACGTTAGTTCTAGGTACCCTCTGGTTAATGACAGCATTGAAGATGTCCTGGCGGAGGTGAATCCATAGTGCTGCCCGTCGGAACCCTTCCCAAGGTAGATCTTGTCTGAATGACTCGGCAACTGATGCGTAGCCTCCCAACAGGTGTCTTGCATCGTCTCTCCCATGGATAGGTGCTTTGAAAGGTAAGCAATGGCCATTTTCTGGGTTGCAATTACTTACCGCTGAGCTCCTCATACCATCTGAGGATGGTAGAACACGCTAAAAAAGCACCATCTGTGATACTTTCATTGTCATTGAGCATTGGCAGCAACAGACTAATGCATTTCTCATGATATTCTTCTCCATATCTCGCATAGTCCCGAGCGATAACAGGGTCATGCAAGAATCGGCTCTTGTGGCTACTGGAGACAGCGAGTAATGAGTAGAGAAGGAGAGGGCAACTCGGGGCTCGTCGAAGAGCTTCGTTGGTGAAGTTAGGATCTGTGACTTCGAACTATATAGCCACGATTAAAATTGAAAAGAGACACTTAGAGAGGTTAACTTAAGTTCTTACCCACGGTTTCGCTATGACTGTTTTGAAGTGGAGTAAGAGCTCGGCTGCTCGGTGGTCGATAGCTTGCCCGATCGGACGATCAAGATAGAGGGAACCAGGCCTCACTACGAAAGGCGGTGTAGTCCAGTCTCCATCGGGCAGGGTATCAGAAATCTCGCTACAAAGAAGCTCGTTGATACTAAGTGGGTTATTGCTTGGATTGTGGTAAGCATGGTCATTGTCGATCGGACTCGGCACAGACGTTTGTTCCCGGGTTAGTGTCAAGGCCTGTGGACCTCTTGATGAAGAGGTCACAGGATACAACGCAGTATCCAAAGATAAGGATGTCTCTAAACTATCAGAGTTGTTCTCCGTAAGTGTCAATGTTGTACTTCCATTTCGCCGGGGTTTATCTCTCGTTTCGGAGGTCTTGGACTTGATGCCTGGGCGAAATAGAAAGAATGATCCGGCTTTGCATTCCCTCTTGGACTTGGTGCAGTTCGAGCAGGGTATGCTAGTTGAGTTGCCTATTGGAGACTATATCAGAATCTTTACTATATCTCGATCCAACATCAAGCCTATACTTACATTTCAAATGACGTTCTTGGCATGTTTGACTACGAGTTACGTCAGTTCAACCCATGCCGAGGAACGCTGCAGAGAGGATGTAGTGTACCAGGCTGTGTGCTGTGATCTTCGACCCATGTTACTGCCTCGATTGCTTAAGAATTCTTAGGTGAAAGAACACCGGCGTTATTATGAGCAGAACTGGGAAAATATGCTCGAGGACTGAAGAGCCCAAAAAGGAAAACCTGGTCGAGGGGACCTTTTTGTGGCTACCTACATACGCCAGGTACGCTAAAAGGGCGGGGTGCATCACTGCAGTGGTAAATTGCCTCTTTGGGTGTTTCTGCCCGAGCTTCTTTGACAGCTGGTCCGATGCTATAGCTTTTACTACGCCGCAAAGTATAATTCGACAACATCACAAAGTGATATCATTTTCGGCCCTCAAGAAGGTAATGCTGATCGAACGTCGGGAACTGGTTGACTTGTGTCCAAACTCAAATGGAGTTGTAGACCAAAACTCCTCACAAGAGTAATTCTGTCCGAAGCTTTCTCTCATATGCCTCACCCAAATATAAATACCATGGATAATCTATTGCAAAAGATGTAATAGGTGCACTCAAATATCTTAAGGTCTCTCATTATGTTCTCGTTACCAATAGATGCTGCAGATTTGGCGGTCATTGTCCTTCTCGCTTCAGTAGCGTTCCTTGTCTTCAGACCTCTTCTTCACTATCTTCTTGATCCTCTCGACTTGAGAAAATATCCAACACCCGGCTTCCTTGCAGCAACAACTCAGTGGTGGATTCTCAGGGAGACATGGCTTGAACGACGCTCCAGAAGCATCCATGATCAGCATGAAAGACTCGGTGATGTCATCCGAATTGCGCCTAGTCTCGTCATCTTCAACATCCCGGAAGCCGTGCCAGACATATATGGTCATGCTGCAGCTCGAAAGCTTGTGAAGGACACATTTTATGACAAAATTGCTGGTGAAGAGCGCGACATTGTCAATGTCATTGATCATGGCGATCATTCTCAGCGAAGAAAATACCTTTCCAACTCATTTGCGCTCAAAACAGTTACGGACATGGAACCTGTCATCAAACAGAACTTCCAGAGAATGCTTGACTACTTGGATGAAATTGCAACCCAGGACACAGCGAGTCAGACATTGGACATTCGACGATGGTACGTTGCGTTTCCCACCAGACCAAAAATCACTGAACAGGCAAAGGTTCAACTACTTCACTTTGGATGTCATCGGTGACATGGCTTTTGGCCTCCCTATGGGCTTTCTAGCAGGCAGATGTGATACCACTAGAGTTAAATCTTCTGGGAGGCATGAATACTGTATCCCCAGTACTCTTGACGCACTACATCGAGGGACAAGATTATCCACGACTTTAGCTCAGCTATCCAGCATTCGATGCGTCAAAATCCTCAAACGACTTTTCAGTTCCACAAATTGGCTGAAGCAATCAATTGGAGCTCAAGGCATCGAAGACTTTGACAATGTTTGTACCAGCCAGCTAACTGGGGTAATGTCATAAAAGCCGTGACATCAACACATCAATTGACATTGTACTCAGAGATTGAATTACGGCTCTCCAGATCGTCCTCAACAGGACTTCATGAATAAGATCCTGACGAACCGCGAGGGCGAAACTCGAGGGCTTTCATTTGAAAGACTTTTATCTGAATCCATCGTCTTCATGAATGCTGGTAGCGAAACCACTGCTGCCGGTCTTTCGAGTACCCTGTACTTTTTGCTCTCGAATCCAGAATGCTTCGAGAAGCTACGAGCCGAGATCGACGCCAGACTAGGCCCGAATCACGACGGAATCGTCTCATACGATTCTGCTAAAGACCTTCCGTATTTGAGAGCGTGTATTGACGAGTCATTAAGACTTCGACCCCCAATTGCCTACGCTCTCCAACGTCTCGTGGTCTCTCCCCAAGGCGCAATTATAGCGGGCCATCACATCAAACAAGGGACGACAGTAGCAGTTTCACCATGGACTATTCACCGGAACAGGAAACTGCATAAGAACCCTGATGAATTCGATCCGGAGCGCTGGTTTGACCCAGAGCAATTGTCCAATCTCAGAAGGTACTACATCGTGTTCAGTCAGGGACCGCGTCAATGCCTTGGCAGGCACATTGCGATTGTTGAACTGCAGATATTGATTCCAACCCTGGTGCGGAGATACGACATGTACTTGGCGGACCCAGAGATGGACTTCGTCATCTTTGATCGATTCAACTCGAACCCTGGACCCCTTCCTGTCAAGGTGGAGCGGCGGGTATTTGTGGACTAGCCAGGTTTGGGTATTGAAATGGGAGACATGCTTGGCTGGAAGAGAGGAAGAGGCATCCAATGTATTTGCACTGTCTTTACCGGATATCTGTAGTCCGTAGATAGACTCGTTGATCAATCGTGAGACTGGGAAATCCCCTCGTTGACCAGATGCGATCGACATCGACGCTATCCTAATCGGTTCCGTGCTATCTTGAGTCACACTTCACTGGTAGGTCAAAGCGGTGAATGCCAAGTTGCGCCAACGACTCCCGGACCGACGATCTCTCTCGTATACGTCCACACATATACCCGATTTAAGAAGCTCACTAGAAGCCAAGACCATAGTCAAGCTTATCTGACATTCCAATTAAAGTTCCTATCGCCAACACTTTATTTGCACCCTCCGTGGTCGACATCGCACTAGTCTTCAATACCGAGATAGTGATGGGTTTTTATGCCTTGATTCGCGGAATCGGCGATACCCCTGTCTGCTAGCTGAGCGCTAAGCCAGGTATCTCGCATGCATAAACTAAGCATACTCTCTAGTGCAAACATAAGAACCTTGGGATATTCCCGTATGGGTAATGTGTCCGAATCACGCGAGTCCATTAGAAAGAGGATTAGGTCCAGGGGTACCAGGGTCACACGAGGCCTCTACTGCCGATCAACTCAGCGCTATCTCCCATTCATCCCATCATATTGCGCTATATTGCTCCCTTTGCCGGATCGACACTATGGTTTTCCCTAACAAGAGGGTTCATCCCCTCCAAGGGAGTCGGCGCGCCTTTCCTTTTGTGAGGAGCGGCCCCGAACGAGATAGCGGTCATGGCAAAGCAGATGGCGGGGGAGGCCGATGTTCGCTAGGAGAAAAGGTACGGGAAGGATTAAAGCAGGTCCAAGCATTCGAGGTGATAAGAAATTGATGACAGCATATAACCCCGCGGCTGCACCTGAACCCCAGCTCATGCCCTGGCATACCGTTGGACCCTTGAATACAAACATCTTTGCAACGTCTATGAGCTATTTTCGTCTTGATGACTCGTTCTGAACAGGAATACCATCTCGAGAGTTAGATTTATGGACCTTGATACCCAACTCCAATCATCAGCGACATAATCAAGGAGGAGCATAGTCTTGCAAGGTAGCTTGCCAAGATATTTCGAGGCTAACTCCGCTACAAGTCTGTCTTGGCAGTGGCACTTTTGCTTGATACTATTCCTCCACTATCACTTTCCTTACTTGGACACCTCGGCCGCCGTGACGGTTTAGGAAGCTGAATAGTCTCTATCCAGACTCAACGCTATCACGCAAGACTTGGTGTTGATGATATGGATGATTGGATCTGATTGTATTATCAATCAGCTAAAGGTGTATTCACGCTGATCTGTGTATAAATACACTTGACGATCACCACGATAATCAGTTTTACTATCCTCATCCTCACAATCTCATCTCCTCTTGTATCTCTCTGTTCATCATGACTAGCTTCCGCCGCCTCGCTCTGGCTCTTGGAGCTCTGCTCCCCGCTGTCCTCGCTGCTCCTGCCGATATCCTCTCCAAGCGACAGGCTGTCCCCGACAAGTACATCATCACCCTCAAGCCTGATGCCTCTGACTCCTCTGTTGCGGCTCACTTGAACTGGGTCGGCGATGTCCACCGCCGCAGCCTCAACAAGCGTGACACTTCCGGTGTTGAGAAGACCTTCAACATCAGCAGCTGGAGCGCTTACTCTGGCGAGTTCGACAAGTCCACCATTGCTGAGATCAAGAAGAGCCCTGAGGTTTGTTTAAACATTTAATCTTAGTCATTCAATTGCTAACATGCTATAGGTTGCCTTCGTTGAACCTGACTACACTATGTACCTCAGCTACGAGGAGTCTGAGCCCGAGCTTACTGACCGTGCTCTGACTACCCAGTCTGGTGCCCCATGGGGTCTCGGTACGATCTCTCACCGAACCTCCGGCTCTACCAGCTACATCTACGACACCACTGCCGGCCAAGGCTCTTACGCCTACGTCGTTGACAGCGGTGTCCAGGTCAGCCACACCAACTTCGGTGGCCGTGCTTCTCTTGGTTACAACGCTGTTGGTGGTGCTCACGAGGATACCCTCGGTCACGGTACTCACGTTGCCGGTACCATCGCTAGTTCTACCTACGGTGTCGCCAAGCGGGTAAGTCAAATACAATGCCTTCTTTCTACTCAAAGACTGATCAACTTTCTAGGCCAACATCATCTCCGTCAAGGTCTTCGCTGGCAATTCGGGATCTACCTCCACTATCCTTGCTGGCTTCAACTGGGCTGTCAACGACATCACCTCCAAGAGCCGTGCTGGCCGCTCTGTCATCAACCTGTCTCTCGGCGGTCCCGCTTCTCAGACCTGGACCTCTGCCATCAACGCTGCCTACAACTCTGGTGTCCTTTCTGTTGTTGCTGCCGGTAACGGTGATGATTTCGGCCGACCTCTCCCCGTCTCTGGCCAGTCTCCTGCCAACGCTCCTAACGCTCTAACCGTTGCTGCCATTGACTCCAGCTGGCGCCCTGCTTCTTTCACCAACTACGGTGCTGGTGTCGATGTCTTCGGCCCTGGTGTCAACATCCTCTCCACCTGGATCGGCTCCAACTCTGCTACCAACACCATCAGCGGTACCTCCATGGCCTGCCCTCACGTTGCCGGTCTTGCTCTGTACCTCCAGGTTCTTGAGGGTCTCTCTACCCCTGCCTCCGTTACCAACCGTATCAAGTCTCTTGCCACTACTGGCAGAATCACTGGCACTCTCAGTGGCTCTCCTAACAGCGTTGCCTACAACGGCAACGGTGCTTAAATGCAAAAGATTCATCGTGGAGGGAAATTTGGATAGAGTATATCAATAGTGAAAATCAATACTACTGATAATTCAAGTTGACTCTTAGGAGACCCCATTGGATATGCATTCAGTGTGACCCAGACTCACCACCATAAAGTTACTTAAATTCATAACCAGTCTAAACTAAACAGACTTTGATATAACTCTACACTCACCATTACTGCTAGTCTAGGTAATTCACATCACTGGGAGGACTAGATCTTCAGATATCTCACGTTGAGTTGGAAGTCACCAGGCTAAACAGAGAGAGATTGGGAAATGAAAGTTGTCAATTTGTGAGTTGAAGCTCGTACTACTAATACATATAGGGGATTTAGACTTTTAGGAAATAGGTTTAGCGGCCGCTCACAGCAGGGAGGCCAGGAGCACCGACAGGAGGGCAAGTGTGAAGAGTATAACACTCGTCGGTCTTGCCAATAACACATCGCTTTCCATCGAAGATGGTGCCCTCGCCACACTCAGGTACCTTGGTGGAGATGCAAAGGCCACCGCTGGGAGTAAGACCTCGAGGGCAACGGGGAGGCTCGACAGAGACACACTTACCACCCTTTCTGGTGGTGCCACTCGCGCACTGAGGAGGAGTGACAGAGACACAGACATCATCTCTGAGCTCAGTTCCAGTAGGGCAACGGGGCTTGAGAGATGAGTCGCAAGTCTCAGTCTCAGAGTTATACTTCATACCGGGAGCACAGCCTGGGTTCTTCTCAGAAGTACACTTGCTTCCGTTCCAGCTGGTACCAGGTTCACAGCGAGGAGGCTCCTTAGATACACAGCTGGTGCCGTCGAAGACAAGACCAGGTCGGCATTGAGGGTCAGAGTGATCGACGCAAGCAGCGCCATCGAAGGACTTTCCAGGGTCACAGATAGGTCGCTCCTTTGAAACACAGTTGGTGCCATCAAATTGCATGTTGTTGGGGCAGGCCGGGACATCTTTCTCCGAGACACAAGTAGCGCCGTTGAAGATGTAGCCAGGCCTGCAAATAGGACGATCATTTGAGATGCAGTTAACTCCATTGAAAGAGCTTCCGGTAGGGCACTCTGGGGTAATGGAAGAAGTGCAGTCATCATCGTGGTGGTTGGTGCCGCGCTCACAGACAGGAAGATCAGGGTACTTGCAGTATCGGCCAACAACGGTGGATCCGCGGGGACACTGAGGACGCTCCTCTGAGATACAGTAATCACCGGTCAGAGTGTAGCCAGGCTCGCAGACGGGGGGAGTGCTAGAGATACACTTCTTGCCGCTGAGAACACTTCCGGGAGGGCAAGCCGCACGGTCCTCGAGAACACAGTTCTCTCCGTTGAAAACGGCACCAGGGCGGCAACGAGGGCTCTCAGAGATGATGCATCGTCCATTGGTGTACTGTCCAGCGCGGCACTGAGGCACAGACTGAACGATACAAGTCTTTCCGTTCCACTTTCCGCCGGTAGGACAGCTGGGCTCTTCAGTGGGACTAACCCAGCAGCGGCCCTTGTCATAGTGAGTACCAGGAGGACAGTCATCCTCATGGTCAACAGACTTGAAGCAGGTGTCTCCGTTGAAGTCAAAGTTCTTATAGCAGCAGGCCGACTTTCCGCTGGTCTTGTCGGAGACTATGTAGGTTCCGCTAGGGCAGGAAGCTCTGCTTTCGGAGACGCAAACTCGCCCTTCGAGGTTGAATCCAGGAGGGCAAGACGGCTTGTCTTCACAGACCTTGCCATTGAAGAAGCCTGGCTCACAAGATGGGGGCTTCTCAGAGACACAAGCAGTGCCATCGAAGCTGGATCCAGGAGGACATCTCGGCTTTGACTCGTGGGTGCACACTCCCTTGTTGATGACATAGCCGGGAGGGCATGACGGAGGGGCTTCGCCAATACAATTGCCGTCGGCGAGCTTACTACCGGGAGGGCAAGACGGCGGCTTAGAATCAACACAGCTACCATCCTCATACTTGAAAGGGTCAGGGCACTGGGGCTTGCTGCTTGAAGTACAAAGGCGGTTCTTGAGGGTGAATCCTGGAGGGCATCCAGCTTCAGAAAGGGAGACACAGTTGCCGTCTTGGTATGTGAACCCAGGGTTACAACGCGGTTCGGCCTCAGACTCGCACGACTCGCCGTTGAATCGGCTACCAGGAGGACAGCTAGGTGCGGTGCCGATACAGTTGCGGCCATTGTAGATCAGACCATCAGGGCACTTGGGTGGCTTCTCGCTGATGCAAGTGTTCCCCTCAAGACGAGTGCCCTCAGGGCAGACAGACGAGTGGGGGAAAACACAGCCAGTACCATCGTTGACAGTTCCAATGGGACAGCATCGGCTATTACCAGAAGCATCTTGGATAGGCACAATCTGGCTCAGGTCGATGGACCGAGCTGGACGTGTGCTTGGGATGTCAAGCTGGGGAGGCGGGCCAGAGCCATTGCTGAGCACGGAAGGCAGTCCAGCTTGCTGTACCATAAGACGAGCATCGAACGGGACGTCCTTTGCTGTGCTGGTCAGCGCAAAGCTGGAGAGCGCGAGGATGGTCTTCCAGGATTCATGCATGGTTGGGAAAGTAAAGAGAGGAGTGAAGGAGGATGGGGAGATGAGGAATGATTGCAACTTGGAGTGCGAATGAACTCCTCTTTTATCTACAAAAGTCCTCGTCCAATCTTTACTTTCAGTCTGTACTTAGATCCATCGTTCACGTCTCTTAGCTTGTTGACGCCATGCTACCTTGGCAGTCGTATGTTCCGTCCCAGCAGCGCCATGGCTGGAAATCTTTGGCGTTTGCGAACGGCCGTCAATTCTCGGATGTCGCTGCTCCGGGCGAAATTCGTTGTTTAACTTGCTATTGGGATTTGATTCAGAATGGGACTTTCGTCTCACTTGTGCCGCTCGGTGGCTGGTGGTGATCTACAGCTGTCCCTTCTGAGCAGGGATTGTCTCTCAATTGCATTCTTAAGATGCGGGGATGGAACTATCGTAACCTAGCTTTGATGTCCCCATAGACTTTCCGGTAATCGCAAACCTAGTCCCGGTGCAACCGTACTCTTAGTTAAATCTCACCCAAGGATACTATATGGGGGATACCGAAAGGGCTAGTGGTGTATCCGCAAGTACTTCGATAAGCCTAGCATATCCTAGAAGAAGTTTCAGTAGACTATTAGCTTATCCTCGCTCCCCTACTCGGTAGTCTCAGTCATTCTGTTACCCTTTTGATAGCTACCTTCTTCTCGATAGTCTACTGGCTGCGTCTTTTCTACTAGAACAGGGAATGTTGAGACTTTCTTCCGAAAAGGATGTTCAGACCCTACCAAAGCTGTTTTGGTACAAGGGAGAATCGCCATGCGATGCCAATCTTGGGAATTTGACAATAATACCGGGGAGTCGGAGCTTGCGAATATGGGCTCATAGGCCACTATCACAAATAATGTCTCGCTTTTGACGGCCAAAAAGCTTGCCTCCCATCCCTACAGAAGCCAAAATTGCTTCTTTGGAGATCTTCACAGCCTCTTCTCACTATTTCAACTTGCTTTTGGGAAAAGATAGTCATATTGCTAGAAAATGTGTCAAATATGAGGCCTTCAGCTGAATGACTTGGCCGATCCCTTGCCGTTCTAGGTGAACCTTTGTCTCAATGTTACCGCGACGCGTAGATGTAGATTTTAGGTCTCCCTTTAGTATGTCTTAGGGTTTGGATTTGCAGACGATCAGCACCGAGCTCGGAACGGGCCATCGGGCGTGCCGGCGGTAGGGATTTTACCTGAGACAGGCTATCCCTAACTTGTAGAAGAGGCCGTTTTGCCAAAGTTAGTCTCTAAGGTCTCCGTAGATTACACATTTGTTTGATCTAATTGTATGCCTTATTTTGTTTCCTGATTCTCTCTTATGCAGCTCCTATCAAACTTAGCCAGGCCGCTCCTAGCCATGCCTGTCCTTGCATGATAGCGGCCTCAGCTGAGATGCTTGTGCAGGGATCTTCTTAGACACTGCAGGCCTTTAATATCTTCATTGGCTAACTTGCGACATCATATGAATTCAAGTCTGTGCAAATGAGAGGGCTGAGACTGACTCTGGTGACTTCGTCATCATCACCAGCCTTCGAATGCACCGACATGAGGAATGTGTCCGCATCTCGCTATGCTTTTGCGACGGACCGGCATGTGACGCAGATCAATGAAGCTGTCAGACAGATACAGCATCCCGTGTCTTTACTATCCCATTTGAGATGGGATTTTCAGTTCTGTCTCGGATTGACGTCGGCATTTACCAGGCAAAAACTGACGGAATTCTTCCGATAGACTGCTGTCTCACTATCCTTGGGATATGTTCGTTTCGGCAGGCTTTCTGGGGTTCTTCAGCCAGCCATCTTCAATGCGGAGATTCCTAGTTGGTATATATTGAGACAAAATTGGTTTTGATCCATTTGAGACATCTGTAAGCGCTAGGAAATGACGATGATATGTCTACGAAAAGAGGAGATTGAGAGGACTTCAGCTGTGTAAACGCCATGATACGATGCATGCTTGAATCGAGCGAATTCTGCATCTTGTCCGAGCGTAACAGTCGGTGTATGATCAGGAGCTGCGTATAAAGCATGGTATTGAGGACGCTTTGAAGAACCTCTTCATCCCAAGCTCAGCACTCATCTCATCAACTCCCTCAAACGCTTTCAAACCTTTCTTGATTTCAATCACCTTCCAGAGCCCATCATGGTCTACTACGCTTTTCTCAAATGGGTGCGTCTCCAAACTTCAGCAGTCATTAGGGAACCAGCATCCTGACCTTCTCTTAGCAAACTTCCGAGCCCAACTATCGGTACCTTCTTACAGCCCCTGATGCTGAGACCATCGATGAGTGGTGGCGCGAGGCCTCTACTAAGGATCCAGAGCACGTCAAGCGTCTCGGCCCTGATTTCTACTCTTGGGGTAGTGGCGCTCAGGCGTGGGACCTGGCTCCTTCGTTCTTGAACAAGATCATATACACCTTGCTGAATGATCGAGATGGTCGTATCATCTCCAACTTCGCTCAACCTCCTAGGGTCAGCGTCATTAGTGGTGACTCGTAAGTTCCTTCAAGCGCATTCTTTTGAACTTTTGTGTCTAATGTACTGTAGCTACTACATTCGTTCCAAGTCAAATCCGGAGCTATACTGGCTCGAAAAGGGGGGTTTGATCTATGCAACTAAGCAGGGCCGCACTCGCTTCACCTTCCGCCTGGACGGAGAGCGTGATAGTGACAGAAACAGGACTGTCATCATCGGTAAGGACTACATTTCCATTAGCGCAGTTGGAGGCTCCGCCCAGAAGTATGTCAGCGTCAGCGACAATGGCGAGGTCGTCCTCAGCGGACATAGTTGCCGCATGTACTACAGTGACCTGAAGAACATGTATCTTGCCCAGGGAGAGGCCGGTGACCTCAAAAGTGCTACTGTTATGAAGACTGATGGCTTTGGTGAGGAGTGGGAGCTTGTCAAATAGACGGAAGCTAGGATCTGATAGCTATCTTATATCCGATTGCCAAATGGCTTCGGAGAAACAATAAACGTTTTCATTTGTATTCCTTGACAGTTGCTTTCGACTTCAACCTTGCTACGATGCTGGCGTAGACTGCTTATCTTTGCACTTGCAACATGTTGGCGAATGATGGCTATAACTAGCTGGCCTCCCCGAAGTGATTGATCAGGTTGTGGGCGCTAATGCGGCTACTGTACAGTAACAAGCATCCATATATCCAGATTCATTGGTTGAGAAGTTGGCAAGCCCCATTGATCAGCGTGTTACTGTACAGTACCGCTGACCAGCTTACGACGCCAGTGAGTACGGATCTCATTCAAGACTGGGTCGGAGTAATCAATACATGGATGTCGAGTTGAGAATCTTCATTTAATAGATGCTTGAATACTGCCTTTCCCCTGTGTTTCTTATTGACGGTATAGTTTTAATTCATTCCTCATCGTTTGTTCTGTATCAATCGCTTCACTGTACTACTACCCCTCATCACCTGGTCAAAATGTCCGTCGCCCGATCTGAGCTCAAGTTTCGCGCTCCTCCGTCAATGCAATTGAGTGACGGCTCAACCAAGTCCAAAATATCTCCCCCAGATCATGGTTCTTCCATCAACACATCTCTGGATCGAGCACGAGCTCGGTTCTCGGTCACAGGCAATGCCATTGTGACTGGGGGCGCTGGCGATATCGGGTCTGTCGCCTGTCGAGCTCTGCTTGAACACGGATTGCAAGGACTGGCTATCTTTGACCTACATCCTGATGCTGGGCAGATTACAGTTACCAGTCTTCAAAATGACTTTCCTGAGGCGAAGATCACATTTACCAAGGTTGATGTGACAGATCCTGAGTCCGTTGAAGCCGCTGTCGCCAACGCCGAGCAAACCATTGGTCCCGTTAACATCTGCCTCTGCTTTGCAGGCATTGCCTTTGCTGCGCATGCTTTGGACATCACTCCCCAGCAATTTAAGACCATGTTTGACGTCAATACCACGGGCTCGTTTCTGGTAGCTCAAGCTGTTGCAAAGCGTATCGCAGGCGCAGGAATCGGTGGCTCAATCATCCTGATGGCAAGCATATCTGCCCATATAGTCAACTTTCCTCAGCCTCAAGTCCACTATAACGCGGCCAAGGCGGCCGTCATCTCTATGAAAAGTTCACTTGCCGCAGAGTGGGCGGTACACGGTATCCGTGTTAATAGTATCAGTCCCGGTTACATGGACACTATTCTAAATGAGGGAGACGGTTTGGCTGAGCATAGAGCTATTTGGGCAAAAAGAACTCCCTTTGGTCGCATGGGAAATCCGGAGGAGCTCACGGGTGCTGTTATCTTGCTGGCAAGCAAGGCAGGTAGTTACATCACGGGTGCAGACATCCTTGTAGATGGCGGGATCAGTGTCTTCTAGACATTCCTGAGAAATTTCAGCAGTAGAACCTAGTCCAAGACGACTGCAGATATAATTGGATTGCTCTGAGCCCTTCAAATGATGAGGACAGGGCGACCCGTGTTAATATACTAGCCATCCAATGATAACCTGCCTCATGATAATCAGTCAAAACTTCCATCTCGTGATAAGTGCTCTATAGTATTTGGCATAGAGGCAATGAGTAGACGCTTATGGTATGATTCTTCTTTCCAATGTATACCAGCTGAGACAAAACTAAACACCACTGGCGTTATGCCATGGCTGTACAGTCGCCACGCGCACGAGGTAACTGGACAGTCTGCGGTACTTGATATGGTTGGGCACTGTACAGCACTTCCCATTTCACAACATTGGTTGACACGTCCGAGGGTGTAAGTAACTGTACAGTCCGTGCATTAGTGTCTCACCCATCACTTACCACGACGTCTTCCACTGTCTTGCCCATAAGGATTTTATTATCTTTCAGGGGTCTCATTCAACTATAAATGAGGCGATTCCTTCCATTATTCTTGTCTCACAGGTTCTTCAAGCCACTTTCTAACTTATAACCTCTGTACTCTTCATACATTGGCCATTCACCATGAGTAAAGTCACCTGGCTTGACAAACTCCAAGAGCAAGGTACGACAGCCCTTCCCCTCCTCCATTACCATCATTCGTACTGTACTGATATATTTGATAGTCAAGATCGACATTGACTGCATGGATCCAGAAGAGGCGAAGAGGTTTCTGCCTTTCAAGCCACATGATCAAACGAGCAATCAGCGTTTGGTGTATGAGCAAATGGTCTCTCCCGAGAACAGGGAGTTATTCTTGAAAACTGTTAAAGAAGGTAAAGACGAAGGATGGGAGATAGTTCTTGATCGCATGGTAAGTCACATTTTCTATCTTGTAGCCACTTATTCAGCTCATGGTCTCCAGAGCGCCCTGCTGTGTGCCAAAAACATAAAGAACATCCAGGGACGTGTCTTGCTTCAGACCTCAGCTTTTCACGCATACGACACAAGAAAAGTTGTGGCCCAGGCCCGATCCTATGCAGGCGAGTTCGAGAAGCTTGGGATCTCGAAAGATAGGATTTGTATCAAGATTCCGTGCACAGGTCCTGCTCTCAACGCCAGTCCGATTCTACTCAGAGAAGGGATCCGCACGCTGGGAACCTCTCTGTTTTCTGTTTCTCAGGCCATAGCTGCCAGCCAAGCAGAGACGTTGTCTGTTAGTCCCTACTACAACTGTAAGGTCCATTCTTGTTTATTTGACTATTTCCATTTGCTCACATCCTCATAGTCCCTTGGTATCATACCGACCGAGAGCAGTGGCCCAATGCTGAAGACCCGGCTCTCGATCATCCTATGTCACCCAGAATCGTACAAATACAGCACATCTACAAGCAACTTCGAGAAGAGACTGGTAATACGCAGCCACTACTCAAGCCAGCAAGGTACGTAACAGGTTTCGGAAAGTGATATCCTTTGGCGCTGATTTTGCTTTCCAGCTTCATATCCGCTCGTGAGGCAATGGCTATGGCCGAGCTTGGCTGTGATCACGTCACTATTCCTGAGGATATCCTCCTTCAACTCTCGCTATTGGATACTGAAGCAAACCCGCCACCTGGAAGTGATTCTCACATGAAGACCGGTAGCCCGTCGCAACGAGTTGCCCATCTGGCAGGTATTGATCCCCTGGCCGGTCTAGACTGGCCTGGACTTCCATCACTTGATATCGACTATCTGGCAGACAACGGGGCCGCACTGACCGAGGCCATCGCTGCTGATACTGTTACTCAGAGGGGGCTTGATGAAGCTCTGGAGGCATTCAAGGCAAACGAGCTGCACAGTCGAGATGCAATCGAGGAAGCTTTGAAGCAACTCTGAGGATTATCATTTCCTTTTTCTCCGTGCCGATAGTAAACTCTCATTAAATACAACTCTGTATCTCATTATCTCCTACACTATGATGAAGAAAAGATAAAACATCGCTTTCACTGAGACCACCAACCCAAGCCGAATCCTCATGAACGACTGCCTGTGTCCAGGAACTCGCCATACAAGGATCATCCAAATAAGAATGACCGACTTCCAGAAGATCTGGGAAAGGAAAGCTAGGCTCGGCCGCTGTATTCAGGCACAAGTTGAAGCTCACTTGCGGTTCCTGGTATGCTGACACAGGTGCAGATCCCGGCGTAGTTTCTAGGCTGCTTTGCATGGTGTCTGGTGTAATATTGACATCTGTTTGCAGGGCAGGGGGTGCGTAAGAATTATCGGTCGAGAAGCCCGCTTCACGGTTTGTCTCAGGCTGGACCTGGGAGTATTCCTGTGCCCAGTTGTCTCCAAAGCCTGCAGGAAAGGTTCCGAAGACGTGATTCTTTGTTTCAGCTAGTTGGGTCATAGCCTGGGTCATGGGCTTGACCTGGGCTTGAGGCATAGATGGTCCTCCAATCTGAGCACGCAGAGCATTTACCTCTGCGACAAGCTGATGATTCTGGTCGATGACTTCCTGCATATCACTAGCTGCCGCTATAGAGAGTTCGCGCTGCTGTCGCACATGCTCTATACTCTTGTTTACGATGAGAACCTTTGTAAGTCGCCGAGTATTGGCAAGGTCGGGCAGCAGACGTGCCAGTTCCTAACAAAGCGCCACAACTAGGTTACCAGATGATATCTTGAGCTTTCTATCGCAGGTTGCCTCACCAGAAAATCTTCTTTTAGTTCACCTCGGCGTTGTTTCTCGATAGCGAGGTTCCTAGCCGTGACATCGGGCGGCAAAGGCCGAGGTCGGTTCTTCCGCTTCGTGCGTGGATTCTTGGTGATGCCAGCATTAGACATCGTACGATTTATTGGCAAAGTATTTGGTAATGGGCAAAGATTGCAAACGCGCCGTGGTTTGGAAGTAATTGTGAGCGAAATTGCGAGGGATCTGTCTGACATTACATCACCATACGCTATATACGCTATTGACGTGGTGGGAAGGTCGATCTGATCGGCCCGTATCAGCACCGAATGTGACATTTAATTGGCCGAGATAGCTACTGAGGGTACATTTACTGTGCAGTAAACATGTGGCACAGCAGATCTATGATTATAGTGAGGCTGGGGTAGTGGTTGGATAGCATAATTTATGCGACTCTCACAAACTATTGACAGATCTATGGTCGTTTTATGCTTATTGATTTTCTTATACTTCTCTGAATCCATCACAGTCCACCCGCTAATCAATCATCATCAAGTTCGGCAAGGAAATCAGCCGATGGTACAAAAAATGTCGAGCCTGTAACTGCCTTGGAATAGTTGAGAATCCGATCATGCATCCCAGGCGGAACACCGACAAACATGCGCTCCAGCATCTTCTCGATGACCCAAAGCTTCTTTGAGTACCCGATAAAATATGTGCCAAACTCACCCTGAGCTGGAGAACCGAAGGGCATGTTATCTCGTAGAATGTCATGCTCACTTCCTCCCTCGTCTTCAATCGTAGCAAGACTCTTATGGGACTGCTGTTGCCCTTCTTCCGCATCGTCAAGCTCGATATTATCCAGCTTCGTGCGCCCAATGATGTCTTCTTGCTGTTCTGTCTTGAGAGTCTTCCATGCTTTGAGATCGTGAAGATATTTCTGTACCACGACATAACTGCCTCCTACAGCAGCCGAGTCATCTTGTGCAGTGATAAGCACCGTGTCTTTGACATCGGGGCCGACTGGATTGGCAGTCCCATCGACGAATCCAAGAACATCGCGCGTGTCAAAATACCTAAAACCGACGGTGTCGTCTTCAAGCTTGACAGCATCACCCAGTCTATCCATGAGTTGTCTCTCAAATTCAAATGCCATGTCTCTTCTCTCAGAGCGAATATGAAAGAATATATCACCTGGCGTCGACACAGCAGTATGCTTTGCTCCCTTGAACTCTTTGAAAGGGTGTAGCTCGTTAGGCCGAGGGAGTTTGGTCAATCGGTCCCATGCCGAACTTCCAATGCCAACAGTACATGAGAGATTAGCGGTTTGGTGGCGAATTGAGATGTTCTTGGTAATGTCTGCAATGCTAGACAATGTTGATCGGATTGTTTTGTTGGCATCCGGGTTGTCTGTTGCCGAGAGAACGAGGAATGTCGCCGACTGTGACAAGGGAGATTCCACCGCCTGAGGGTTCATTTTGAAACCGGATGGAACGGAACTTGACAAGAAGCGTCTTGGCTTACAAAAGGAGGAATTTGCAACTTTTAGGCAGTAGATTGATGTAATACGTGAGACAGAAGGACCCAATGGTGCCTGGTACGTGATGAGGACCCGACAGGACAGCATATCTTGGGAAGCTCAAACGCCTACAATAAATTGCTCACGGTTGTCAGCGCCAAATGCGACATTGGCTGGCTCGTATAGCCTCTAAGTGCATATTCAGGGATCACGACACGACATTCGCTGACATGAGCTTTGTAAGTCTTCGGTAAATGCAAGATAACATCAACCTTATTGGAGATATCGGCGTAATCATGACGCAGAGGGCTGACTGATACTGATTGCGGTATGAGTAATTGGCCAATGATGAGGTTCGTAAAATAATCAACCGCTGGGTTGCTCTCACAGCTGGGCTTATCGATAAGATTTGTGTTGGCAGCCTAGCAGATAAGTGCCTTTCCACGCCTGGATAAAGCTCAGTCAGTTAGTGTAGCAACATCGTAGTTCTCGCTACATCTTGAGCCAGCAATGTTTGAAATCGTTCACAACTACCATGGCATGAAGGAGAAGATAAATTTAATACTTGCCAGCGTGTTGGGGAAGCGTGTGGACTTGGAAGTTTATGGGCAGCGTTACGCGTGCAGTATGCTAGACCAAAGTATTCATGACCATTCACTCTTGTGATCTTGAGATTCAGAAATGGATGCATGGACTGTTAACAAGGTCACGTCAGTTTCCGATTTTGGGTGAATCATTCAACTCAATCGTCATAAGCTTTATTAGAAACTATTCAGTACTCGTATTGCCTTGTAACTCTGATATTGGACGCTGGCTGTGGACGCTGGCTGTGAATAAGTTACTGACTTACCCTGAATACCTCTTTTGGCAACCCTGTTTGGACTAGAGTGAATTGCTTCTGATGCCTGTAAGCATACAGCTTCTTGTTGAATCTATGAGACAAACTATTATGTTTCCTTGTTTCTTATTGACAGCTCAACAGTTTCGCAGGTGATAATCCACGCCATTAATCGTAGAGCTTCACATGTCGCATGAACTATTCTTCAGACCGTAGACCTGGCATCGCATCTATACGCGCATATTCACGGCGAAACTTCCCCATGAGAGTTGTTTACCCTGTAAGCGTCGTATAATGATGAATAAATGCCGTGCTACAAGGATCTGACAAGGTGAGGCGTCGGCAGAAATTAATCAATCTGACAAAGCAATAGTCGCAAGCCATGGCCTCGTTAGGAAGGCAGCTGATGTAGCAGTTTCAGAGGAATACGGGAAGTTTAAGATTGCTGGTTCGTGCGTAAAAGAGCCCAGACCTGTCCATTATTTCTGTCATTAGTGCATACGGACAGCGCTTTGGCTTTGTGTAGATCGCCTTTCATGTGACCCAAGATACGATACGATACAATGTCTGAAAATATCTTCAAAGAACCGTCTCTTTGAATGAGTCGCTGCTTGTTTCATCAAAGTCGGTCTGCTTACGCGTAGCCCACTTGGCATTCCCCGCTCGCCAAGTTCTTTGCACAGCACAGCACAAGGCACAGCACACAGTGCAGCATGCAGCGTGGAAACAAAGCCACCCGATCAGAGGCCAGAGGGATAAACAATCGTGTCTTGCGGAGGAATCAGTGGATGAGGGAGCTGAAACTTCATTGTTACAGTGAAATTTGACAAGCCACGATCCCAGTTTCCGGTTCCAAGGCTCGGAAATGATCAAATATCAATGCGAGACGAATCGTAGTCATCCAGAATCCTATCGGAAATAAGCCTTCTCAGGGCCCCTGTGCCTGCAGGGCAGAATTTCTTGAACGCGGACCAGCTAACGTTAGGTTAGTCTGCCATGAAATGCACGTCCATCCAAAGCGGATCATTTGGGCAGATGCAACCTCAAGTGCCAGCGCCAGCTTCCGATCATCAGGAACATTCTTTAGCATCGGCAGACGAGAGATTTCCCTTCGCCGATCACTGCAGTCACTCACTCACTCACTCACTGACCTTCTGTGAGACCTGCGCGAAAAACGTCGGGGGAAACATGGTGCACACGAGGCGTGCATTTGCTATGATCGACCGGCTGGCGTACGGTGAGAAACAAAGGGCGCTTGCAGGTGATTGGGCTCTCGTCAGGGAGAAGCGCTGTGGCGTTGTTTCGATGACGGTCTGCACCCGCGAGGTCCGACAAAGAAGACTCAAAACACTGATGGCTGTTTCAACAAAAACATGCTCAACAGCTAAAGCTAAAGGGATCCATTGTATGAGGAGTTTGTTGTTCCTCGTTGAAACCCCCTTTTGCTCTTTTGCTGGTCTTGGGCCGCGTTCGATGACATTCTAGTGAGCGGACAGTGGCATGTATTGCAAGTTTGGCGGAGTGCCAGCCATCGTGGACCAATGATATAGTGCATCTGTCCCTTGCAGTAGCTGCAGTTAGCCTGTTACAGAGGCAACGGAACAAACGAGTCAAGAAAAAGCTAGCAAACTTTTTAAGCTTGACAAAACACGACCGGTCGTCTCGGCCCCCTTTCTCACTTGCATATGGAAGGAAGGAGAATAATCACGTAAGGGCATGAGTGAGTGAGTGAGTGAGGAGAATTTGTTGGGGGCTTTGGCAGGGTGTTTTGCATCACTGCCAATTTTCAAGGCTGATTTCGATCAATCTTGAAAACATCCTGGCCCTGGTCGGCAGATCCCTGTACTCAGGGATCACATTACGAACTTGCAACTTTATTTTATATTGGGAGGCGTCGCCCGTGATTACAGAAAACCCGGGGGGGGATGAGGATAGTCCATGTCTGTGCGACGAGACTGGACGACACCAATGCTCAGTCTGTCTTAGATGCGCTTTGTGCACCTTGACGCTCATCATCATCACAAAGAATGCACTAAAGCGCTGCACGTACCGTTCGTATTCCCCCATCCCATCCCATCCCATTCCCCGTGGCCAAGGGCGGCGAATGGTACGAACCTTTTGCCGCCCTCGTCTAGGTATCCGTAGTGGCGTCAAAATACCGCGCCGGCATGTTCGGTCCCTGATCCAAGAACAAGCCCCGGCATGTCATCTCGTCTCTTTGCTGGCTGATTGCCGCGTCAAGGCGAAACACGCAGGCAAGATCTGGGTAAGGATTTAGAATTGCAGGACTGGTATGAGGGGTTTCAGTGTGGCATCCCTCCCCACACTCAACCCGAGCTTCCTAGGCTTCCCATCCCGGAGACTCGGGTGTCAGCTGCGAGACCTCGTATTGATTGGTTCGGCAAGCTGAGGCCATCAACGGTTTTCTTTTTACCCCTGGTCTAGTCTAGCTAGTTTAGTCTGTCTACCCCTGGATCGAGCAGCCCATCGGAGCATCATCCCTTTGAAACACAGAACTCCGCTCTTTCAATCAATTCGACGTTGTCTGCTGTCCCTGTCTGCAAGGCCCAGGGCCCAGGCTTGCACATCGAATTTCGTTTTTCACATGGCACCACACCAACTGTCGGGATCATTGACATGTCTCATCCAATGGGATCATGACGCTGGCTGTCTGCCGTACAACTATATTATAACCTTGATTCCCGTCCCCCCATCTTCTGCTTCTTTTCCTCTCCAGACTCAATCGTCTTGTCACTCATTCCTTAACAGGCAAACCACTCATTCATCCTTGAAGGATCATTTCTACATTCTTTCACTCCTTAACACGTTCTTTTTAAAGCAACTCGAACAATTTTTACAGCCCAGTCCCGGTGACGTTAACCAACAACAACAACAACAAAACTCTCAATCAAGATGCATTTCTCAAGCTTCATCGTTTCCATGATGACCGCTGGCGCCATGGCCGCTCCCTGGGGCAACGGCAACAAGCACTACAACGAGGTCGTTGTTACCGAGTATGAGTACGTCACTCACTACGTGACCGCTGGAGGCAACGCTCCCCAGGCCACCTACGTTCCCGAGCAGCCCGCCGCCCCCGTCCAGGAGTCGCAGCCCGCCCCCGTCG